CTTAAAAGATAAATTTAAAGTTGGGCTCTTTTAAGGCCTAACTTACTTCTTAAATATTATAATTTATAACTCCTTTTAAATACCTTTTAGCAAACGCTTAAGGCCAACCCATAATATAATAATTCAAGCTCCAGGGTTGAGAGTTTAAGTTATAGTCTCACCTAATTATAAAGAAGATCTCTGGCTTAAAAAGGTAATATTGCGGGTAAGCCTTGGGGGTAGTTGTACCACTATATAAGAAGGGAGCCCTGGAGGAAGGGGCTATGTAATAGGCTTGGGTTATTGCCCAAGCCTTATATATAGTGTGGCTAGATAATCTAAGGGAGCTTGGATTATTACGTACCTTTTAGCTTAATGGTTAAAAGGTTGCTGCTTTTGCAGCTTATGGAAGAAGGCGCTAGCCAGCCTGCAGCCCCTTTAGGGCCAGCCCATAATAAATAATCTAAGCTTTAGGGTTAAGAGTTTAAGTTATGGTTTTACCCAACCATGAAGAAGATCTCTGGCTTGAAAAGGCGATGTCGTGGGTAAGCCTTGGGGGTAGTTGTACTACTATATAAGGAGGGAGCCCTGGAGGAAGGGGCTATGTAATGGGCTTGAGCTATTACCTAAGCCTTATATATAGTGTAGCTAGATAATCCAAGGGAGCTTGGATTATTACGTACCTTTTGGCTTAATTGGTTGCTGCTTTTGCAGCTTATGGAAGAAGGCGCTAGCCAGCCTGCAGCCCCTCTGGGGCCAGCTCATAACAAAACCTTTTTTATAAAGTATATATTTATTATAAGTAAATTACTTAACTTTTTTATTATTTTTAAGGAAATAAATAAATAATAATAATAATTTTTAATTACCTTTATGTTAAATGGCCTTTGCCATATGGCGTATTGTATGTATGTATGTGGTTGTGCAATTGCATGTATTTGTTGTGTTGTCTATCGTACTATTGAAAAGGGGGCTCCCGTGCGGCAGCCAGATAAGGCCAGCGCACAAGGGCAGACGGGATGACTAATCCCGCCTTAACATGGCAACTGCGTACGGCCCAATTGGGTGTTATTCCCACATTTATTAATTATAAAGGCTAGCAATTTATTATTATAAAAAACAAATAAATAAAAAAGAAATAAATAAAAAAGAAATAAATAAAAAAGAAAGAAATAAAAAAGAAATAAATAAAAAAGAAATAAATAAAAAAGAAATAATTATTAAATAATTAAAAAATAATTTATTTTTTAAATTATTTTCATAAAAATAAATAAATTATTAAAATTAAAAATAATAATATTTTAATTAATATTTAAATATAAAGTATTTAAAAATTATTATATTTTTAAAGATTATTAAATTAAATATAAATTATTAAAATATAATATTATTAAAAGCTTTATTAAGTAATTTTTTTATATTAAAAACTTTTAAATAATTTTAAAGAATATAATATTTAATGCTTTATAATAAATATAAAATATATATAATTTTTATATTATAAGTATTTTTTAAAAAAACTTTTAAAATATATAATAAAAAAGAAATTTAATTAATAATAACCTTATAAAAATTAATAATTAAAAGCTTAAATTAAAATTAATTAAAAAAAGGTTTAAATTAATTTAAATATAGCTTTTATTAATATTAAAGTTATTTATTATATTAAAATTAATATAAAAGGGGTAACGTAGTTTATTAATAAATAGCGGATATTAATAAATAGCGGATTTTTATAACTTTACTTAACTTTAGCTAATACTAATATTACTTTAAGGCCAATAAATAAATAAAAAGTTAACATTAATTAATGCTAATTACTTTTAATTCCTTATTTTTAATTAATTTAATTAATTTAAAGTAATTAATATAAATGCAATATAAGTTTAAGATAAGTAACTTTTAATAAGAAACCCGTATTTTATATTAAATAATGCTAATTATACCATTAAAAATGCAGTTTATTATAAATTATTAAAATAAATATATTTATATTATTTAATGCTAATTAAGCTAAATTTATTATAATATAATTAAAATTTAATTAACTTAACCTTTTTTTATCTTTTTTATAAATTCTTATATTATACTTAATCTTATTATAATTATTATACCGTTATTTAATTAATTTATTATAAATCGCCTCTTTAACACTACTACTTATTTCATTAATTAACTACTTTTCCTTTTATTTTTCTTAAATAAAAGCTTAAGATTCCTTAATAATAAGTGCTTTTCTAAGCTATACTTAAATTCTTTTAGCCCTTTAATGTTTAGCAAGTATTATATTAATATTCTTAAAAGTATAAACTTAATCCTTTAAAATAATAAGTTTATATGCTATTACTTATATATTTTTTATTATTTAATTAACAGCCTTTATAATTAATATAAAGAAGCTTTTTTAATAAGTAAAAATCTTATCTTTAATAAAGCTTAATTACTTAATAGTTTGCTAAGCATTAAATAATATTTATAACTTTTAATGTTAAGGAAAAATAAAAAGGGTTTGCATAGGAGTTTATAAGCATATATTAAGCCTAAAAATAATAAAATCTAAGTCCTAAGGTAAGATTTCAGCTCCTTTAAACGCTGCCTTAATATTATCCTTTTTAAAGATCTTATTATAAGCTGCTATAAATATAAGAAAAAACTTAAACTTAATAATATAATTAATAAATGCTTAAATAAAAAGGTTAATTTAATTATTATATATATGCTTTAAAGGTAAATATAATATAATATTTAGTAATTAAAGTAAATAAAAAGAATATAATAATATATTAATAAAAATAATATTATTATCCTTATAATATTAATTAAACTTAGTTAATATATAGCTCTTATAATTATTTAATATTAATATTTAATATATACCCTTTATTTATTGCTTAATATGCTTATTAAAATGCTACATTTATTTTAAATTAATCTTATTATTTATTTATTTATTTAAAGTAGGTTTAATAACTTAATTATTTAAAAAACTTAACTTTATAGCTTAACTTATAAAGTAATAAATACCTTAAATAATTATAAATAATAAAATATATCAGCCCTTTATATTAATGCATTTAATAATTATAGCTTATTTTTAATTACTAAGCTAAATTAATTTAATCTTTTTATATTTATTAATGCATATAATTATTATTAATATAATAATTATATTTATTATAAAGCTAATTTTATTAAAGTTATAAAGATTATTACTTATAATCTTATATTTAGCTATTATATTATAAAGCAGCTTAAATTAATTCTTAATAATTTTTAAATCTTTATAAAGGGCTTTTTAATAATTATAAAAATAATTAAACTTAGTTTTAAGGGTAAGTTATAAGTTTATAAAGCATTAAGCTTAATGCTTATTAATAAATTTAATATTATATAATGCTAATAAAAAGTTAGCTATATTTTTTATATTAAAAAGTTATAAGGAAAATCTTTAAGTATTTTACTTAATAATATATTAAATAAGCATTTATTCTTTAATTTAATTAAATTTATATATATTAATGCATAATTCTTTATAAAAATATTATTAATTTATTTTATAGCGAAATATAATTTTAAGAATATAAAAGATCTTAATAACTTAAATTATAAGCAAGGGTTTTATATTATTTTTTTTAAATTTCTAAATTACTTAAATAGCTAAAAGGATTTTATCTTTTTTAAATAAAGAATATATTAATAATTGCTAATTTTTAATGTATTAAATATTTAAGTAAGTGGATTAAAGCGAAATTAATATAAAAAACTAAAACATAATTAGCATTAAAATAAACCCCTTTACCAAAAGTTAATTACTTTAAACTTTAATGCAACCACCCTTAATTACTTTAAATTAATTAAATTAATTAAAAATAAGAAATTAAAAGCAATTAGCACTAATTAATGCCAACTTTTTATCTATTTATTAACCTTAAGGTGGTGCTAATGTTAGCTAAAGTTAAGTAAAGTTATAAAAATCCGCCACTTATTAATATCCACCATTCACTAGTAAACCACGTTATTAAAAAAGTAATATTTTTAGAAAATTAAAAATATTAAAAAAAGGATTATATATCATTATGATAGGTAATTAATGTTAAAAGAAAGGCATATATGGGTGCCGAGGGTAGTTGGAATGGGGGGAGTGTTGGAATCCGGGCCGGGGATGTTAAGAAACCAGGTTTTCATCGACAGGAAGAGGCAAGAGTGCGTTTTCGAAGCGTAGCAGCCTTGCCCTTTGGAGTTTTTGTTGAGCCATCCAGCACAGATGAATGGTCAGCGCGGGAATGAATAGAGCCTACAATGGAACATGAAACATTCTACGACCCTTCCAATCCCATCTCCGTAATAACAAAGTCCTTGCAAGTGGCCGAACCCAGACCACGCCCCACAATTACGCGTGGCAAAGGCGAAGGCGAAGCTCAATAACCAAGCCTTTCCAAGACAAAACTTAGCGGCCTTACCAACAACAAGCGAGCCCCCACGCCTTTTTCTGCTGACGAAAACAAAGAAGTCTGGGTGTCGTAGATAGGGCTGGAAGGTGACATCGTGTGCTCCAGTACAGTATAGCCACGGTCATCCCGCGATCCCGAACCGTAGCGTGGGGCTATTCCCATTGCGCCTCGGGCTGCCCACCACATCCCGAGAATGCCGTGTCATGGCGGGAGGTTTGCAATGCAGCTGTTGTGGCTGCCGCACCCGGAAGCTGCATCTTCGACGTCGATCGGTTCGTCTCATGGTGCAAGCCAAGTACTCGACAAAGACTTATCACAGTCGGACTCAAAAACGGGGACGGTACACGAAGTTTGAATCCAAATGATATCATTATTGAACAAATAAAATAAACATTAGGAATTCAGTTCCCATATGTACAAGATTCCCGTACTCCTTGCGGTACACCTAAATGGCCTAATATCTATATGCATATGTACATACCCAAACCCCCATCCAGAATATACACCAACCAACCAGATAGAGCCCATTAATAAGAAGACAAAAATGACCCAAAAAACCCCAAGCCCATCTTACGGCTTGCTAACCTGCTCCTTGCGGAAGAACTTGAAATACCCAACACAAATACCCAGGTTGAGCAGGAGCACAACCCAGAACCAGGCGCTGCCGAGCACGTGCCCGGCGCCCTCGGAGAGGTCGGGGAAGACCGGGCCGGGGCCCAGGTTGTCGGGCGCCGTGGCGCGGCCGGCGATGGTGGCCAGGGACCCCAGCACCTGCGCGGCGATGACGGCGGCGGCGACGTGGACTCTCGTGAGAGTCAGCATGAGGATCATGCCGATGCCGGCGCCCTGGACCGAGTCGAGCAGGCCGAGCCACAGCCACACGAGGCGGCTCAGCACGGCGCTGGCGACGGCGCCGCCGGCCCAGGGGAGCCAGAGGCCGATGCGCGAGCAGCCCCAGAACATCTGCGCCCAGCGGGGGGCGCCGAGACCAACGGCGAACATAGGGAACAGCCAGGGGTGCGATTGGGACACCTTGGCGAGGCCAAAGAGAACCGCGCACCACAAGATGATAAAGAAGAACAGCGCGAGCAGGATGACGGACCAGGTGGGCAGGACCGCCGACGAGAACAGGAAGAACCAGTTGCGACCATAGAGGGACGAGAGGAAGTAGTTCTGGATGATGACGGCGAGCAGATACCACGCGATGGTCTTGCGCTTGAGCAGCGTCTTCCACAGCTGCGGCACGGGGCCGGGCGTCTCGCGGTAGAACTCGGGCAGGCCCAGGAAGAGGACAGTGCCGATGGCCCAGAGGACGAGGGCGGCGGGGAGACACACTGCGAGCATCCAGGGAGAGTTGGCGAGGGAGTAGGCACCCGTCTCGCCGTCGGCTACCGCGTCGCTGATGGAGCTGCCCCATGCCCAGAGGGCCACCGTGTAGATTTGGGACACGCCCTGGATGATTGCCAAACGCATGATCCAGGTGGACACGGTAGAACCACCGTCGGTACCGAAGTTGAAGGCAAAGGAGATGCCACCGGACGACGCAGCAAAGGCGTAAAAGCCCGTCGCGACGTTTTGCACCCATCCTTGCACATCTTCATCTGTGGCAAATGGGGAGAAGCCGAGGATAATGAATGCGATACCGTAGAAGTAGAAGGGTATCGCGGTTGAGTAGACGAGGCTGAGAGTTCGGGACAGGGTATACCAAACAATGGTGGATCCCAGGTAGATGGATGCGACAACATAGAGCTTGGTCGCCGTTTGTCCAACGGTGCCCGTCAAGAGGGTGATCTGGTAGGAGTTGGTGGCGATGACCTGGCTGACGGAGAGGAGAATGGCGTAGATGGGCCAGTCACCAAACTGGTACTGGAGGTACTTCTGCAACCCGTTGGGGGGCTTGTAGTCCTGGGGCAGCTCGAATTGTCGCTCATAGTCGTCGTCTTCGCTAGGTGTACCCGCGTCACTGCCCGCAGGGGTCGCATTCATCAGGCGGGAGGGTCGGCGCTCGTGTCCGAGAGACAACCGTAGCTGCGACCGAGAGCGGTTACGGGACGCGTTGCGGGACGAGGCGCGAGACCCAGGCCGCGACGCTGAAGAATCGCGGGCCCGGCCACGACCTAATCGCACGTCACGGAACTCCGTGAACCACTCCTTCTCGGACTTGATCAGGTAGTCCTCGATACACAGGTCCGAGATGGAGTTGCTCGCGTCGAGGGAGCTCAGCTTCTTCTCGAAGTCCGTGTAGAACTCGCCTCTGGAGTCCGTGAAGAAGGGATCTGTCTGCTGGAGCTTGTAGTCATGTCGCTCACCGACGACCTCGTCGACACTGAGCATGGAAGCCCGACTGGCATTGTTCTGCATGCCTAGTGCGAATGGTCGGGAGAAGGATAGAACGCTTGGTGATTCAGATTCCATGCGGCCGTGGCCAGGGTTCCAAGGCAACGGTGTCCCAGAACGCGAGCTCATGGCGGATTCGTAGCCACCAGGCGACACAGGGCGAGACTGCATCGGGGTGTTCAGGGCCGTTGTGAGGCGAGATTGGTTGTTCATGGTGGAGGCATCATCGTCGTGGTCTGCAACCTGTGTCATCCAGGCTGGCGTGCGGTCTTGCAGCTGGATCTCGGTGTTCAGCGCTTCCCTGCTCGGGTTCAGAAGGTTCATCGTGCTGGACAGGAACTTCTTCTTGCTGGACTTCTTGGCAGTCTTTTCGGAGATCCTGATGACGTTCTGCTGCAGTTTCTCGAGCTTCTCGAGCCACTCGGCAACGGGGAATCGCTGCTTGGCGGAGTAGGCGCGCATCGTTGCCCGAGTCTGCGTGTCGGTCTTCAGTGCTGCCACGATGGCGTTCTTGAACTGGTGCAACAGATGCGATGCCTTGGTACTCTCCACCGTGTACCACCAACCGGGCATTTGTCCAAGTCCACCGACTCTGGCACCGACACCCAGGGCTCCCTTACGACCGAACTCGACGGCAACAAGACCGAAGGGCTCGTCTCGGGAGGGGATCAGGGCGAACTCTGCACCACTGAAGATGTAAGGGGGAAGCGCCGTGAATTCGGGCTTGCTGTAAACACGACCGGGGTACTTTTCCATCAGCTTGGCCAGCTTCAAAGCTGCGAATTTACCGTAGAGATCAATCATGGGACCAATGCACTGCCGAATGGTTAGTCTACAAAGCCACGAGGAATTCGTTCCCATCGATTGCACTCACAATAAGCTGGGTCTGGGGATATGTCTCCAGAACCCAGGGGAAGATATCAGCGATGAGGTCCACACCCTTCTGCAGAGACCAACGTCCCACGAAAACGAACAGTTCGGCTTCAGGGTTTTGCTCGAGACCGGCCCATTCCTGAGCCTGGCGCTTGAGGTCTGCCCTGCCTGCCTCGAATTCCTGGTCGATGGTAGGAGCATCGGTGGTGAGTGCGGTGTCCTTGCTCCATTCGGCGGTGTCCTAGAAGGCGGGATGTCAGTCTTTGGCTCGCAAGTAAGACGTCGGGGATACTTGATGCGAGAGGGGCTTGTCACTCACAGTTGGGTCCGGGTTCGGCAGCTGTCCAACCTTCTTGAGGCCCCAGAAGATAGGGTAACGCGCGAAAGAACGGTCACCATACTTCTTGGACACTCCCACTGCACCGAATCCCTGTTGGTGAATTCGCAGATAACTGGCACCGGCATGGAGCAAGTTGAAGACTATCCAGAATTAGCACCCATGTTTCCGAGAGCATTTGTCAAGTCACCGGACAACTTACCTGAACCGAACTGAACGTATTCCTTGACGATGTCCTCCGACAAGTTGTAGACCTCGCAGACCTCCTTGCTTTCCTCAGGCGTTCGCATAGGCCACATTCCCTGGAATTCCGCATTATGGAGAGAAAGAGCCACAGGGATGACGCGAGGCAGGAGGTATAGCGGAGCACAAGCACCGTGGTAATCGTTGATATGGTACATGTCGACGGGGAAGCGGTTGACGGTCTCGGCAATACATTGGTTCCTAAAGGGTGTTAGCATGCCAAATCGTAACGAGGGATAGTATCAGCATTTGGCTTACCAGGCGGAATAGTAGATAGCACTCTCCATATCATCCATACGTGGGGGATATGGCTCTGCCTTGGTCTGCCTCCTGAACACCGGCGCATCGAGAAGCACGTAGGTAATGTTGTCGACCTTGTGGTATTGCACCTGGATCTCATAGAACTGGCCCATGATCTTGACGAACATCGGCTCCGCGGGGGTATCGATTGGGTAGTCGATACCTCCGACGCACGGCACAACCCAGATGAGGTCCTGGTGCTTCAACGCTGTACCCATCAGCTGGGCCATCACACCCAGACCGCCGATCTTGATCTTAACGCCCCAGTCGTCGATGTTGTACTCCATGGTGGCAATGAGGACGCGCTTGCGCTTTGCGTCTCCCGTTGCGGCGGCTGCGATCAGGGCGCTGGCATCCTTCTCGTCCTTGCCGCTGAAACTGGCGATTGTGTCCTTGGCCTTGGAAACAAGCAGGGTGAACCCGGTGGCCTTGGCAACACCGACCTCGTTGAACTTGATCTTGTAGAAAGAGCGCTTGAAAGCCTGCACTGCCGCGAAACCGAGGATGACAGGCACAATCCAGAGCAGAATGTACAAGACCAGCTGCTGCCACATGTTGCCCACGGGCACCAGGCCGTACTTCAGGGTGGAGTCTTGAACCACCATTCTGTAGGCCAGGTGTGGCTTAGCCGGCGCCGAGGTGATGTTGATGTTGCTCTCCAAGAGAGAAGAGGGTGGGAGGCGGTCGAGGACACCGTCGGCGTCAATGTCACCATACACGAACGACTGGTCGGGTTTCTTGTCGGGGTTCATCCCCCAGACGCTGAGCTGGACCGTCGCTGGCCACTCGTCCATGTAATGCCACTGCCACATCGACTCGGCGAAATGCTTGAATTGATTCTTCGCACCAGAATCATAACCGTACTGGTTGAACGGGCCAGAAGACCAGATATGCGGGAATCGTCGCATGGGTCCATCGTAGTCAACATCACCTCGCTGCTCGTAGGAGCTGCTGCCGAGGAGCTTGCTGTGGTATTGCACAACGACGTGCTCGCCCTCCCACTCCTGGTCCTTGGTGCCTTCCCACGGCAGCATGTCGACAATGGTGGTCGGCTCATACTTTGTCCAGTTGCTGTATGTTGAGCCCCAGTTGGTCGAGTAGCGGAACCAGCTGGCACCTGGAGCGGTGTGCCTGAGAGTGAGGCTTCCGTCCGCATTCTTGCTCGCAAGAGTTGATGAGTAGTTGGACGACTGGGGGAAGATGATAGGGTTGTCCGGCCCGCCGATTCGGAGGAGAAAGCGGTCCGTGGAGTCAGTGTAGGATCCGAGATCAGCAGTCGTGGCGTTGTTGACAATGAGCTGGTGAATTCCAGGGGCCAAGCCGGTGACGTTGGCAGACCATCCCCATGCAGACTCCAAGACACCCACGTAATCAGGCTGCTCAGCGGTTGTCACATTTCCACACTTGACCGTAGAGGTGTCAATCGATGGCGTGAGATCCGATTCCGTGATTGAAGTGAAGTTAATGGCTTGGGTGAACGAGTCGCAATCCATGAGGACGTTGGCGTGGATCTCAACGAGGACAGTGTTGCTCTCCTCTGTCGATTGAATCCTGTAATCATGACCGGGCTTGAACTTGGTGAGCATAGGCGGTGGGGGGACCCATTGCTTTTCTGGCACGTATGCGCGGTACTCAAATGCATCGAGAGTGATAGAGTCAACGCAACCATTGTACTCTGTCGAGCCGTTGATTGTAAGCTTCTTGGGCGAGTCCTTGAGATCCATGGAATGATGAGGGAAGAACAGATTCTTCACTGTAGTTCCCGAATCGAATGGAGAAATCAGAGCTTTATCGCTGTCGGTACAGTCAAATGTGTATGTGTATGAGGCGTTGCGGTTGTGATAGAGGAGCCACACCGGTGTTTCTGTGTCCATGTCCTGTATACCAAGATAGGAGGACCGCGTGGTAGACCACAGACCTTGCTCTGTGCCAATGCCGGAACTTCCAGGCAAGTAGATCCACTCGGTATGGTTGGACAGCTGCTCCAAATAGAAGCCATCTGTCAGTACCGGGAACTGGTCGCGGAGATAGTACATGTGCTTGATGACGTTTCGGACGGGATGGGTCGGATCTCTGTGGTCCCATGCTACTGTTGGGTCCTCGCATCCGTGCAAGGTCTTGTTGAGCGGCATGTGGAAGTACAGCTCACCGGGGAGAGTGTAACATCCGTGTGCGTGCCAGGCCGGGGCTGGCGCAATGGGCTGCCTTCCGAACATGTAGTTGGACGCCGTGTTGTCAAGCACGTAATGTGCCTGCTCCTCTCCCCACAGAAGCAGCGGAATGCCGGGCATGTGCAGAGTGGTGATGAACAGGCCCAGGAGGTTGCGCTCGACACCGAGGGTGATGGCAGGCCATCTGAAGACATCCTGGTTCACCACTCCGTACATGTGCCGAGGGTCCACAACGCCAGTCTCAGCGTTGATAAAGTCGTTCGTCTGCAGCATCCTGTTCCAAGCTGCAACCCAGTTCTTAGGAAGATCGTACGCAGCCTCCATGCCACCATCCATACCCAAGAATCGTAGCAGATTACGATAGATGGAGTAGTGAAAGGCCGCGCTGTCAATGGCCTGCTGGCCTTCGTCCCGAATGAAGATGTCCATATCAGCCGCGGTGACATTTGTCAGGTTGACAGCCTTCTCCTCGTTGTCGATGTATTGCTCAGGCGCACGGCCGCGGCCAATGTAGATGGCACCAAAGGTATCACCACCAGTGATTTCGCCAGGCAGGAAGAAGTTGTCCTTGCCAACTTCCTTGGCGCACTTGCGGAGGTTTGCCGAGAACTTGCCCTCGGCGTCGACCGTAACTTGAGTTGCCTTGTCATAACGGAAGCCGTCGATGTCCAGCATTTGGATGGTCAGGCACGAGAAGAGCGAGATCCGCTCCAGCACATCAGGGACCCACTCTCGCAGACGATCCTGGACGGAAGCGAACTTGGTAAGTTGTCGACGGTAATCAGGGTAAACACCGAAAGCTTCGGTGTCACCAAACTGGTCAAAGTCGCCATTGTAACAGCCACCGAAGCTGTCATACACCGCTGATCCGACCTCGGAACCATTGTCCCAGTACAGTCTGGGAAAGTGCTCGCAAGTGTCGTTGAACGTTGTTCCGAAGGTAAAGTCGTGGTAACGCCTGGAGGTCTTCCAGAGCGCCGTGTGCTCGTGGTCAGGAACGTATGGGGCTGATTTGTTCAGGTAACCTGTGAAACCGCTTTGGAAGGGTCAGCGCCGGGAGGATGCTTATGGGTGGGCCAGGAATGGCTTACATGAGATCGCCCATGGTCGCGACAGTGTTGTCAAGCAATATGTACCTGGAATGTTGTCAGCATCTGTGGAAATAGGCCAAGCTTTTGCGCCAAGCCGATCACTACCCAAAACACATCAAGCGTGCCGAGTGAGACCATGACGAAGATGCTACTTACATGCCGCGGCGGTGGATTTCATCAACAGCATTGCGCCAAGTTGTGATGTTGCCAAAGTGAAGGTCCAGTAGGGTGTGGTCGAGCGGCGAATATGAATCAGCAGCGTAGGGCTGGTTGATGAAAGGTGAGCCGGCTACGTAGAGACCTTTGACTCCCATGCCTTGGATGTAATCGAGACTGTCGACCAAGCCTTGTATGTCGCCGCCGAACCGGAGCTGCGTCCCCATGGTCTCCGTCTCGAAGACCGTGTTGTTGGCATTGTCGTTGGTGGGATCGCCGTTGGCGTACTTGTCCAGGAAGAGTGTGTAGAACGGGAACCTCCAGTTCTTGGGAGAGGGGTTGAATTTGTGATCGGTCCATTTCCCTGAGTAGTCCAAAGGCTCTTTTGCGTTCTGGTTTGTGTTCAAGTTCCAATCCGCGTAGTCCGGATCATACTTCAGGGCCTGGGCCGGTATGAGAGAGCCCAGGAGGAGAAGCAAGGTCTCCGGGACTAACATCTTGCGGGTCCCTCAGCGCACGTCGTAGCCCGCATGAAATTCTGGTTGTGTTGAGGTTGATCTCTGTCAGGTCTGCGAAACAAGATAAGAAAACTGGAGGAAAGCGAGGGTCTGGCAACAACACGAGCGAGTGACAAGGTCGAATCGACAGACGGGCGGAAAGATGGGAAGACAACAGCCAAGCCACCTCAGCAATGACGAAAACAGCAGAACAAAGCGAGAGAATGAGTACGGGAAAGAAAGCAATCGAGAAACCTGACCGCCGCTGAAGATGGTCAAAAGTCAAAAGTCAAAAGAAAAAAACTTGTTGGCTCGCACGATTCCCGAACCCGCCCCGTGGGTCAGGCAGGGCAGGTCCACAGCCAAGGGGATACGAGGTCATAGCCATGCTATTCGTGATGCATAGTGACGGGGAAGTGTTGAGCACGTTGGACATGCTTGCTAACACTCGGCCCCCGAGGGGAGCAGGTGGAGATGTTAGGAAAGCCAGAGCCAGGAAGTGCATGCCAGGTGCGCTGGCCGTTGCTAGCATGTTCGTGGCGGCGGGGCCCATCGCGGTGGGACTTCCCTCCCCGGCCGGGCCAGCCAAAGCGGCTGAAGCAAAAGGAGGCTCGATTCCACATTGAATCGATACTTCTGGACTTCCGCTGTGGACTCTCTCGCATTTGGAAACCTCTGCCTCGGTCCCATTGATCCCTGATAGGGGCTTTCGGTATTGCTTGTATGTACCACGGTAAGCACATGCATGCGGGATAGGGACCTCTGGTGGAGGCGGGCTCTGATGGGTGCCTCGAGTCACACACTCCTGCAGGCGACCAGCGAGATAAGAGGGCAATTGGCTACGCTTGTCATGCTGCTCCTCTCCCACTAGTACGATCGTTGCGCGACTTGCATGTGGCCTGCCACACCGGGGTTGCGTGGTACGCGCAAGCGGTGAAAGAGGGCCGCTGGCACGGTGGGATAGGCCGGATCAGGCGGGCGGGCGAGGCTGCCATAGCAGATCTTCGGAGGGAGGTCCAGAATCCGGCGCTTCTTGATCCCGCGGTAGATCTTGGTGATCCAAGTCGGCTCGGGTATTTCGCCAGGGCAAGCCTGTTCTGCGGGACTGAGACAGGGGAGTGGGGGCGCAACCTTATTCAGGACTTTTCGTGTCCACGACTTTCACAGTCCTGACAGTCCACAAGCCACGGCCCAGCACCGCCCCGTCATTTCGGGCATAGCTTGGCGGGAACGATACGTCGTCAAGCTCATGCCACACGTGCCAATGCCCCGGCTGCCGCTGGGCGTTGGCCGTTTGCTAGAAATAGGCGTGTCCCAAGAAAACGGCGACGAACCGCAGACTCGGCGCCAACAACTGGATCGGCGCTGCGAGATCGTGGGGCGATGAGCGGTGCAAGAGTTGTCACCCCCCCACTGATGAGCAAAGTGATGGCAAAGACGGGGAGAGGGGCGACAAAGCTTGGAAGGGCCTTCATCGTGCTCGCTGCGGGCGAGAAAGGACCTGCACGGTGCCGATGGGTCAGGATGGCGGGATACGATCTGGCCTCTGGCCAACCGACAGCGTCTCGAAATAGAAACAGTGGGGCCGGATCACCACTCTCATCGTCCCAGGTTTCGTCATGGGCCAACGTTGCAATAATTCTGTGGGCCGCCTGGCTGGGACGGTCTCCCAGTTCTCCCAGCGCCCCACCAGGCGTGTTCTGTCTGGGCTGGGCCCGAAATTGGCGGGTTGAAGGTTTGAAGGCAGGCGAACGCTGATGAAATTCGGTAAAAGTTCCACAGAAACGCCAAGGCTGCGGGAAGGCCGGCGGCTCTATTTGAGGCTGGAATCAAACCTGGAAGACCCCGGGAATTGGCAAAGGCTTGGTTGAAAGGGCCGGATGCGTACCAAGCAGGCCAAGCTCAGATTGGTGGCTTGGACGAAAGGGGTTTCTTTGGTTCGGATCGAGTTGGGATGGCAGGTTGCGGGACCAGGGGAGGGAGCCGTGGGGGTTACTGTGCGCTCCCAAGCAGCCAAGCTACCATCCCAGGGCTCAAGGTGAAGAAGGTCAAGCTCATGCCCGAGTGGCTCTTCACCTGCATGCCGTCATAGCGTGAGGAGTGGTAGGGCATGCAGCCGTCATGAGATGAGGCACAGATACGAGGCGTGTTTTCGTCCCATGCCGAGGCTGCTGAGCCCGCTGAGCCTGCTGCCACCAAATCTTGCTGCAGGCCAATCCAGTGCAGTGTCCCGTCCATCTGCAGCACCTGCAGCTGTCACGCTGTCGTGCAGCCCTCTCCCAAATAGCCAAAAGGCCCCCTCGTGTTCGACCCGGTAAGCTACAGCCCAGACGGCGCACGCCACGCGCCACCAGCTTCAGGATCTGGTCTCGCTAGCCCAGGTGAAAATGGTGATAGGTTGAGTCAACTAAAGTAAACAGGATTGAGAGATATTGGCCGACGCCGCGCGCCAACAGAGCTCAGCCGTCTTTGAGCGGCGCGCACCGTGGCCGGCTTGGGCGAGGAAGACAACACGGCGCGTCCGTCGCTGGACCGCTGGCGGCAGAAGATGATGAGCCATCGGTGGTACAGATTACGGCATGGGACTACGCACGCTCAGGCAGTGCTCGATGCAGTTGAGGTTGCGGCTGAGTCCGACGAAGAGGCCGTTCCAGGACCGAAATTACGGGCGGCAGGTTATCATCGCTGGATGGTTTCTTGGGCTGGGAAGGAGCAAAGGGGTGCAGGGTGCAGGGTGATGAGTGGTCAACAGCTTATCAGCTTCCTGGGTTCCTGCATACCTAGGTAACTTCCCGCCCTTCAGCCCTCATAGCTTTTCGGCCGCCCTTTGCTTTTTTCGACATGTTTATCTGGTCGGCAGCGCCAACATTTCGATAACGTCGGCCGGGACCTCCAGGCCAACTCGCTACCAACTACTTGCACCCATCGAAGGAGGCGTTGGCGCCGGCGTGCTTAGCTCGGCCGGGAGCATCCCGATTATCCCGCGAAACCACAGGACTCACCTTTGGATGCCATCTCATATTGTGCAATCTCCACGGTTCCTGGATTCTTTGACATGGCGCTCACTCGTGCAAAGTCTATCTCGACCACCCCTGAGAACGGCTTCAAGCTCAGCGATGCCGCCACAATTCTTGACTCATCGAGGTCTGCCGCGCCGCCTTGGGCTAGCTAGGTAGCAGCCACGAGCTTCTTGTCTCTTTCAAGACGTGATGTGCCTTTGTTGTGGCTGCCTGGGATGTGAGAGGTAGAGCAGACGTTATTGGCAATACCTGGCTCAACATATTTCTCTTCCCATAAAGTTGAGACGGCGCGGCTTAGGCCCAGATCACGAACGAACGAAGGAATGCGCTCCAATCATCACAAGCAACAGCTTTTGGAGCTTCCATGAGAATGCTCAACTATTGGTGAAGTTTCCTTGAGCAAATCTTCTTTCATCTTGGTCATTTTGCTGAAGTTGGCAGTGATCAACTAGGTTGCACTTAGTGAAGCTTGACGGAGGAGGAACCGACTTCTTCACCGAAGTTGCCGTGGGATACCACAACACGTTCTGCACCTGGGCAGTTCCCACCCCTGCCAATGGCCACCTCTTCTACCTTTCGCCACTCAGGCGGATATATGTCATGAGTCTCACGTTTCCACGGTAATTCGTCGGCGTTGACCAGGAAAGCCAGAATAAATGGCGAGCAACCTGGGCACACTGTCTAGAACTCCGCCCGATTCATTCATCTCGCCCCCTCTGAAGCATGCTCGATGGCGAAGAACGATTTCAGAGCCGCCACGTGCAAGCGAAGAAAACCCAGTGGAATCTTCAAGGAGTAGGCTGCCTACCCTCTACTGGCAGAGCTTTCCGAGTAATGGCGATGGCGGCGAGACAGGTCAGGGAAACCCCTATTTATGTGGGTGTCTTGTCACCGTCTAATTGCAAATTGGCATCTCCCATGCCGGAACAGATCCTGGAGACACTGTATGCCAACAGGAGGTCCTGCCGGTTGAGCCCCGACTATACTGTTCGCCACTGGGAGTTCTATGTGGAGCAATACGCCAGCCACGGATTTGGGGACCACGATGCGTCTTACAACGTACCGTAACAGCACTCTCCTGCAACTCTACCCAGTCGCCATACAATAGCAGCTAATAGTCGGCCCTATCCCAGCAATTCTGGCTACTTCGTCCGAGGCATTATCTTCGCAGTGGATTAGAGAGGGTAGCCCATCGTCGTCCGAGCAGGGTCAGCAGGGTCTCACTCCGGAAATGTCATCAATGTTGTATCCACGGTTCAGCAGCAATTCATGGTTGGCATTTTGCTGATTTACCTCTGGCAATTCTTCTGTTGAGTGGTCCACCAGCACAGAAGTCGGGGACGTATAGCTCATGTATAAGTCCCTCTCGGCGGGAAATATTGTTAAAAGGGGCCACCATTCCCGGAAACAGTCCGTCCAGATGTCAACTTGATATGTGTCTCGAGCTTGGCCGCCGTGCGTCCTTATGGCCACCAGGTACTTGATATCGAGATATCAACTTGAGTTTTTGGTATATGGCGACACACGATCAGAGCCTGTATGTCCAACTTCTGGCTACCACCTCGCAACCTCTGGTCGTGGCCACCTATCTCCGTTGGTTCCTTGCCAGCCCCTGCGATCATTTGATAGCATCTAGGAACCCTTGTCGATAGCCACAGAACTAATCACTCAACCTCCCAGACGATGGGGTCTTCCCCTCTCAAAGCCCGCCATCGGTTCGTCGCCCTCACCATATCATCCTCGCCATCACCCCGGAGCAGAAATCCCCACTTCCTCAAAAAGCCCTCCGTGACCTCCCACCCGCTGGGATCCCACGGGTCTTTCCAGACTATCAGCCGTGCCTCATCTACAGCATCATCATCACCACCACCACCGGAGCCAGCCACGATCCGAACAGTCCAATCCCGCCCCTTGTCCTCTCCACAACCCTTGCCCTCTCCACAGATGCCCCTCAGGATGTCCGCACACAAGTCCTCATTGCGCAGCCTGCCCTCGGCCACCGCGACGATTGCGTTGTCCCGCATCCTGGCTGACGGGAGTATGTCTATCCACACCTCATGAGGGGTGCTCCGCTGGAGCGGCGTCGGCCTCAGGGACTCCGGGATATTGCCGGAGGGCTGGTAGCCAGCCCATGGAAACAAGGGGGGCTCGGAGTTGTTAACGGCGTATCCGCATTCTGAGTCACAAAGGAGGCTGTACGCCCCGAGGATGTAGATGTTGGTCAGGGAGGCGCGGTAGACGTTGAGCTCGATGATGGAAATGAGGTGATCTCTCGATAAGGGGAAGGAGAAGGCTGGGCGGACGGGACGTCCGGACAGGTCACATGCAATAGGCAGTGTTAACGCAGAGTTGGCGGCTGACGTGGTGGTGATTATCACGGCAGCGGAATTCGGGCTTTGGCGTGTTTTCCGGCGAACAACGGTCTGTTCCGTCCGCGTGGGTGGGACAATGACGGCAGTCGAGTCTGCTGTGCTGTGTAAACCAGCAGCTTTCCGTCTGCGGTGGGCCCTCACGTTGAGTCGGTTCTGTCTCTTCCGCCTCTCGGCTCGGTCGCGGAGACCAGTCCAGTCGTCCTCGGGACACTTTGCGTCCTGCAGCTGGCTCATCGGAGCCATTGCTATGACTTTTCCACCTCGCTGGATGTTCGTCATCTTGAGCCACGAGTTTCACGGATGAAGATGGTGTGGGGGACCTGCAACCTGCTTACACGGGATGACTTGTTGTCTTTATCCCGTCGCACCAGGCCGCCCGTCCCCTGGCCCGGCTGCCGCGATCCTCTTGCTTCCTTTGGTCTAGCGCATATGCAACCTGCTTACACCACTAATACAGATTTGGCTGGATCTCAGACAAAGACACGCCAATCAGGGCAGTGGTCAGGTCCCTAATGCGGTAACCAGGGCTGCCAGGGTCACAGCTAGGGAGGGCTGCCGAAGATCCACATGCAACTGGCTTACACCAGGGTTCTTGACTTTTCGGAAGGATACAAGTGATTTCTAGGAGGTCTACATACGTGAGAAATGTGCCGACGGTCTGATACATGTCCCGACTCATTCAGGAGTGTATAAGAGCAACACCAGCACCCCAAAAGTGCACAAGTCGGGTCACAGACGAATTCCAAAGGATACACACACCCGACAATAGCTACCAATTGAGACTCCAACAAGCACGAACTTGCAAGACACCACTCCAGACTTCCAACATGGCAGAAATAACCTGGCCAAGAATCAAACAATACCTCAAATCCCAACTCCTCACCAGGCTGCCGACCCCAACCAAGTCCTTCGCGGGCCAGACAGTGATAGTAACCGGCTCCAACACAGGCATGGGCCTCGAAGCAGCCCGCCACCTCGTCCGCCTCGACGCCGCACGCGTGATCCTCGCGGTCCGCAGCACCGCAAAGGGCGAAGCCGCCGCGGCCTCGATCCGGTCCTCCTTCCCCGACAGGCGCCCGGAGGACCTCGACGCCGTTGTGCAGGTGTGGCCGCTCGACCTCGCCTCGCACGCGAGCGTGAAGGCCTTCGCGGCCAGGGCGGCGGCCGAGCTGGACCGCTTGGATGTGGTGATCAATAATGCCGGCATGTACATGTATAAGAGCGGCTTCTCACTGGCCGAGGGGGACGAGGCGACGGTCACGGTGAACGTGGTCAGCACGCTGCTGCTGGGGTTGCTGCTGCTGCCCAAGCTGAGGGAGACGAGCATGAAGTACAACAAGGAGTGTGTTTTGACATTCACGGGGAGCTTTGTCCACTTGATGACGGCCTTTCCAGAGGGGAGGAGTGAGAACATATTTGAGGCGCTGGCGGACGAGAAGGCGGCGAGGATGCCTGATAGGTAAGCGGTCTCCCATCCCCCTTCCCCGTCGTCAGTCTTGGGACAGAGATTCTGAGGAAAGGCAGGTACAACGTCTCCAAGCTGATGGAGCTGCTCCTCGTCCGGGAGCTGGCCGGCCACATCACCAAGTCGTCCAAGCCGGGCCGCGTAACGACGTCCATCCTCAACCCTGGCTTCGTAAGAACGGATATCATGAGGGACGCCAGCTGGCTGTTCCACATCTACTATGTCTGCCTCGCGGCCCTCATGGCCAGGACTCCGGAGGAAGGAGGGCGGATCCTCGTCAACGCAGCGGAAGGAGGCGAGGAGACACACGGGCAGTACCTCGATGACTGCAAGGTCGGGACGTAAGTGCGAGTGCGAGATCCTAAATGTATGATGGTTCAGTAGCTGACACGTGTCCTAGGCCATCGACTTTTGTCAGAAGCCCAGAGGGCCAGAAGGTTGGGCAACAGCTCTGGTCGGAGTTGGCAGCGAAGCTTGAGGTCATCCATCCTGGTGTTGTAAACAATGCGTGAGGAGTCAGTCCATTGCATGTACAGTGTTCTCTTCTGGTCTATATACAAACGCCTTGCGCCGAAAGTTACTTGACCTCCAACCTCAGAGCATCATACTGTACATAAATGCTCCTCGGCAGCAGTGCGCTCTCATAGTCCGTAGCATTGAAAGGCAGGCTAAGTACGATCTCGTTGGTAATATTCTTGCCAGCATGCAAGTAAGTTGTTGGAAAGGTCCACTTGTTGGACACGTGGTAGCATGTGATGCCACTGCGAACCGCGCACGATGAAGAGTGGCAGTATCTATTGGAGTGGTTTCATGTCAGTAGGCAGAGGATACTGAAGGAATGGAGAAGACTCCAATTATGCTGACTTACGGGATCGTCCAGGTCTCCAACTCGTGACCGTTCATCACCACGGTGTAAGGGATGTTGGCGTACGGCTGCGACGCATTGAAGACATCCGTATTCCCGGAAGCCGACTTGGCACCAGCGAGCTGGATAGTGAAGACGGCCTCCGTCGTCCCGGCCAGGGCCTGGTCGTCCACGTCGAACGTCACGGTCCAATTGTTTATATTGCCGTCGCCCTCGACTTGCGTCGGGCGCACAGAGTTGGCGTAGCCGCCAAAGACGGACCAGTGGACGTAGTTAAGGTCCTTGGCTTCGTCGGAGGTGCCGACGTGGAAGTTCACGCCTTCAGGGAAGTCGTCCAGGTAGTCGTATGCGGCCCAGTAAATGCGATACTCCGGTGGGTGGAGGGGGTGGTCTGGGTCGGGGTGGTCGCCGTGGAGCCACTCGCCGCCGGTCTTGTCTGGCGTGCCTATCCTCCAGAGCTCCTTGCCAGCCGATTCGGCTTCCCAAGTGATAACACCACTGTCTGTGGTTTCTCCAGCCTCCACCACAATGTCCTCCTGGACGTAGTCACCGAAGATTCCGTTCGCGTACACGGTCAGCCTGTAAGTGCCAGCCTTGATTCGATCGATCTGGATCTCGCCCGTTTCGCCATCGATGTCCGCCCAGTACTGGTACGCATCGGTGTCATTGCTGTTGTCCTGGAAGTCGAAGCCCGGGACCGACAATATCGCGACCGGGTTCTCGCCGCCCTCGGGAATCTCAACGGTGGCTTTCCAAGAGCCGCGGCCAGAAGTGGGCACGTAGTTGGGCACGAGATGCGCAATGTCATCGTAGAATTGTGCGTTCCACTCCGGAGTGGCCAGCTCGAGCGCCTCGTTGTACAGATCCTGCCACTCAGTCCCGGGCTCGCCCTTGTTGAAGAAGTAGTATGACGGGCCGAACGTCCGGTCGAACCCGTCCACGATGTTGGGTGCCTGGTTACCGTGGTGGTTGGAGACGATGTAGTTGTACACGATGCCGTCCACGACGAGATCCGACCAGGTCGGGCCTCCGAAGTAGGTATCCTTGGTGTTCATAACGAACCAGGAACCGAAAGTCGACCCATCGTTGCTGTGCTTGCCGTCTGCAAACATGCCATGCACTTTCTGGTCCCTCCACACGCTCGAGAAGGTGTACTTCGTGAAGTAGTCAGAAAACGCCTCGACATATGGATCTGCAGTCCTGTTGCCGAGGTACCAGGTCGCATCCTGCACAGTGTATGCCAGCGAGGAGTTGCCTGCTGCAGGGTTCGGGACGGGAGAAGGGCCGTGGATCTCCGAATCGGTGACCAGCTCTGTCCAGAGCGGTGTGTTCGGCCTGAAGAGGGTCCGGAATTCTTGGAAGACGCCCGACAAAGGCTTCGTCTTGTTGTGGTAGGCGAAGCGGCTGAACATGTGCAGGCCCGTCTCGCCGTCCCGGAGGAACCAGTACTGCTCAAGCACTTGACCTGTTGGAGCATAGACCTGGCTCATGGAGATTCCTCCATAAGAGACATTCAAAGAGTCGACACCCGAGTACAAAGTATAGTTGGCATTTTGAGATCCTGGCGTGTAGAATCCACTAGGAGTGCAGTAACAATCCAAGTATGGTCCAATGCCGCTGGCGCCGTTCCCTGTGGAGCCACCAGGCGTGACAGGGGACGTGGCTGTTGTGCCGAGGAGATTCTGTCCATCGAGATAGAGGTAATTGATGGATCCCGTTGACTTGTTGACGGCGGCAGTCAGTCTGTCGTTGGCGATGAGCAGGTACGAGTCGGTCTGGTTCGCAACCAGGGCACCTCGGACAGTTGCTGCGAGCGAGAGGAGAGGCAGGGCGCCTTGCCTAAGCAGCCATCGGAAGTGCATCTTGACGGGAAGAGTGTTTTGTCCAGGCACCTTCACCATCTCCAAGGGAGAGGCAGGGCCTGTCGCACACACTATTCATGCCCCCATCCTGTAGATATACCTCTCCTGTCGTGGCACTCTGTCCCGAGGATAGACTTGGTCCATGGTCACGCGTCAGTCAATTGGTCGGAATATTGCCAGCCAAGGAGGGTGAAAGTCCGTGGCGGTGGAGATCGGAAATTGGAATCGCGGTGGGGCTTCCCCTAGGTTGACGTTGGTCGCCCCCAGACAAGCAGGCGGCGGCCTTGCTAGCCTGCCTAGCAGTGCGGAGAACTCTGGGGAGAAGGACCACTCTGCTGGGAGAGACCACATGGGTCATGGGTCTTCGGTCTATTGAAGGCCGGATCGCCAGGGCAGGCCAAGCCATGGGAATGCACATCACGAATGCTTCCTGTCCGCCCTGTCCGTCTGTCTAACCAGAGGGGGAGACCATTCCGGCCACGGAGTGACATTGGATGCCGCCCTCTTGCATCATCCTGCCTTCCCGAATGCGCATGAGAGCTTGCGAGATTAATACTGTGAAAATGCATCACGACCTTGTAGAAATCAGCCCGATTCTGCGCTGATTGTGTCCGTCACAGAGCTTACTCCCGCGTGGAAACCATCTGTGGATAGCAGCTCAACGGGCACAGGGTCACATCCGCTGAAAGACGAACGGGTAGCCAGCGGCGTGGATGTTCTTGAACATTTTCCTGGTCCCCTTCGTCATACCGCAAGTGCCTCATCAGAAGTACAAACCCCCGCCCAAATACACCCTCTCAATTCTGAGATGAGAAGAAACCAGGCACTTCCGTCCTCAGAGTTCATGGCCGGGACTCGCAGGTCCCACGGAACTAACAGTGGACCTAGAATAAGGTATTACCTGCGTGCGAGAGGAATGGAATGACTACTGCCATCCACAGTGGTCAGTCACTTTACCTGCGCCCACTTGTGTGTGGAAAAGTCAAGACATCTTGTGGAGAAATCGCAGGCCGATGATGTATGGGCGATACCCAGTGCTCTGGGTCGCTGCTGGTCTCAAACCTCCGAAGCTTATTGTGGCCATTCCTGTGCAACGACAGCCCGGCCAAGCTCGCCCCGAGAGCTTGGCTACGCAGCCTGGATAAAGCTAATCCAATACCACGTTTTGGACGCACAACGTTGTCCCAATTCATCTAGCTCGACATGGAGCTTCCGCCTCGACGGTTCAGGTTTGCGGCTCGCACCAACCGAAATGTGAGGGGCGGATCACGAAGTGCTTTTGGGCAATTTCCCTCAGCCCACGAGGCCAGTGCATCGCAGCTTGGCATCAGTCAATGATAATTTCTGGTATTGTTTTGTCTCAGAAGAATGTAAACGATTACTAATGCTCCTATCGTGATATCGTGGCCCGTAAAACCTGTCGACCTTCTTGTCGACAGCTTCTGTTGCTGTAGTCCTGTTGATGCTGTAAGAAAATGTCCTCGACCGTCTCTGCAATCAACATCGAATGCCTTCCTCCCAGTTGGAGCTATTCCATTCGATGGTGCAGATGGCCTGAACGGTAATATCGTGGTCGGGAGTATGCATTTAAACATGCCGATTCCTTCTCGTTGAACGTCGACCCGCCCGAGACCCTCAGGCGCCATCGTCGTTGGCAAGATGCCACCAGCCGAACAAGAAATCCACGGACTGCTTTCTCATCGGCATTGTGCGCTGCTGTGTCTTTCCCAATACTCGAAGCAGGGTTCCCGGCTGGGTTCTTTCGAAGTAGGTCCCATGTGCAAAATCGGCTGACAACTCCCTCCGTGATTGGTGTCAGAGCCCATGGGGTATAATCGCCAACGTGCGAGCCATGTACTGCCCGGTGATATATCGCCTCCTCGTCTGTTTCCTACATCTTCACTGCGTCGGGATACTTTGGCGGACTTCCCCTGCTCGAAGCCTTGTCTGTGTCGGTCAGCTCCGCACCCGCACCGAATGGATTCTGCGCCTCCACGAGTTGCTGTGCCGACAGACGGTTCGCTTGAGAAGGTGGTTGTTTCAGATGGCCGCTCTTGCCTCCCTGCTTGCTGGGGATCTCGTCGAGTCCGTAGTCGGAGGCGTCGTGATGGTCGTTCGCGAATTCGGCTTTGGCGTTGCGTTGGGCGCGGAGGTGAAGCATGACCAAGACGCCAATGACGGCGATGAGAGCGACGACTCTGTATGTCATGAGCTGACGATCAGCCGACTGTCTCGCCCCGGGTGGGGTACTGCGAGTCACATGGAGGTGGGGGACCTACCCAATTGCTGCCATGAGTCCGATCTTAGAGTCTGTGGACATGGAGGGCTTCTCGCAGGTGTTGACCTGTGCGCTCTCTATACAGTCCTTTCGGCGAGTCAACACCGACCGGGCCATCCTGCCGCCGCGTCTCAGGAGGCTGTTGAAGTTGGAAGGAGAGGATGTGGCCACGGTGGTGTCCATTGCTGCTCGAGCGGCGGGGGACCGAATGTCGCGAGAATGTAGTCTCTCCATGATGACGTCCTGTATTGCGTTCTGCCGCTTCGAGGAGGTTCAAGTACTGGGACTAAGGAGCGTGATTGCCGAGGCTGCGGGTCAGGGGCTGCAGGCGGACTGGAGGTGGTGCAGCGCTTGCCGAATGACGGTGAGAGCGACAGCGACAGCGACGATGTTGCGAATAGGATCAAAAGTCAAGTCGTGGTCTGAGGTCGAAAACGGGGTAGTAAATCGATAAATGAATGTGCTGAAATGGTGCAAACGGCTCTGGGAGCCCCGGGCGATCGATATGCCACGGCAGGTCGTCGTCAGAACAAAGGAATGTTCGGAGAAGGTAGGGAGAAGGCTAGAAGGGGGCCCAGTCCACGACGATCCACAATCTGCAATCCACACGATCCACACTTCCACTCGCAACACGAAAGGGGGCTGGCTGTCAAGGGAAGGTAAGGAAAGAAAGATTGGGTTGTGCAGGGCGGCGGGCGCAAGGAAAGAACGCAGCGTGGAAAAAGAGTGGAAAGAATGGAAGGAACTAGCCTCGGGCGCCCAGCGAGGAAGCAATGACAATATGAGAGGAGACGGCCACAGCGGAAGGGGTAGCCAAATTTGGTGGTCAGAGGATCTCGGGAAGGAGCAAGTGTGTGTGGCTTTGTTGTGCCTAGCCTGGTGGTGGTTCCTGGCTGGCTGGCTGGCTCGCAAATCCTCAAGGTTCCTGCGGCGGCAAAAGCTTAGCGGGTTCCGTGAGCGTGGCAGGTGTGGTACGTTGCTGCTGGAGATTCCAGTGGATGGCCATGCCTCCCCTGGCCTCCCCTGCCTTCCCTGTCGACCTTCAGCTGCAATGTCCATGCAGGGTCCCACATTAAATGCAGGAACGGCAAGCTCATGGCTGGCACGATTGGCCAATGGGAGCGGCAGGGGCGTGTCGGATGCGGAAGGGGGCGGCAAAATTAGAGGGGCTCCCCTATGTGACACTTAGAAAATAGATGCGACTTTGCTCGCCCTTCCCCAGGTTTTGACTCGTGCGTCTCGGCATTCTGAAGCAGCTGGGCTCCTGGTTTTGGATCTCGAGGCGATTCACAAGCACGCGAGTACTCCGAGTGTGTATCATGGCATCAACGAGGTGTCATCGAGGGTGCCACCATAGCCAGTCGATCGATGGCAGGTGACAACCTGAACGGCATGCATCACCGCACAGCCCAGTGGGTTACACTTCCCGCAGAGATCGACGGGCTGCATCAGTCTTGAGCGTATGGTGTGGTGAACAGACGAACAGACAGAACTGGACTCGAAACAATTCCATCCGTGCAATCAGGCAAGTACACCACAATGCAGGCCACCAAGAGGAACATTCGACGAAGACGGCCCCGTTGAAGATCGATGCAAGCACACATCTGCGCCTGCTCAGACCAGGAGATTAAAACAATGTCGCCAGCGTTTCTCCATCGCTCGCAGCCGTGATCAAGCAATCAACCCCTCAAGCAGCAATTTAATGATCCGAGATACCCTGTGATCCTCCTGCACCACGCAATCAAACTCAAAAGCAACGCGGTGCGCGACTTTGCACCACCTGTAAGTCACCAGGATTGGCCAGGCACCTACCACTCGACGTGTTCTTGGCGGGGTGCACGTCGGAGAATTCCACAGAAACAGTCGCTTCGCATGCACCTGTCGATGTTGACAATTGATTGAGCCTGTGGCAGGTCTCGACCAGACGAGACAGTCGGTTGCCCACGACAGATGCGCTGCAACAGGTGAGAGTACCGGAGGCCACGGCAGTTCTCTCGGCCTCAGCGCTCGCATCAGTGGGTATCTGCGCTCTCCCCAGAATACGAAGTCTTTGAGGTGAGGCGAGGTGACCGTGACAACACACTCCACCGGGAGGCCCCCGCCAGCGCCACGGGCCGGGAGGCAACCAGGGCCCCGATGAGCAGGTCGGTGTTCAGCTAGGGTTAGGGGTCATCTGCACTGGAAACCACCTACCAAAGAGGGCGGAGAGTGGGTGACGAGCCCTCAACCTCGGATATGGCCAACCCTGCCGGCCACGAGGAACAGTACGGATATCTCGGAGTGGTTTGTGTTGAATATTGGCTCTATCCAGTTCGTCATTGGCACATTATCCTACTTCAGGCAGCGCACAAACGCACCCAACTGCTGCTGCAAATCGTCGAAGACTTGTAGGTTGCTGCATTGTCTACAGGTGATTGCAATGCAGTTGTGGCGAACAAGCCCAAAAGAGAATCAGTACCAGGGCTGGATACGAACTGGTTGTGTGTTGCATTGGCAGCTCGTATGGAGAGATGAGGCTAGAAGTAATTGGGTAGCGTGGGACCACCCAGAGTGCTGATCACCTACAAATCAGGTTGAAGCTGACCTCGGGACAGTAAGCACTTTCTCAGCATCCCGCTCGGACTGACCAGGCAATCCACTGCTTTGACTTGAGTCTCTGGCTTCTGATGGGCTGAACTGTTAGATTCTGTGTGCCGAAAGCCAGCCAATCTCGGTGCTTCATTGATTCAGACTCCTTCGCAGCCTCAAAAACAGCACTGGGACACTGATCTCCAATCACGCGAAGCGTGGCTCCGTGCACTTTACCGAGTCAAAGCCGCATTTATCTCGCTGTTCATGACCGTCCCCGTTGACCAGGATAACTCCACATTGGGACTTGACTCAATTCGCAAGATGGTAATGTCCACATTTACGAGTGTTCTATCAAGTCGTACGGCACAGCACGATATTGTGTGTTGGATTACACAAACAAACCAAGGTCGTTGGCGCTATTTCTACTCCACAACAGCGAAGCTCCAAGCAGGACACACATGCGAACCTTGACTAGATAACACTCACTCGGAAGCCGAATCCAGAGCGTGTTTTCTTGGAAGGGGTAACGCCAATGCATGGCCAATCTCTGAGCGGAGTGCTTACAGCTCTCGGACCCACACGACACTGATAGCCTCCGGCAAGTATCGATATTGCCTGAGCTCATGAACATTCGAGCCCAAGAATCTCGCCGGATACCGAGAGTACACTCTACTTACATTGTCTGTCTCTACAATATACGAGATCCTCGGGTGCGGCGAAGTAAATACGTCACATGGCTGGGCCCTTGGGCCGATTCTGATGATCTCAACACCTTTCCGTACTCTTCTTCAGCCCTGTCGACAAAGCTGAAGTTTTTCCAACGACGATCTGACATTAACCGCGAGCCTCGCTTCTCGGCTCAAGGTGAATGGGGATATGATCGAGATCTCGGTAAGTCGAAAAGTACGGAAGCACTCCATACGGTGATTGGGTGAGGGGGGGTTTTGGGCAAACACATGGTATGCTGTGGCAGAGAAACCCGGTACTGTAACTTAGAATTTGATGTGAAAGATACATGGATAACTTTTCCTACTTCTTTCTACTTATGTTTCTTGCATCAGATGTCTTTGGAAAATTCCGAATGAATGTCCACCTGATCTGCCTCAATAATATGAGACACTTGGCCTCGATGTTCAATTCAGTGAGCTCGGGCTGATGACAAAAGCCCGCTAGGAAAGGCTATTCAGTGTATCTTCGGGGATCGAAACCTCCAAACTGCTATGCAGTAGTTCATCGTAGCGGCGAAAGCAGAAGGTCTGATGCCAAACGACGTTGCTGCTCGCTGGGTTGTGCATGGCGAATGACGAGATGCAGTCATCCTGGGGGCAAGCAAGATATCGCAAGCTAGAGACACTGTCCATTCGATTGAGAAAGGACCTCTACCAGCGCACTCAGTGGAGGCAGCGGATGAGATGTGGAGTCTGTGAAGGAGACCAAACATGCTGTAAGATGATCCAGATCTCAGAATTACTGCACTTCTTTTAGCCGTCCGGTTAACAAGTGCAGTGGGGGCAAGGCCCGTTTGAATCCAGGCATTCCGCGACAGTGTCTGCGGCTACTCTGGACGTACTTGGGTAAGTACACGTTGTTGGACAAGCAAAAAAGTACCTTGCTTAGGTCGTACAAATAGGACATGGTCTTCTCGTCCCGATTCCGATGAGTCGATTACCAGCCGCACGAAAGATAGAGGTGTTGTGTGGAATGGCAAGGTGTAGCACCGATGTCTCGCAACACAGGCTTTCTTCGGATTCGCAATGGTGATGCCCGCATCTCCTTATGATGACAATGATGACACTCTGCTCTTCAGTACAAGCTGGCTCCGAAAGACCCAAGTCATTCAAACCTGTCACTGTACCTGCTACACTCAAATGACGGCGTGTCTGAGTGGGAGATAAATCATAAACCAGCACTTGACAGCACACAGGAGAAGTCCTACATCTCGGCTGCCCCAGACTCTGGCTTATTGTGAGATAGCTGATCCGCCTCAGAGAGGTTACTCGAGGTTTAGCAAACCAGAAACAGCTGGGGAGCACAGAACATACTGCATTCTGGAATCAAAACGGCGAGGTTGGTTTCGGAATGCGGTTACTTTGGGTGAACAAGACTGCCGACTTGATGTGCAGTATGAGCATCGGCTTGCCATTTAGCCACGGCGACCACATGCACCCTCTGGCATTATCACCTCACTTACCATTGTATAATATTCTGTAACAAACCATCCCGGAATGGTGTTCTGTTCAAACAAGGAAAGCAGTCTTAAAGCAAAGTCATTTTGGATCATTTGTCCATTGCATTTCAAGTTGTTCAGGAGAATGCTCGCGCAGATCCCACCGGCCAAGAGTGGGCAGGAAACCCTGAATAGATTGGCTCACCTTTGGCGAGTCGGACAATAGATGAGGGGCCGGTCATACTGTACGCTGGAGCTCGTTCGCATCGCGCAATGCATATGCTGTGCTACCGTTTGCTGTACATGCAAGGATAGGGTGTGAATCTTGCTTCGGCTCGGAAATTGACCCTATCGGTCTTTCCCCGCCTCATCGCTCAAGCAAACACCTTTTGAGGAAGCAGCTTCACGTAGACCTCCTATTCCCAGTACTCTCTTCCGCTGCTCGACTTCTAACCGAGCTCCATCCCTAGGGGAGACGATCTTTTGCTCTTCTGTCGTTTCTGGAAACCACATCTCTTTAAGACGGCTCATCATGTATTTTTATAACCTAGTCCTGTTGTTCGGACTCTGTGGGGCCTCTTCGCACCTCAACAAGAGGTCCGAGGAGTTTGTCATCGACCGCAACAACTTCCCGTACGTCCCATTTGACATAGGCGAGTCTTACGGTGGCCTGCTTCCTGTGTCTTCCAATCCCAATGACACGCAGAAATTGTACTTCTGGTTCTCGCCTTCAGAGAACCCTGCAGCAAGCAACGACATCACCATCTGGCTGAATGGCGGGCCGGGATGCTCGAGTCTGATTGGGTTGCTCCAGGAGAACGGCAACTTCCTATGGCAGGCTGGCACAACGCAGCCGGTCGCGAACCCCTGGGCGTGGACCAAGCTCACGAACATGGTCTGGATCGACCAGCCCGTGGGCGCTGGGTTTTCTCAAGGCGAACCCACTGCTTACGGCTCGGATGACACTGCCGATCAGTTTCTGGGCTTTTGGAAGAACTTCGTCGACACGTTCAATTTGACGAATCGGGAAGTGTACATGACAGGAGAAAGCTATGCTGGCGTGGGTTAAACAGGAAATGAATCTCCCACCACCATTTCTGCAGAGTGCTGATGATATTCGCATCAGAAATACATTCCTTACATTGCCAAGGCAATGCTGGATGCCAACGACACGGAATACTTTAATGTCCAAGGAACTATGCTCATTGATCCAGCCATAAGCCCAGATGTAGCGTTGGTTGAAAGTAAGCACTCTAGCTTATCCAATCTCTCAATCAGACGCTCGCTAGCCTGATCTCCCCTGGATGAGGAGGTTCCCAAACTTCTACCATCCTCCAATGTCAAGGATCCGTCTTCTTCGGGGTACAAATGAGCTGACCAGGCACCAGTCCCCATGCTCGACTTTGTCGAGAACAACCAAGCATTCCTGCGGCTCAACTCTTCATTCAAAGATGAGATTCGCACAGTCCACCAAGAACAGTACAATTATACTTCATTCTTCGACACATATTTCAAATTCCCCACCACGGGCCCTATGCCAACCCGGCCGGATATAGACGAGGGATCCTCCCCCTTCCGTACCTACGTCACCGAGGCCGCTACTCTGATCAATCCCTGCTTCAACGTCTACCACGTTACCGATACCTGCCCAAGCCTCTACGACCCATTGGACACGTTCGATGCCGCCAACACAGGCCTGGGGGGCTACTTCAACCAGACCGAGGTCCAGCGCGCAATGCACGCCCCGGAAGTCTCCTACTCCACCTGCGGCCCGCGGTCCGTCTTCGTTAACGACAGCGCAACCGGCGGCCCGGGGAACGGCGGCGACCTGGCCCCACCCGCGTCCTTCGGCGCGCTCCCGGCCGTGTTCGACGGCGTTCCTCTGAACCTGGTCCTGAACGGCGCCCTCGATATGCTGATCCCCTCCGTGGGCACCCTGTTTGCCCTGCAGAACGTGACCTGGCGCGGGGCGACCGGCTTCAGCGCCGAGCCGACGCAGACGTTCGTCGTGCCGTCTTCGACGGGCAATGCTAGTCTTACCGGACAGGCCGGAGAGATGGGCACGTGGGCTTACGAGAGGGGTGTTGTGTTTGTGGGTGTTGCTGGGGCGGGTCATGAGTTGCCGGAGTATAACCCCAGTGCTGCATTTAGGCTGCTCGAGGTGCTACTTGGGAGGGTTGGTGTCGAAGACGGCCTTGGGCAGGGGGTTGATTGGACTACGCCACTGACATGAACTCGGACGCATGCTGTGTGTTGGTACTCGCCTGGCCCAAACTCCAATCTTCAGGCTTGGGACATATAGCTTACACATGGTCGGTTGTCACGAATGTCAGAAACGTTGCTTCCATTCTCGCGTGGCGAGTAGCTCATTTGAGGTCTTGAGTAGACACTCTTTCTGTGCTCAAGTGGTGCATCTAAATTTTCCAAGACGCTGCATCATCCCCACTTACTGCAGAGTAGAATGATTTGTATAGCACACCTCATAGACGCGCTGTCTGCGGCTTAGGGATGATGTATTGACTGGTATTGTCTACCGAAGTATAGTAGCCACAGTTCAGGTGTGATTGTAACAGTGAGGTACGCAATCGTCCGGCAATCCAATTCCTACATTGGGAATCACAATCTCTGGATCCAGTAAACAATCCCACCCCAAAGACAGAATATGAAAAAGATGCTCAGGGTAAACCATGCTATTGCATCAGCTTCTTCCTGAGACGTCGGCCCTTTTTTCCAGCCTCTCCGAGAGTTCAGCGTCGTCGAGTCTTGTAGTTCGTCATGCATTGTCTTCTGCTGCTTATCATCAAATCAGTCAACACAACCATGGTTGACGCTCCGGGAGACTTGAGAATACTGACCTCTTGAGCTCCATAGAACATGGCATCTTCGGTTGGGTCCGTTTTCCTGGACGGAGACTGCCCATCCGAGCGGGACAAGATCGACGGTGTCTGTTGCGGCTGGTCCTTGTTGACGAGGAGAGAGTCATGACTTCTAGAGACAGCAATGAACGGTCCTAAGGGATGTTGGGCTTCGAAGTCTTGCCACCCGGTCAGAGTGTATGACTCTGGAGTATTCTTTTCGATGCCATGGAGTTGTTCAGTCGGGTTCGAGGAGGCTCCAGCTGAATCAGAAGGTGCATTCTGTACCCGTTCAAACTTGATATGAGGGCCGGAGGGCTGGAGCCGGTGGCTGCAGGCCAGTATGCATCCCATTATCATGAAAATTACGGATATCTTGACTAGAAATGACATGGTGAGGTGGGGCAGACGTCGTCGCCTGGCGTCAGGTAAGTGTTGGAAGATTCAGGCCCATGCAGATAGAGGTATCGAGACGTTGGGGTACAAAGTGAAAACCCAGGTGCTTCAAGGTGCTGGAGGAGGCAAAATGGGTTTCAACACGGGAAGCACCGACCCAAAAGGAATGCTAAAGGGAGCGGGAAGGTGTGGCCTGGTGAAGTCGCTATAATTTTCGCATTGAATGGGAGTACGGTGGGTAACTTGAAGGCGCATGTACGTCTAAAAAATGAATTTCCTGTAGGCCCCTTCCGCAGAGCCAGTTGTTCTGGCCTCTCGCTGAGCTAGATCTTGGCTGCAGTTCTCATTCTAATGAACCAGTGTCTATTTGCTCTTTCTCGATCTGCACAAAGTGAATCGTGGTCTCCTATTCTTCCAAAGGGACATGGTGTGCCCACTGCACTTTCACCCAAATGACTGAATGCAGTTGCTCCGTAATCGAGACTCTGCCAAACCGTCGCCAAGACGCTGCTCGAGGTACGCGCCATTGCCCAGGGGAGGTATGGTACACTCTTAGACTATCAGTCGGAAAGAGTCGTCCAGACCCTGGTGACCAGCTGCTTCGAAGGGGCCATTGTCTTGACCTTCTTCCCGTCCTGGTCTTCCTCATACTCATCAGACATGAAACTAGCGATGATCTCCCCCCTGAAAGGACTGGGAGGCTCCGCCCAAACATGCGTCACAGCGTCGTTCAGACATTCGATGTTGATTGCCTTGTACCCCTTCGCCGCGGCGTCTCGCTGGAGATACCTAGCAAGAGCAGCCATGATCCCCTTGCCCTCATACTCATGCCTCGTGCTCGTCGCGTTGCGCATGAGGATCTCCCCCCGCTGCTTCGCCGGCTTCCAGCTGTCTATGGGGCGGGGGTCCAGCACATCAAGCTCGTGGTATATAGTTCCGAAGACAGGAAGGGTCTCGACCAACTTCCCTATGGGGGCCGGGTCCAGCGGGTCAACCCCGTCGTAGGAAAGAGCGACGCTGACGAGGGGGAAGTCCATCGCTTCGAGGAGCTCCTCCCCCGAATACTCGTTATTTTCGGGATCCCAGTAAAATTTGCCGTTGGTCGAGGCGGATTCAGCTTTCTTGTACTGGTACTCGGTGTCGAACACGCCGAGGGACAGGCCCGAGGCGATCTGGTGATCGACGAGGTGGGGGACCTCTCTCATCATGTTGTTGAAGCGGGCGCCTTTGCCTTCCGGATAGACATGGGGAAAGATGGTGCTGTGGAACAGGTTACTGTGGCAGACGATGGCGCCGGCCCATTGTGAGTGCTCTGGGGCGAGCTTGCGGATCTCATAACGAGATGGCAAGTTTGTTGGGTTTGTCATTGTGGTTGGTGTAAACCTTGTGATTTGAGCGTCTAGAGGTTTGAGGTCTATGAAGAAGATGGCATTAGTGCGTATGCGCTCACTTAGAAAAAGAGGGGAAGAAATCGCACAGACACCAGGACACGAGTGCGACAACTACACAACAATGATCCGAATATCGCTGACGTGAGAATTCGAAACGGTGTACAGCACCTGCTTAGTAAAGTCTAGCGCTTACGCTTCATCATGCAGTGCACATGAGACGGACATGCGGGTAGGTCAATACCGGGTTGGAAAGACCTCCCTCAATTACTAAACTTGTTACCTCAATGAAGGGGAGCATTAGAATATTGCGACAGCGCTGTACTGATCTCGTCAAGTCATTAGGCTTTTTGGTTAACCAACTGAAGCTTTTCCCTCCTAACTCCATTGACTCAGGTCTGCTACACCTGAGCAACGTTGGAAGTGAGACGATTCTATTAACTGCTGGCATAATGGGCCGCTCGGCCAAAAGACCAGTAATTTCCAATCCCTTGGAAATACACCCAGCAGTCTATAAGCCGTACCGTCACAGGAAGGACTTATGAAGCTCGCGCCCATGTCTTACACCGACTTCAAACTATTGTGTGAGCAGGGCCAACGGCCATACACGCTTGAATTTATATTCATCTGTGCAAGACGTATTTGTTCAGAAATTTCTCATATGCCTCTCAAAGGGTTGCTTCTCGTTGTCTACAGTATACAAATCATCATGAGCCATCTGACTTCTGTGACATCACGAGTGATTGATTCTGGGACTTCAGTCCTACGTGACACAAAATTTGAATACGGTCTATCGACAAAGTCAAGTAGGCTCGGTAATCGAGCGGTTACTGAGCTGCATGTAGCCCCAAACAGACACCTGTGAGCATTAGTAGACTCTGGCCAGAGACTTGATTCATCATAGCGCGGCCACAACATCCGCGGAGTGCATTGTCTACAGGGACAAAGAAGAATCATACAAAAGACAATTGTGCTGATTCCGTGCGTTTGGACTTTTAATATATCGTAGTGGGATCCTTCTGTCACTGTCTGCATTGTCCCTTTGTGTACTAGTCTCGGAAATGGTTGCTCTTATCCATTGTATCTACACAGATGCCATTAAATTTCATGCTTGTTTAATGCACGTTACATTTGCAACAACGCGTGTGGCCTTTGGCGAACTATATAGGTAGGAAGCGTCCGATGCAGAGTGCGGAGGTATCATGGACATCTGCAAAAGCATCGATCACACGCACAACTTTTCTACACTTGACCCAAACTCAAATTCATTGCAGTAAAATAAATACTCAACAGGATGATTGGCTACAACGGTCACTATCTCGAGCCAAAAGTTATGGCTGATGGCCGTTCTTTCACACAGCCCAAAGGTCAGTTTTGCCTTCGGTACCTCATGTTCCGGCAGCGGAAAGCCAGACGCTCCCCCATCGCAGCGCTCTGACAGGGAGGAGAGAGCCGAGGGGAGAAAGGCTGTTTCTTTCAAGACAAAGGAAATAGGATTTTGCCCAGCTTGCCGTAAGTTCTTTGCGAATGTCCAAGCGCATCTTCCACAACATTCATCCCTTCAGTACCAGTGTACGCAATGTAACCCCAACACCAGTCTGGGATCCTTACTGGACCTATGTACTCACATGCTCAGGGCACACCCAGGTGAGCTCTGGTCCTGCATCGGCTGTGAGGAGTGGTTTGCAAACTGGCATGAATTGAAGATCCACTTCAGTCGGGCTCACCCAGAGCAAATTATCGGTTGAAATCAACGTTGAAATTGAGTAGAAAGTAGTGCAAGACACGTACTAGGATCTACAGTATGACCTTGGCGTCTGAGATTACAATAAGATATCTGTTGAAATTGGGTTTCTTTTTGCCGTGAAGCGGCGTTAATTCAATGCCACAGGCGGCTGGAAAGTTTGGACCTATTTTATATGCAGACTTATCGCCTTGATGAGCTATTACATGGAATAACTTTTGAAAAGAGAATCAACCTCTTCATTCATCTTCTATTCTCATTGAATAGATTCTTTTGACTGAGGGCCCAGCACAGCGTGACCTAACCGTCACCAATTTCAACCAACATCATCACTCATCCGCTTATTCCATGTGATTGTTTGCAAGGATTACATTACAATGTGAGGTTATATACTCGTCAACTGATAGACTTAACCATTTACGTAAGGTCCCCCAATTCGGGGTAAACAGGCCTTAAGATTTCGTTCCGTGGCAAGAGTGCGAATGAACAGTGTCATACGTCGTCCTCCCAGATATACTAATAAAGTCACATCTGAAAAACCTAGATGAAGTTACCGCCGCCGTTGCAACGAGAAAGTGGAGCACCATCAGCAATCTGCTTCTGGCAGAGGTTGATGTTGCCCTGGACCCAGGTGAGACCACCGCGCTGGCCCTCCTGGTGAGAAGTTGCCTGGAAGTCGCCCTGGGAGGTCTGAAATAGACCTGAATTAGATCAGAGCGCACCACATAGAAGGAGAAAACGGAAATGGCAGGACTTACCTGTGCGCCAATGCAGCCCTTGAGGATGCGGCCGGACCGGCGCGTGACTGTGGGCTTGGTGACAATTGCACCAGAGTATCCTGGCGTGACCTCGTACGCCATCGCAGCCTGGTAGGTGGTTGTCCAGGAGTGCGATTAGTCGATCTTCAGGGCACCCTTGAGGACGTCTTTTACGAAGGTGTAATCGAGACCGGCGCCGGCAGTAAGACCGTTGGTCTACAGGTGACACTGTAGCCCTGGGTGACGGTAACCGTGGTACGAGATCCGACACCGTGGATCTTGAAGAACCGGATGTTAGCCTAGTACTTGACTCAACAGCTCAGCCGTTTTGGTGAGACTCACAACAGGGGACATCTGCACATCCCAGTCGACAAAGTTCTCAGTCTTGTCCGTAACTGCGGACGTGATGACCTGACAGGCTCGCTTCTTATCCCAGTGCTCGTCCCTGGTCGAGATGATGCTGCCGGTGGCGGCCTCATCAACCGCGTGGAGCTGGTTCAGCTGAGGCTCGATGAGGTCGGTCCAGACATCTTGGCGGACAACCTCGGCGCGGTTCTCGCCGAAGAGCAGAACCTCGTGTGCCTTGAGAACAGTTCCAGGGACCCAAGCAGTGCTGTTATACTCCTGGGGAAGAGCGAGATCGCCGGTGAAGGGGAGGGTTGCCTCGGATCGAGTAACGGACACCGGGCTGCTGGTGGCAACTGAGGCCAGGAAAGCGGCGATAATGATAGTGGGATGCATTTTTGTTTTGAGGAGAGGGGTTGGGATTACCAGGAGGGTTAACGAGTGATTAGAGCTTCGAAAAGAGAATGAGACTAATGAGTATTGAATGCTTGGTGAACCTGCCAAATTTCAGTGTCGTGCCTGAGAAGAGATGCTGAGGCCAGATTTATACGTGTTGATCGTCTTCTTGCCGCCACTCATATCGAACATGCTCTGAGCATGCCTAACATGGTATGACGATGGTCATAACTAGTTGTCCACCGCCGTTCCTCTCACAACTGCCGCTGAAGTCAGACTCAAGGCATGATCTCCAACGTGTGATCATGAGTAAAGCATACACTCAACGGAAGCCAACCCCATGTACTGTACTTGCTACCCAGGCCCAAAATCTGTACGCAACATGGGCCTTGTCCCTGTCACGAGGCTGAATCTATTGATTTGTTTGACTCATTCGGATGTGTCCTCTCTAAGTCGCTCTCCACAGACTATTCTGCCTAAGTTGTGATGATTTGCATGGCTCTATCCTCAGCCTGACTCCGCCCCCATTTACCACCTTGATCCTCAGACCACGAATAGAACCAATCGAGGGCTTCTGACTGGTCATTATCTCTTGTGGCCAATGTGATGTTGGCCCTTAGCAGATGGGGAACCTGTGGGGCGGGGGAGGATACTGCAAGGTCCGCGGTTGACAAGTGGTGGAGCAATTGGGAACCACTCTAGGCGCCACGATACTCAGCAAGATAGGCTCATAATAGATCTGAGCTTATCGTCGTGAGCACTTGATTCATGATCACTGTTACAGATCATTGAATCTGTTCCCAACCACTTGTCACCATTCCCGTTTAGGATCGACTCAAACTCGGATCAACCCGAGCTGGAATATCACATGAGCTGTGAAGGGCTAGGCCGGTGATGTTTCTATTCAGTGACTCGGATGGCGTTTGGTTAAAAAGGGATCAACATCTCAACGTCAGTTTAAGCTTAAATGACAAGCTTTGTAAGGCTCAATGTAGCCAACGGGAGTGGCGTCTGGTGTGGGTAAGGCTCCACAGGTCTGAGTCCATTTATAGATATTCGGAGGAATGGAGCCAAGAAAAGTTTCAGTGGTATTCCTGTTGGCGGATTGTTAATTATCAGCTACGCGCGATGCTATGCCATGTATGGGCCCGGATGAACTCTCAAGGGCATTCCTGACTTGTCCAGACGTGCATGTTGTTGGGCCAGATCGTTTAAGACAGAACATAAAGAGACAGAATTCCAGCCGATCTTGCAGGTTTGGTGGGCAATCTTCAAGCCTCCCACCCAGCTACACAGTTCTAATCTAATAGATTCGTGTCGAAGTTAGCTTTTTTCCCATCCCTCTGGTTCAGCCACACCTTTGGGACTTTCCCTGTTATACATTCGTACTTCAATATAACATTGATCTGTCAGCGGAAATTCTACTAGAATGCAGATCAGCCAAATCACCTCTGTTGTGGCCTTGATGGTCTCTGTCACTATCGCTGTACGTCAGATCGTTCACCTGACCTCTGTTCAAAGAGAAAAATAAAATCATGACACCAATTCGTCTAAATACTGACGCCTTCCATCTGTACTTTAGTGTGACCCAAGCCAGGACTGCTGCTGGGCTGACAGGGGCGGTTGCAGGAGGCAACACAAAACTCGCAACGGAGTGTGCGATGAGCCAGCATACATGCTCGATTTCTGCAGCAACTTCGGTGTCTCTTGTGTAAGTGTCACTTGCCGCCAGGATAGAATCATTTTTACTTCTGGGTTCTCTTTGAAAATGACACTAACAAATTTCCGCTTGAAGGGTGCTGACTGCTGCGCGATTTCCACTGGCTGGGGCCGTGGCTGCCCATAAGAGATCGTGGGCTCATGGGACCGAGATCATGGCGGCGATAACTCATCGTACAGTATTTAGTCCTCGTTTGGATCACAATCTGACTCTGTAACGCCTACTAAAAGATTGGACTCTTCTACCCCGCGTGCCCGTTACTACACATAACGTCCTTTATAATGCACATATAATCACCGAGAATTCCAACATGTCATTTTCCCTTGATGTGATGTACCTTGAATTCAACACACATACGTATATGAAGTCACTATCATCACGCCATGACAGCAAGCAGGTTCTTGTGAATCTGCTCAACACCAGATTGAACCTGACCCTTAACCAGCCCCTTCAGCATCGCGTTACAATCGACCTGGATGTTCACACGCAACTCCAGCCCACCTGGCCCCTCCTCGACCGTCCAAAGCCCCTCGTTCACGACGCCCATCGCCGAGCTGGCACGGTACCAAATCCCGTCCACCAGGTCGACGACCTCGTACTCGGTGTTGACGTTGGAGTCAAAGACGGGGTTGGGCACGTCGTTGCGCACGGTGTAGACCTTGACGTCGGCCGCGGAGCCCGCGCTGCGGGCCTGGATCGCCGAGGGGACCTTGTGGTCGGCGCCGCTGTCGCTGGGGAGCTCCTTGTGCTCCTTGTAGTGCTCTGCCGCGCGGAAGTAGCCGTCGTGGTCGTGCAGCACCGCTACCGCCTTTTCTTTGTTCACGCCGGCTGGGATTGGGCCCGAGCGGGTTATTTCGAAGCGCCCTGGGCCGCTTGTCAGCAAATGTGCCTAGCGTGTTAAGGGTGTATACCTACCCATTTTCTAAGGCTAGTACAACAGTTTCGGAGAGGAAATGGTTCTCTGGTTGGCAAGATGCTTTGGTAGTTGCGATGGAGGGAGCCGACAAACTTTGGAATAGTAGTGGTTCGATATGGCAGTGGTGAACAAGGGAAAGTTACACACCTGAATAGTGTACAAGAGGGCCTTTTATAGCAATGGATTCTATGTCGTTGTCAAGGACAAGCAGGATGTCGATACTCGACTGTCCCAGGCATCGTAGCTGGTCATGAGTAGCAAGCTAGGTGACTGGCTCACTCCTCAGGCAGAGTCAATGCCTCAGCACAGCCCGCCGTTTCAACATCAGAACCACGCTTCTTAATCGTATTCGCATCCATGTTGCCGTAAGAAGGAATTTCGCAAGCCTCAAAGAGGATCCATAACACGATATGACCTCACTTATTCAGCTGTCTACTTCTTGTACGAGCAGTCTGGGAGGGGGACAGACACTTCGATATTGAGTCATTCAAAGGCAACGAGTCTATGCAGTATTGGTTGAGATTTCTATCTGATACCCAAGCGACGGATGCTCGACGAACGAAACACAGGCCTCGAGGCGTCCTCTGTTCGGATTAGCCAGTTTCGTGCATGTGGAGTTGGAGTCCGCCCATGGGGGACTCATCCTAATTTCTTAAACCGCCCGCCCGTTGGTTGATATTATAATCAATACGTCCGTTCCAATTTGACAGCCTCGTTTTCAGCAGGGGCTCGTACTCGGGCATGCGCATCATTTTCTTGAGGAAGTACCCGTTCTCCCCTCGGTCCGCAGAGCGGAGGACACGTTCCATTTGATGCAGAACCGACTTGGTTTCCTCATCAAAGTGCAGGCCCGCGTGTCGCATCTCCTCGAGAAGCGCCATCACGCCGATGGCGTCGCCGAAATGCTGCCACATGACGCTCAATAACTTGTTGTAGAATGATGTGCTGACGCCGAGCACATATGAGGGAAGGCCAAGCTGCTTGATGCGCGGCAGGAGGTTGAAGGCCAGGGGCGACGGCCGGGAGAACTTCTTTTCGAACAGGAGCAGGGCGTCGAGGAGGAGCATGGGGTAGATTGGCCCGTACGTATCCATATTCAGACGAGGCTTGGAAGCCGCCGCCGCAGCAACAGCATCGGCACCTTCGTCTTCTTCTGCAGACGCCTTCTTCTTCTTTCTCCGCTTCGTTTTCTGTGTCTTTGGTTCAGGCTCCGTTGCGGCTAGCCCAAGCTTCTCGACCAGAGTGAAGACCTCCTTCTCAACGACGTCCCAGAGCGCAAAGTCGTTCTCGGCCTTTTCCATCATGGCCTTGATCGTGAGCCTTGCCTCTCGGCGCGATGCCTCCACCTCCACCTTCTTCGCCAGGCTGTCGGACGATGCAACAACCTCTACCGCGTCCCTTTGGAACCCCAGGTCTTCCTGGCCGCCGCCTTCCGTGGCGACGGGGGTGTCTCTCGCAGATTCCATCATTCCGTAGGCTGTCCTCGCCGCCCGCCTTAGGCTGGGAGGGAACTGCAGAAGTGCCTGCTCCCGGTCGGCGGCCGAGTATGTTGACTCGAGCGGCGACAAGGGGTCCAGCCCGTTGACACCTGGATTGGTCTCTGAGTGCCTTTCGGCGGCATCCTGTATGATCGCGCTGAGCTTAAACGGCCCGCCATTGTAGAGACCCTTCAAAAATTTCGGTTTTGTCTGCGTAAGGTCCGGCGTGTTTTCCCGCTTTGGAGTAACGGTGGGCAAGCTCTTCCCCTTCTCGCTGATCTCCTGAAAGATCTTGTCGAAGGCTTGACGCTCGACGGGCGTAATGGTGCCTGTGTCCAGGGGCCCTGCGCTTCCGGCTGTGTCTGGGTTCTCGAGCTCGGGTGGTAGTTCGAAGGGGATTGGGTCGCGTTCGCCTTTCCGTCGACAACTCGGTGTGATGTGCAGTGATCGCGCAAGACGACTTGGCGCTACAGGCCCGGCTCTTGCGAACCGGGCCAGCGTCCGTGTCTGGAACAGGAAGGGTGTCAGTGTCGCCGACATTTGCTGTCCAGATATGTATGCCCTGAGTGCGAGGCAGTAAGCAGTGCAAACTGTCGCGGCAGAAGTGCAGCCGTGGATCTTCTGGGCGGCTCTCCAAAATTTCTGGCGATAAGGAGCTCTGGGCGCTTGGGCCAGTTCTCTATCACAAACCCCTGTCTTCCGCCTCCAGGCAGCTCCAGGCCCCAATCCGGACCCCACCGGGAGCGTGCAAGCGTGTGCCACTCGCGTCTCGTCGCCGCGGTCCGGCGCGTCACATTTTAAAGTGCTTCTTCCTTTGACGCATCGATCACCGCGCCATCACCGCCCGCCACGCACTTCTTTCTAACTTTTGTCCCTTAAGGCATACATTCCTCCTGACTCCAACCTGACTCACAAAAGTGCTGTATCGCAATTTCCTTATTCATCAAAAATGCCTGTAAAGAAGGAGAAAGAGCCCATGTCGGCGTTTGAGCAGCGCCGACTGCAAAATATTGCGGCAAATAATGAGATCCTCAGAGACCTTTCAAACACGGCATCTAAAATCGCGAAGCCAGCTGCTCCGAAGCCCCAGCCTCGCCCACGGCCTAAGAGGCAGCCGGTCGAGAAGAGGGAGCAGCCCAAGAGGGAGAAGGCCGTGGCGACGCGCACAAGCTCACGGCTGAAGGGCGAAACACCCAAACGCGAAGCTGACGATTCGGTACCTGCCTCGCTTCTCCCTCCGGACAGGCCGGCAAAGAAAGCCAGGGTCAACGAAGACTTGAATCTTGGTGATATCCTGGTCGAGGGCCGCAAGTTCACGAACGGGGTCGATGCAGTCACAGGTCTCATTTCTCTGCCCCGGCTGGGCGCGGAACCTGGAGTACGAACATTTGACGAGGAGGACATAAAGGAGACCACCGATGAAGACTTGCGAAATTTGAGGGAAAAGATGAACAGTCTCGAACTCTATGACAAGTGGGCAGTTAATGGTGGGTTGAGGAACAATTCAGCGACGGTGTCCGGGCTGGCAGCTGACTTGAGTGCATCGCAGACATCAAAATTGTACCTCAGCGTATATACTCGATGGGCTTCCACCCAACAGAGGAAAAGCCGCTCATCTTTGCAGGAGACAAAGAAGGAGCCATGGGCATTTTTGACGCCTCACAAGATGTCCCTGAGGTCGATGACGACGACGAAGACGCCGACATTCCGGATCCAGTGATTGCAGCGTTCAAGACACATACAAGAACCATTTCGTCATTTCACTTCCCACTGACAGACCTGAAATCAGTTTACACGGCTTCATACGACTCGTCAATCAGGAAGCTGGACCTTGGGGCTGGGGCTCCGGTCTCTGTGCAAATCTTTGCGCCCGGCGATGACGATGACCTCCCTATCAGCGCAATCGACATGGCGCCGAACGACGCCAGCACTATTGTTTTCTCAACACTTTCAGGGTCTGTCGGTCGATACGACATCCGGACCAAGGACGACGTAGAGATTTGGGAGCTCAGCGACGCCAAAATCGGGGGCTTTGCGCTACATCCTCACGCTCCACACCTGTTTGCAACAGCCTCGCTTGATCGCACCATGAAGATATGGGATATGCGAAAGATCTCAGGCAAGGGCGACATGCGGCATCCAGCTTTGATTGAGGAGCACGTGTCGAGGCTGTCAGTTTCACATGCATCTTGGAGTTCCGGCGGTCACATCGCTACTAGCTCTTACGACGACACCATCAAAATTTACGACTTCAGTGATGCCACCTCGTGGAAGGTCGGGCACAAGATCTCTGAGAAGGATATGAAGCCGTCGAGCATCGTGAAACATAACAACCAGACAGGAAGATGGGTCACGATCCTGAAACCACAATGGCAGCGACGACCAACAGATGGCATTCAGAAGTTTGCGATCGGAAACATGAACAGGTTTGTGGATGTCTACGATGCCAATGGCGAGCAGCTGGCCCAACTGGATGGTGACGGCATTACCGCTGTGCCGGCCGTTGCGCATCTGCATCCGTCGCAGAACTGGGTTGTTGGTGGTACAGCCTCGGGCAAGGTGTGCTTGTGGATGTGAGCTGGTGCGCCGTCTTTGGAAATGTTGGGAACGGATGTATGGACATCCTGCAGACGACATGCATGCGACCATTGGAACGATGTCGCGCAAAAATCCAGCTTGTAAAAGGTCTAATGTATATTCTGCTGGGCACCAGATCGCAGCCGTGGAACAAACCATGCAGTAGAGACCAGCACGGTAGGAACCTTGTTGGTTCTTTGGGTTTAGAACGTTGCGGTTGCTCCGGAGCGACCCACAGTCCAGAGGCTGGTGGCTTGGAAGACATCAGGCAGGATAGGATATCCCTGGAAGCAGAATAATCACCTCGGTCTCTTTGGCTGTTATTGAATTAAACAGAATAGGGAGCCCATCTTCAAGATTGTCCTCCAAGGGACAGGATGAGCGGTACGTGTACATGTGGCCGAGAACCGAATTTCGTGATGAGGCGAAGAGGCGTTGAGGGCAACTGGTTCAGAGCTCGAGTGACTCTCTTCTGGCATGTGATAGCTGTCAGCTGGGAGCTTCTCCCGCGTCACCGAGTCCACACCTTGGGGGGCCCCTTGGCGCCTGGGCAGCTAATCGATAAGGAAACAGGCGCTAAGTGGCGGGTGGGTCTCTCCGGCCCACTGACAAGTCGCAGCTCGGCCAATGATGGAATCGTCAATCCTCGACTCTGGGGTCATTCGTTCGCTATCTATCATGCCGACTCCATAACTCCATCCGAAGTCGTCACAGGGCCCCCCGACCCAGCACGTACCGTCATTCAGGGTCCCGGTGATTGTACTCGCCTCGCCTCACCTCGCATTTCAGCGAAACGGAGCCCTAGTGTTGGGCCATTCCTACTCTTCCGGGCCCAAAGGCATCTCCTACCTGCGCCGCAGACTTGGCGATATTCCTAAAAATACAGCCTGCGCAGCATCCAGCAACCGGTATCCGTTCCTCGGCCTCGGTGTTCCTGGTCCTTGTTTCGTTCTCTTGTCGAACACCGGCACAAGCTCACTCGCTCTGATCACGCGTCTCTGCTGCCCTGGCCATCATCGTCCGCTTTACAAGTCCCTTGACGAATACGGAGTCAGCCTGACTGGTGACCGTATATCTGCTGCACAGCAGACCAGCTATAGAGGGTGCTCAACGAGACTACATCCGCATTACGGCCTCCATCTGTTCTAGATGCGTGGTTGATCCCGTCACATAGGTTGTTAGTTGGTGGCTTCCACTCTTTGTCAAAACCAAGACCATCAGAACACTAGACACCAAGCCTCCATCCTGGATCTCTTCAACTGGTCAGCCGGTGTCCTCGACAGTCCAAGTATACAGTCACTCTTCCATCCTGAATCACGTCCATCCTAGGAAAGCTGCATCCGGGGTGCCACATCTCCGTTCTTTGACAAGAGCTCAACCCTGCTGTCCAACAAGCGCTACATCTCGTCCCACCTGAGTGTCGTCCACTAGGAAGTTATATCCCAGCCTGCCTTGCAGCATCCTTTTCCCATCTAGGCAGCGGTCTGCCTAGACCGACCCACGAGACAATGGAGCCCGACCTACCTCAGTCCCCGAACCCTCCACAACCTTCCGCCGACTCACAGGCAGACGCGAGACACGGTGCACACCAACAAAGAGACGCCAATACGACCTCGACAATCCCTCAACCACACCGGCATCGCGGTGCCTGGTCTCCCTGTCGACATTCCGAAGACGAGTCCCGACGACGAGTATCGCACCGAAGGCTCCAAAAGCGACGACCCCCTCACCTGTCCAGCATGGACTTCCCGGAACAGCTCCAACAGAAAGATGGGGACGAAGAGCAAGAGGAGGACGTGTTGCCCATCGGGCTCGGCAACGGCAACCATTCGTTCATGAACCTGAATCAGAGCATCTTCGGTCTCATTGCTGCTGCCGGCCCCAAGGTCGACTTCCACGATAGGTTCGAGGGCCACAGCAGTGAGGAAGAGGAGGCAGACGAGTCTGATGATGACGGAGCACATCCCAAGCGCAAAGACGATGCTGCCACGGGGAAACTGGCGAAGACCACAGTGCTTAAGCAGCCTGCGGCCAAGACCAGCAAACAACACCGCCGGAAGTTCAGCGATAGCAAATTGATGAAGTCAGTTCCAATATTATCCAAGTTGTCGACTAAGAGCCGTTCAAAGAAGGAGAGCAAGGAACACGTATCTCAAATCCAGGAGGAGTCGGAGCCGGAGTCCTCTGCTGGCGATGGGCTGGCCAACGAAGAAAGCCGGCTGGCGCCGATGATGAGCCGGATGCTTGATGCGCGCGCCGAAATGTCTGCACGCCCAAGTTTTGACATAGAGCGGCGCTCGATCGATAGAAGGGGCGACTCGTCTGAGACCACAGACGCAGGCCCGTCCGAACTCTCGAAAAGGCTGCAGAAGATCTTCGAATTTGAGGAGCCGGAAGAGCTGATTTCAGGTTGGATACTGTCGCCGCCGCCTAGTGTTTGGACGGAAACTGACATCGGAAACAGAATACCCATGCTGGCTGCTTCAAGGTGTGCTCCTGCAGGGCTATATTTACATAACATCTAAACACATCTGCTTCTACGCATACCTCCCCAAGAAAGCGGTCAGTCAGCCCGAGCCACACCCCGAGAAAACGTCGCTTACAATATACAAGCACGAGGTCACCAAGTCTGGCTACCTGTTCAAGTCTGGCAAGCGAAACCCCAAGTACAACAGGTACTGGTTCCGGCTCAAAGGCGATGTGCTCTCATACTTCCGCGATCCTTCTAATTTGTACCTTCCTCACGGTCAAATCGATCTGAGATATGGTATCTCCGCTACGATCACCGACAAGGACAAGGATGGCCTTTATTTCTCCGTCGAGACTGACCACAGGACGTATCATTTTCGGGCAGATAGCGCACCCAGTGCGAAGGAATGGGTCAAGTGTTTGCAGCGGGTCATCTTCCGAAGTCACAACGACGGCGACAGCGTCAAAATCAGCCTGCCGACCGCGAATGTTATTGACATCGAAGAAACACAGATGCTAGAGTTCGCGGACACTTGCAAGATACGTGTCATCGACAACGATGAGACGTACGCTATTGACGAGGTAGGGTAAAGGCTGAAGAAGAAGGCTTTATTGTGAATCATGCTGACTGACGCTCAACAGTACTTTTTCTCATTCTTCAGCTTTGGAAAGGAGGCGATCGGCGTTCTCAAGATCCTCATCGAGGATGCGACGTCTTCTACCAACGACAGTCAGCCCAGGAAGCTCGACGTGCCGCCAACTGTCGATGAAGCAGCTGCGTCAACTGTGCCGGCGTCGAAGAGGAGCTCCTCGACTGGCCTTCAGCCTGGCTTCCAGCCTGGTCTTGCGCCAATACGCACTGCCAAGATACGAGACAACGTGAGGGCTACACTCTCGCCCCTGTCCCCTCAATCACCGCCGGGCCCCTCTCCTCGCGCTAGTGGTGATTTCTCGAGGACCAGCTTTGATGCGATACGACAGTTCGGTCGAGGGAGTAGGGACGCGAGCCGTCACGAAATTCCTCGGCGGAGTTACAGCAGAGACAGCCGGTCACAGAGTAGACACCGCCATGGCCATGATGACGCCAAGTCCGGCGCAGACAAATTCGCATCGACAGACTCCAACGCCGAGTCGACCGAAGACCCAAGTATAGCGAGCATTTCAGCCATGACGACGTCTGGAGAGATGGACCAATCGGCCAGTCAGATCCTCAGAGGAAGTGATGTCTTCCACAGCCCTACGGTCCGGAGGTCAGCCTCGGCCTCTATGGGCAACGAGCGCGAATCTCCTCGCAGCCCTCATCACCATGTTTCCACTGGCTCTATCAACTCCCAATACAGGCCTCGCCATGCTGCTACTACAGGCCAGGCAATTGACCTGTCTTCTGGCGACAAGATGGAAGGCAACCCGTCGACTCCCACTCTACAGACAATCAGTAAAATGGGCTCGTATCCGTTACAAAGAGTTGGCGCTTTTGCAGAATACCTGGGCCGGCATTCGAAACGAGTAGGCGGCCTGCTCGCTACTGAGTCCGTGGGCTACGCTGGAAAGATGTCCGGGATGTGGAAGGGCGGTCAGAGGCACTACGACGAGCCAGCTGCCTTGCGAACAGACGACGAAGCCGACGACGAGGAACAGGACAAGGTCTCTGAGCAGCGATTTCAAGACCACTTCGCCCTGCCCAGGTCAGAAAAGCTCAGGGCGACCTATTTTGGGTACTTCATGCGTGTGCTGCCTCTTTATGGCAAAGTCTACATGAGCGACCGGAACTTTTGCTTCCGGAGTCTCATTGCTGGGTCTCGCACGAAACTTATCCTTCCAATCCGAGATATTGAGAACGTCACGAAATCGAGTGGCTTCCGTTTCGGCTACGCTGGCTTGGTAGTTGTGATTCGCGGTCACGAAGAACTTTTCTTCGAGTTTGGAGATTCCGCGCTGCGGGACGACTTGGCTGTCTTTTTGCTGAGGGGCATCGAAGCTGCTAAGTTCTTGCGTGAGTCTGGAGAGCTAGATAGTGAGGAAAAAGAAGATGCGCAGAACGCCGAGGAAGAACACAAAGCGCTTGAGGAAGCTCGGCATGACGAATTCCCTGACCACGAGATCGCTCTCCCACGCCAGACTTCAAATGTTTCCGACGGACCGACCATCATATTCGATGATCCAAAAGCATCTTTCATCAACTTCAAGCCCGAAAAGTCTCTTCGCATCACCTGCCTAACTATTGGTTCGAGGGGTGACGTGCAGCCCTACATTGCGCTCTGCAAAGGATTGCTTGCCGAAGGTCACAAGCCCAAGATCGCCACGCACGCCGAGTTCAAGGACTGGATCGAGGGGCATGGCATCGAGTTTGCTCCTATCGAGGGCGATCCCGGCGAGCTCATGCGGCTGTGTATCGAGAATGGCACCTTCACGGTAGCCTTCCTCCGAGAAGCCAGCTCGACTATGCGAAACTGGCTGGATGGTCTTCTGGCCAGCAGCTGGTTAGCTTGCAAGGGCTCCGACGTCCTCATCGAAAGCCCGTCTGCCATGGGAGGCATCCACATTGCTGAGAAGCTCTGCATACCCTATTTCCGGGCCTTTGGTATGCCATGGACGAGGACAAGGGCCTATCCACACGCCTTCATGATGCCTGAGCGAAAGATGGGAGGTGCCTACAACTTGGTCACCTATGTTCTTTTCGACTCCGTCTTTTGGAAGTTCACCGCGCACCAGATCAACCGGTGGCGCAACAAGACCCTGGGCTTGCCAAACACCAGCCTCGAGAAGATGCAGCCCAACAAGGTCCCCTTCTTGTACAACTTCTCTCAACACGTCGTGCCCCCGCCACTGGACTACAGCGACTGGATCCGTGTCACAGGGTATTGGTTTCTCAATGAAGGCGGCGCAGACTGGACACCCCCAGCAGATCTGGTAGCCTTCATTGAGAAGGCCAGGAAAGATGACAAAAAGATCGTGTATGTCGGATTTGGCAGCATCATCATGGACAACCCTGCCAAATTCACCCGCGAGATTATTGACGCCGTTCTGAAGGCGGATGTGCGGTGCATTCTAAGTAAGGGGTGGAGTGACCGTCTGGATCCCAAGTCTGAGGAGGCGCAGAAGATGGGCGCTGGCGACGGTGACGACTCTACCAAGGGTACCAACGATGGAAAGAGTGGCACAACTGAAATTCCACTGCCGCCTGAAATTTTCCCCATCAAGTCTGCTCCTCATGACTGGCTGTTCAACCAAATCGATGCCGCGGCACACCACGGTGGCTCTGGGACAACAGGCGCGAGCTTGCGAGCTGGTATACCGACGATAGTACGTCCGTTCTTTGGCGACCAGTTCTTTTTCGGAAACCGCGTCGATGATCTCGGTGTTGGTATTCTTCTCAGGAAGTGGGGTGTGAACTCTTTCGCCAGAGCGCTGTGGGAGGCAACACATTCGGAGAGGATGATTGTCAAGGCCAGGGTGTTGGGAGAGAACATTCGAAAGGTAGGCTCATTTTCTTTCATCTGCATGTACTGTGGCATGATTCAGTTGTTGACTTTGCTTCGCAGGAAAACGGTGTCGACACAGCCATTCAATGCATCTATCGCGACATGGAGTATGCCAAGTCCCTCATCGAGAGGAAGGCAGGCAGGAATGCGGCTGCAGCCGAACGAGCCGCGACGTCGGGCTCCGACGACATGGACGACGAAATCGAGGAGGAGAGCTGGACGTTCATAGGAGATGACACCGGACCGGACGAAAACGACCTGGATATCGACGGTGTCATGAGACGAAGCCAGCTCCTCATGCCCCTTGGTTCGCCCGAAGGCCCATCCGCGAGGAACAAGTCGCTCGGAAGCAAGGCACTCATGAGCGGCAACAACCCCTTGATGATGCCAGGTGCTAATCCTGCAAAGATACCGACGGCACAGCGCAGCCCGCTCAGCCCGCCGAGGCAGAGCAGCACAAGTAACGACAGCGCAAAGGAGAACGACCGCGGGCGATAGTGGACTCCCCGTTGCACCCGTGGGGTGAGCTTGTGGCTGAGGCATAGCCTACCCTGGAGGGGATCGTGGAGCAGCCTCAAAGTTGAAACTGGAGGCTCGTCCAAGGTCAGCTTCAGGCCGAGCTTCAGGTTTGTCAACAGGTCCTCACCCTCGCGTGCACCGAGGAGGCATGGCGAGGGGGACCTCGGACCCGAGAAGGCCTGAGAGAGATCATGGACCCGGGTGGTTTGGGGAGAAGTGGTGATCACCGTCACAGAATAGGGTATGATGGTAATGAACATGTGAAGAGCTTGTACTGTTGTTTCTACATGTGGTAACGAATATGGATCGGGAATGGTAGAACAACAGCCGGCAAGACGTTGGATGTAACGGAGCGAGGAGTGTCCGCGGCTTCAACTGCTTGGGCTTGGAGGGCTAGGCGGGAAGCATGACACGAGCTGGCTGACTTGCTCTCCCTAGAGAAGAGGTTCTCTCTTCTTTCCTTTTGTTGCAAAGGGGTATCATGACAACTCTCTGGGTCAGCATGGCGTTTAATTCGGCGAGGTTCACTTTGTGGTTAATTATTACACTCCTCATAATGATAGACGACGGGTATCCTAGAATGACTGCCGCTGGGGAGCAGAGCCGGCGGCACTATTATAATACAACGGGCATTGACACCATGGAGCTTTCACCCAGGTGCTTGGATCGTGAAGCCTGTCAACAAGTGACAATGGCATCGGTTCCTAAGTGGACTGCACGTCAGATGTCGGTTTCTCGATGTCTACGGGCTGAGAAAGCCAAGCATTTGTTACAACAACACCATAGCCTTGGGGGAGCAGCGTAATCAATTAAGCTTTTCCCACACCCGTTAATAGCCACCGCGATCTGCCGGCTCCGCCCTTGTTTAGTCCCGAGATTGCGATCTCCGATCCCGCAGGAGGGTCGCAATGCTGACGGCCGACATATCCGGGTCCGGAAGAGGATATGAATGAAGGAGTCAGCGTTAACTCTCAGGGGAAATGAAGCGGCGAGTCATTGTTCAAAATAAGGGGAGTCCTGAACAGCACTGAGCTAGGACAAAAGAACTCCTCGACCTTCTGACGTCCGCGCCAGCCGTCCCCACCAAGTAGACTAGGGCCGTCTTGATATCCCGGCAACTTCGTCCGAACATGCCGTCTCCAAGCACAGGGGTGCTCCTCACCCTCGCCGCCGCGGCGGCGTGCGCATCCGCCCAGAATGCAACCACCAAGCCGCTCTCAACCCGGATGATCGAGTCGGCCATCCTCCGGCAGCACGGCGTCGTCTCCTCGGGAGCATCGACAAGCACCCTCGAGTCGGGCATCCTGGCGCTGTCCACGCAGTCCTGGCTCGAGCTGTACGGGTCCTCCCCTTCGCCGCCAGACCAGGTCGCCGACTTCGTGTCCTACGTCGACGAGATCATCGCCAGCGTCTCCGCGGCGCCGGCCTTCTCCAACGCCACCGCCGCGTCGCTGCTGCCCCTGGACCGCCTCAGCGTCGCGCAGGCTGTACTCAACCTCGAGGAGGCGCCGGGGGCGGACGGCGAGCTCACCGCCGCGGAGGCGCTCACCCTCGACACGCTTAACTCGTCCCTCACGCTGCAGCGCCGGAACCAATTTGGTGGCCTTTGGTATTATGTGTACCCGTACTGGTCGTACTTGGACGGGGCCGTGTCGTTCCTGCCGTACATGGCGGAGCCGAGCAGTGGGTACTCGGCGGCGGACATGCTGCTGCAGATCACGCTGTTGTATGAGAAGTGCTTCCAGGAGTCGACGGGCTTGGTTGTGCATGGGTATGACGCCTCCAAGACGGCCGTGTGGGCTAATAATGCCACTGGGGCGTCGCCGTACGTCTGGGGCCGGAGTCTGGGGTGGTACCTCACCGGGCTGGTCAACGCGTGGGAAGTTCTGACCAGCGAGGGCGGGGACTGTGTCGACAACAGCGCTGGGGCGGATGGCTGCGCGGACTTGTTGGCGGCCATCCAGCACCAGGCGACGACGCTGACGACCAGCCTGGTCCAGTACGCCGACGAGGAGACTGGCGTGTGGTGGCAGCTGCCCACATTCCCCGGCCGCGAGGGCAACTTCCTTGAGAGCTCGTCCACGGTGCTGTACATCTTCTGCATCCTCAAGGGCCTGCGTCTGGGCCTGCTGGAGGACGACCAGCCCCTGGCGGACGTGGCGCTGCGGGCGTATGATTACACCGCGAGTGAGTTTGTTGTGGATTATGGGAATGGCACGCTGGGGTGGAATGGTACCGTTATTGTGTGCAGTCTTAACTCGACTGCTACTTATGAATACTATACTGGACGGCCTGTTGTGTTTGACGCGCCGCTGGGTGAGGCGGCGTTCGTGTGGGCTAGCTTGGAGGTTGAGAGGCTTGGCGCTTGAGAGAGGACTTGTACATAGGAAAGAATATAGATGGTGCACAGCCTACCTAGGTAGGAAATCCCTATTGCCAGGGGCCCTTGATTCTTCCTACTCCTTCTACTCTGCCTTGCTCTCCTTTCTCTTGCGCTACCTCCACACTGATCCCTCCTCATTTTGTGTTCTAGGCAGGCCAGCCGCCAGTTTTCTTTGCTCCTTCAAACAAATGGCTTTACAAGGCTGATGTCCACCGCGTAGAGGTTGGGGAATGCTGACCAATTCGCTTTGGAAAGTCCAAGGTGCTGGTTATTACGCCAGCCACCTGCCGCCTTCCAGACTGGTAACTATTTGAACCTGCTTTGACTTTGCCCTGCCCTCCATCACGTCCACCTTTTCCAGTCTACCCTCAACTAAATCGAGTTCCTCGTCGTCGTTCCAGTCTCGAATCCCGTGGAACAAGAATGGCAGCGGAGATGACTTCCAATTTGGAGCATTGTAGTGCCGCGACGCCACCATCATCGATGCAAGCAGAATGGCGCTGGAGATTACCACAGCCAAGGGAAAGACCAACCACCACCAATGGACTTTGGTACTGGACTCTTGTTGCCACACGATGCCAAGGGCCGCCAACTCCGGATTCCATCGCATTACCGACTTGGTGATACTATTGGTGATATTCAAGAGAGTGGAGGTTACGTTCCGCCCGTTGCCGAAAAGAGCGGTAATAGACTCACTCGTGAAATTGAAATTGCTAATGAAATAGTTTGACAAAGCCAAATGGTCGTATATGCTGACATTGAACACACTGTGGTCGAAAGGTGGCAGAGGTGAGGAGACATTCTCACCATTGACATCTGGAGTTAAAAAAACGACCCAATTGCCCTCGGACACATCATAAGCCTTGGAAAGGCCGCCGAGATCCTGGCCTGCAACTGGCCAAAGCGGCACTTCGTGGATGGAAAGCTGTTGAAGTGTTCCATTTATCTATTATCTCAGTTAATTCTAGGGCTCTGGTGTGAAAGTATTCAGAATGATCTTACAATGGTGACATTGCTATACTGTTTTGCACACCACCTGATTGAACATTCTGTGGTAACGTAATCCTCCACTGCGTCAAAAGCATGAGAGGGCTTTTGCACAACAACCATCGACAAGAGATTGGCTGAAAAAGTATGCGATGTAAGATTAATGTAAGGACCCTTGGCAGCAGTTGCCACTTGATCATATGTGCTCAATTCAATAGACCAGCCTTCAGGCGTTCGAACTGTATAGCTTGGAGTGGTATGGCTCTGGGTTTGGCTCTGGTTATGGCTGCTCCAATAATTAATGGTGACCTGCGTGGTTTGCGTGACGTTTTGGCAGGTGCTACAAACACCCAGCGAGTTAAATATTTCCCAGGAGCAATTACTGGAAGGGCAGGTGAAATCGATTGAAGATTTGCCCAGGTCGTAGTAGCCATCATAAAATGCTCCTTGAACACCTGGATCCACGTCAAGAGCCATCGCATCGGTCGGGGCGGGCGCGACCGTTCCGTCTCCAAGAACGACCACTTCCAGGTCATTTGCTGCAGGTCGACGGTTGTAATAGTTGGTCACTCCAATAGTTGAATTCATACCATCCGCCGGTACCAAGTTGTCTGCTTGGACACTGATAACCTGCTGTGTGAACGGGCCCATGGCCAGGCCGGCTACCGTGATCAGAGATGCCGCATAGACCATTGGAGGCAACATGCTCGACTGAGGCTTCGAGAGATAGAGGAGTCTCAGAGAGCCTAGCGGGCCCCGGCTGGCCGAATCAAAGATGGCAAGGTCTCCAAGCGACTGGGCCTTTGGAAGGCTCATTTGAAGCCATTTCAGCTGGCTGAGGACCTCCGCGATGACTAACATCATAGAGCTCTGAGCAGCTGTGACAAGGATGGAAAAGATCGTACTTGGCTGTAGGAAGAACGTCCATTTTGAGAGCCAGGCGCCATCTAATTGAGACGCGAGAATCGTTATGGTTATTGTGCAAGCAACGCTGAAAAGAATGCATGCTGTTTCCCAAAGCCACTTGTCTCTAAAGAGGGCCGTCCTCCAAACAGATTGCTTGGACCGGTGAACTTGGGGGGCTGGTCCTGTTGAGCCCAACATTGTGGTTGAATCAGAGGCTGAGGACGACATGATCGAGTCCCTGACCGAATATTCATGGAGAGCGCCAATAGAAGCGGCAGTTGAAGGCGACGGGGAGACCTCTTGTGCTACAGTCAGAGATAATTGTTCATCCTCTGGCATGCAGAGTGAGTCTATGGATGGTGGTCTGATTGCTGTTGTTGAGCTTGTTGTACGTGGTGAGCTTCTCGGTGAGCGTTGCATCTCGAGGCTTCAGAATGTGGGAGGTTGCTGGAGCGTGATACAATTGGCCCGAGCTTCAGGAAGATATTCGTATTGGCTGCCGCTAAATGTTAAGCAGGAGGACTTGATCGGACTGAATTGCTTTTCAAATGGGCAGATGGGTTGCTCATAATTCTGCTGCTTGCTTTAGAGATATTGGTCAACTCCATGTATTCTGGAAAGGGCAGTCTCCCAAGTGCCTCGCTTTTCCGCGAATAAATCATTGGGGCTGAGCCGCGGCTGGAGCAGCTTGGTTCTCTAGGGTCTTGGATCGCACACACTTGCCTAAACACTCAGACAATGCAATCAAATAAGGTCAGCACGAAACATTGTTTCAGGACTCTCCAGAGAACAAGAGGGGTTGAACATTGCTTCTTTCGCCGTGAACCAATGGTAGGATCCCGCGCAGATGAACGATACACAAGTTAGGCACCTGTACCACCACACCAATTTACATGAGTGCGACAAGCTGATGTCTCAACACAGCCAAACCGTCTGATGAAATTTCCGCAGAATGGGAGCCTTACGCGACCGCTAATGAAGGACGCCACAAAACCTGTTGCCATTTGCTGCATAATACATCCAAGACTTGGCCACGTCGGGCCCAGGCCTGAACATCGATGGCTCCACATATCGGCAGAAGTCAGCATCAACGCTGTTGTGTTCCACCGAGACACAATGGAAATACGGATGGAAGGATTTTTCACATTGGAAGATAACTGATAAGGCTAAAATCGCTGCCTTTGGCCATGTCCTGAGTTTTTGAAATACCAGCGGGTTACTCTTCATACATGAGGCTGATATCCATTGCCCAAGGACAGAACATCCTGTCCATCCTAAAGGTCAGCTGGAACTTTCCCAAGATTAAAATATCATGGGATATATTTAGTGTGTCTGGAACGGCCCACGTCAGTCTTCTCAATCTTGCCCATCTTTCCCATCTAAATTTCGACTTCGTCCACATCTCTGTCGTTTGACATTTCCCGGAGTATACCGCTTATATTTGGAACCGCAGGCTCCAAGACGCCAGGGAAAGTCTCATCTTCCCACTGTGTAGGCTGATGGCTGTGATACTGCTTTAGTCTACTCTCCATGGAAATACTTGCCGATGACGAGCCGTATTAGGTCAAGTTCCCATTGCAGTCGCAGTTGCCGACTCATCCAGCACTCAAGATTGGGCATCTCAACAGAATTTCAGTTTGGTAAACCTTCGTCATACTTTTGCTGGAGCTTGATCATCAGGCAGTCACCAAATGTACTGATTTTTGGCCCTGGACTATAGCTCTAGTTCCAAGAACACGTCAATTCGTAGCTGTCTCAGCCAGAAGGATATTTGAATCAGTCAGGCGCCACCATACTAACGCTTTCAAACCGCATGTGAATCTGACATGAGACACAACGGGGCGACAAAAGGACCATGTCAGTTTTTTCTACTTCGACTTGCATCTTCCCACTCCTTTCAAGCATATTCTCTCCCCTTCAGCAGCCGCCAGTCATCACAAAACCAGGAGTGTTCCGCAGGTGCATCAGGCTGTCAGAATACCTGACCCGGTAGATTTCGCACCGAGAGAAACAAATGTCGCGGCAAAGGCTGTGTGCGCAGAAGAGACTGTACTGGGCCGAAGCACAGGCAAGGTAAGGACTAAAGTTGGTCAAGGTGCACTACGAGCCAAGACTGCCACGGTGACGACTGCGTGGCAAGTGAACGAACGACCATTCTCAAGGGTGACGGCTGGCTCGGCATCCTTTGTTTGGCCCTGCGATTCCGACGTCACTGTACGCATTGTGGGTGAATGTATTAGTCAAAGGCTTTTTCTGTCCTTCATCTATTCTTGGAAAATAATATAATCAGGGCGAGGCTTGTTCAATGGCTACAGCATAGAGCAGAGCCCGGACAAGGCTTTGTTATACAATGAAGAGCATACTCGAAACTTTTCCACTTGAGCGCCTATTGATATTCCTATAAAGTATCGGCATATCGCAACGGCTATCGAGCATATAAAATCACCTTCCAGACAGAGGCTGGCAACAGACCCGAATCACTAACTCCGGCTGGACCAGATTTGTGACATATACCCGGCCTACTACACAGGACACCAGGATTCGAGACTACGATTCAAGTCTAGGGAACTATACAGTAGCTGGCTAATCATCATGTCGCGCACTTTTACAAATCCATTTGTCAGAGGGAGGCCCATGGCTTCACGGCCCGATCTAGTCGATCGGAGTGAGTCTTGCCCCGCCTTTATGAGCCTCACCGGCCTGACAGACGACCCAGACCTTCGGCATTACATTCGAGCGCAAGTGCGCCAACTGAAGTCAGACTTCCGAGATGATACAATCTTCCCCAACTCCGCCAATCAAGAATGCAGCTGTTCGTCGGCAGGAATAAGCCACTGGTGCCTCGCAAGGAAAATCAAGGCGAATCGGGACGGCTGGCAAGATGAGCTTGCTCAGAGCCTGCTGCCGTACGTCATGTCCCATCTGTCAGCCAGCATCGTGAGCAACATTCACGAGGTTCTCCTCGTCGAGGGGCCTCTGAACTGGCGAAAGTTCACACCCTGTGTTGTACGTCAGAACAGGAACAACCCAGCCTATGTCCTGGAAGCCGCCGGCAGAGCCATTCAGGCTCGCTTTAAGCTCCAGACAACGGCAATCCAGAAGTGCACCATCATGGGGGCCTTTCTCAACGTCATCAAGCGGCACTGGCTCGCCTGTGAATGGTTCCGCGCGGGCCACCAGGGCAGCTTTCCGGAGCACAAGTACTTGCGCCACGAACTTTTCTTGGAAGCATTGCTTACTTACAGTGAGCAGCCGACCCCGGAGGGGCTCAACTTGTCTGCAGATGCGCTTGGTTGGTCTCTGGCGGCTCTGTCTTGTCCTCTTAGTTTTGAGCATCCTGAAATCCACCGCATCCAGTATGGACCAGCTGTTGAGCATCTGGACGACGACCAGGCTTCGCAGGACGACAAGGCCTCACAGCAATCTCATGATTCTGACAAGGGACGCGCAAATGGGGTTAACGGAGTTTGTGAGTTTCCCGGATGCAAGACTGAGACATCATCATCAAGACGCTAGGTGCAGGGAGCTAGCCTCCACAGAGTAGGTCAAAATATTATAATATACTAACATAGTGGTATTTTGGATAGATATGAGACACCAATCTCACTCTCAATCGCAAATAAAACCGTAAAGATTGATTTCACTCATCTGATTGCTAATTTGAAAGCCATTACCCTGTTTCGCTGCATGAAATGTACCTTGAAGCCTGAATGTATCTTCGATCGATTGTAGAGATGATGCCACACATGGTTCCCAAGCATATCTAGGAAAGAAGTTTTGGGAATGGCTAATACGTTGGAAAGATGCCCTCAGAAATGTCAGATGAATATAAATCAGAACCAGGCCAGATTATTCTGCGAGTCGTGGTAGAAGATGATGGCCCGTTCCAAAGTATTTGCATTCTGCATGTTCTAAAACTCAACGCACGCGTGGATTTATCCTCGTCAAAAGAAAAAAAAAGGCCACGCGTGCTCTTCTTCCAAAGCGCTTCCACGCGGCTTCGAGACTTCTATCCTCTCTTCCGCTGAATAAAAATGTCAAATCAATAGCACGGAGCTCCCAGCTCTACAGTGTTTCTGTGCCATCCTCCACGATTTGGCGCCGCCGTCGGGTTATAACACTCAAGAATTCGTCTCTGCCGCCAACCTGATGATCATCCCACAGCGAAAAAAAAGGCCGTGGACCGCAATCTGTTGCTGCATGTTGCCGGTTGGCTTCTTCTTCGGGATGTGGTCGAGCTTCACCTTTTCTGCGCCTCCCCGGTACCTTCCCACTCCGCCAGATGCGGCATCCGATAGCATCGCTCACAAGTCACTATCCGAAGCTCCTCCTTGACCCACCTCAAAGCGTCCACGATTCCTTTGCCGCCCATGTCTTTCCCGCATTCATAGCAGCAGCCACCCGCTCTCTTCGGACTTAACGGACCCCAGATTTTGAAACTTCTCATCAGAGAAGTGACCAGCTCAGCGGCGAATTGAGGGACTTCACGAAGCAAGGTCTGGAACGCCTCGCTGTTGGAGAGCCGGTGAACGCTCGCGGTCGCCAGTCGCTTGTAAATCGGCACGAAAGTGGAAACGAAGTCCTTCATCTCTTCGCTGTAGACGAATCTGACCGCAGGCTTGAAAGACTGTTCAATGATCTCGTCCATCTCCTTGTCATGGTCGGCTCCTGGGAAAGCGGTGCAGAAGACCTGAGCATGCTCTTTGGCGTAATCATTGGCTGCATGGACAGCAAGTTTGCACAGGGAACCGTGGCAAAAGAAGTCAGCGGTCTTCCAGATTCTCATGAGCGCCACAAGGGCATCATCTCCGGGATATGAGTCCTGAAGGTCAATGGATCCAGTGTAGATGAATTTGAGGAAGCAACCAACGTCGCACTGCTCGCGCTTTTTCAGCGTAACGATTCCAGTCTCGGACTCCTGGTGTATCATTGTCAATAAACAGCTTGAATCTCCGGTCACAGCGAGGGAGAATGAGCTTACCTTGAATGCGCCCATCAGGGCGCTCTTGAAAAAAGTGCTTCGGGTGCATAAAATGACTTTGTGTAACTTCCACGTGTGGTCACCACACTTGACCTCCACGTCGGCCAAAACTCCGCTCTCGAACAGCCTTCTTACCGTCAGCATAAATGATACTGGGGTGTTTGAGAGAATTATGACATCAAAGCTTACTCAAGATCATTCTGCTTGTGGGTGCTCTGGTCCACGGCCCAGATGCCAGGACCTTTCTTTTCAGCCATGATGACTGGACCTGCAGGGTCTTGCAGCGGTGAAAGCGTCGGATTGTTGTAAACGATGGGTCAAGCTTAAAGTGAGAGTGTTGAAGATGAGTTAAACTCGAAAGAAGCTTCTTCCCGGATGTGAAACTGGTAGTGCTCTCAGACAGCGAAGATGTGCGAGAGTCAAGTCAATAGGTAGAGAGTCAAGAGCAAGACTAAGAAGCTGCTGCTTGGGACATGGAGCGCCCTACTTCAAATCGCTCAGAACTTTTGCACTCGACTTAACAAGTCAAAGCGATATATTTGCAGCAGGTTAAGCTTTAGAGGCTGTCAAAGGACGAGCGAAATGCTGTGGTGATCAGTCCTTGGATGAAAGAGCTACACCAACGCCGGCTATCGCAGCGTAATTGCCTCAGTCAGCCAAAAAAAAAAAAAAAAAAAAAAAAAAATTAACCGCTTTGGCCTGTGAACTAATAACAAGATCATGGTTTTGGAACATAACAATCTCTAGAACTTGAACAGACACTCACAATCACAGATTACAGATTAGCATGCATGACGGTGAGCATTGACTTCATGGTGGAACTCGTTTTCCTCTTCTCCCAACGGATATTGTCATGCTTGATGCCCAAGTCTACCACGAAAACTCGATTAAAGCATTTCCGTCTACTGAGTGAGAATCAGAGATTGACTCTCAGCAATGCTGAAGGTTCAAGCTTGAATGATAAAACTTCTCGATGAGTCTTTTTCTGAAAGCAACGCAAGAAACTGGCCATTTTATAGCCACATTTTCTCTTTAGTGAGCACCCTCTTCCCTGTTGGCCCCAAAGCAACCACTAAACGTTGCAACAGTGTCGCGTCATGGAATATGTGGAGCTCGTTGCCATGACCCTAAGAAGTTCCTCCGTCCCCGCCAATCCAATTCTCCAGTTGTTGAAGGGGGTAGCATGTGCTACAGAAATCCTCGACCTTCTGCTCTTTGATCCATTTGGCGCACTTGACAGACATGGTTCTCGGACGAGGCAACATCGACCTCATGCACTTGGCGCATTTCTCTGAGCGCTCTGGCGCATTGATGGAGGGCATGTGGTCTGTAAGTGTCATTGCCCAATCCAAGGCAAACGCCGGTATCTCGTAAAGTAAGTCCTTGAATGTCTTGTTCTTCTCCAAGATGTGAATGCCGGAGATGAGGAAGGCCAGAATGGTGGGTTTGAATGCGTCGCGAACGTCGTTTCGTCCCTGGTTGTACAGTGCGCGGACGAGTTTGACGATGTTGCCAGTTGCAGACTGCTCCGCGGATTCCGTGCTGTTCTTGGCCGCAAAAGTCCAACTCACTCTGCGGAACGTCTCATCCGTCTCATCAAGAGCGAGCTTGCAAAGATCTTGAAGGCGGAAGAAATCGCCCATTTTCCAGATCGACATACTTGCGTAGAGGCCAACCGGAGCAGTGAAGTTTTTGCTGACATTGATACCTGGATCGCTAATTAGCAAGCCACGTCTGATTGTTTCATATGAAAGCCCTTACTGCCTGTGTAGATGTATCGCAGCAGGCATTCGACCTCGTTCTCCTTGAACTCCTTGATGTTGACGATGCCTTCTTTGGCCTCCTATCGTGGTATCATCAGCAAGCTTATTGGGCAGTATGTAAATGTCTGCGCTTACCTTGAACCGTCCGTTCAACGCCTTCTTGAACCACTCGCTTCGGACGCAGAGAATGACTTTGTGAACCTTCCAAGTGCGTTTGCCACAGCGTACCTGGGTATCAGACAACGTACCGCTCTCTAGCAGCCTGTGATGGACCTAAATCAGTGAAGGCCCCCAAGGCCAGCAAACACGCTCGAAGGTAGGCTTACTCGAGGTAATGTTCCTGAACACCTTTGGTACTCGACCAAATCACGTCCTCGGCCGGGCTAGCCATCGTGATGGTATTCTTGACGAGGTGTTCTCCAGAAGCAAGAAATTGTCGCCAGGAGGAGGCGCGTGCGATGATTTCTGATTGAACGTTAAAAGAAATCAGGCTATTGGCTCCGGCCAAGGTTGGCTTCGGAGGCAGGTAGGCCACGGAGGGTAGGTGGCTTGGTAATCAGATCCGTGCTGTAAGATGAGATGTTTCAGTCAAAGAGGAAGTGTGTTTCCAGCTTGCAGTTTCAAGGCCTCGACTTTCTTCTGCTCGGCCTCCTTCCCTCGCCAAGTTCGACCATGAAGATGCCTCAAGCACTGTAAATTTCCGCCGTCGGGGTAGTAAAGCCAGCAAGCCCACTTCTTGAATAAGCCTTCCTTCATCTGGTTGCGCGCCCGCTGTCCAATGTGGTCCTCGATGAACGCCCCTCGTGTCATCGCCAGGCGGGAAGGAAACACCCGATTGAGGTAGTGCTCGGTGGAAGCGATATGAGTCTTGTCGTGCCAGAAGAAGAGTGGCGTCAGGGGAATTGTGTGCGAGCTTGATGCCACGAAGAAGTCTCGCTTGAGGGCTGCAGTCGACTCCCTCAGGCTGGCGAACGGGTTGACGTCTCCAGAGTCCGCGTAACACAGCATCCTAGGAGAAGGAAGGCAGACGTATTTTACGGGAGCTTCCTCACTGGAGTCACTCTGTACCATGACCTCTACGATCGATTGGACTGGAATGTTGGTGATCAAGTTCCAGTCATGCTGCTGCACCCATACGTACGGAGTCTCGACCAGCCTCAGCGCCGAACGCACTGCCAACCCGAAGCCAAGGCGCTGCGAAGGCTCGATAAAAACCACACGCTTATCCTCGGTTCTTCGAATCTTCAGCGCAGTGAAGTTGGTCGCTATGCACGGCGACCCATACTCCGCCTCACCTTCCTCCTCGAGCAAGGACAGGTTCTCCGATGACTTGACCCCAGCGAACTCCCGCAACACAAGCCTCTGGACGTTGCCCTTGTACGCTGGGAAGTTCTGGGCACACTCCGCCGTAACAGACCCCTTCTTCAGCCGATTCTCCGGCGCAATCCTATCGTAGGTATCCAAGACGACGACAACATTGCACTCCAACAACAGGGGACAGTGTTGATGGAATGAGGCCAGGATTGTGTACAGCAACTCCGTGGACGGGGCGGAGGGCGTTGGCGACGTCGTGATGATGACGGTCAAAGCCTCGGATATCGGTGCCATGCTAGATTCAGTCGCGGGAGGGGCGTCGGGCAGCCGAGAAGACGGGACTTGGTCCCCTGAAAGGAGCATGGTGTGATGCCGGAGACCTGCCAGGTGACGCTGGGAACTGGTAGCTCCCAAGGTCCGACACCCGAGATGTGTCAGGGGACTTCAGGCAAAATTGCGCTCTCAAAACAAGCTCTTGATCGACGCCATCACCCTGTTCCACCAATTCCTGACCACCCTCACAGTTTCTACGATGAAGCTCGGCAGTTGGAGTGCTTCTCGAGAAGAATATCCGGCGTTTGTGGTTGTTCTTTGGGCGCTGTCGAGGTGAAGCCTCGCGGGAAAAGTTGGGGTGAGGTTGTTGTCGACCGGTGGTCCCACCTTTTTAGAGGAGTTCATTGGCTAACCTTCCAGGGGCAACGGGTCACACATCAGCCTCAACCCGGACCCACAGTCCCGCGATTCAAGCGGTTGACGACCGGCGTCCGTCTTCCCCTGACGACAAGCCGAAGGACAGCCCAGCAGGTGACTTTGTCCTCGCCAAATGATTGCGCATGCGGAGCCGAACCGACGATGCGGCTGAGACAGCGACTCGTCTGAACATCATGCCCGGACAGGTCGTCCGAACACGCGGCGTGTCGCAGATCGGGCTGATCACAGTGATCCTGGGGACGTGCAATGCTTGCGCCAGTGGGCGATCATTGCCAAGCTTCGACTCGATGGTTCTGGGGGTGAATCAAACAAGCGCGCCTGCTACACACCCGATGCTCGTTTAGCTCGAGTCTATGCCATTGAACCCACCGCCCCATAACCACGCACTAGTCGATGGCCCGCGCGGGACGTAGAAGGCTCGACACGCCTCTCCACAGAAATTTGGAAATCCGAGACGACCCGGATGGGCATGGATGTCGGGCCAGGGACGAGGATTCGAGATGTCCTCGCTAGTAGTGTAGTGTATGCACCGGTTCGGAATGGTCAAGATCGTCACTCACGACTGTACAGCTGCCAGCACGATGTGTGTATAAGAGAGTGTGGTCTCGCTCCAAGATCTGTCTGATTCTAGTCATCATCATCATCATCAGAAATCTCATTCTCTCAAGCATTTCTACACGGCCCGGCGTCGCTCTTTCTTTAAAGAACTTAGTAATACAACACTCACTTTTGGACCCAACCACCAATCTTTCACCAACAATCAAAATGGTTCGCATCACTGCTGCTGCTGTCCTGGCTTGTGAGTAACCCCCTCTCCCATCCTCATGTGCATCAAACCATAGCTAACCTCGCCTCCTCGCCAGTCGCCGTCTCCGCCCTCGCCCTGGCCCCCAACAACGCCGGCGCTAAGAGCGTTGGCGCCGGCGACGGCTCCCAGTTCACCACCGGCGGCTGCGTCAACGACGCCGACTGCCAGTCCGCGTGCTGCGCCGAGATCTCCGCCTCCGGGCTCGGAATCTGCTCCGCCGAGGCCGCCTCCACCCAGAACGGCAAGCTCGGCTGCGGCTTTGTCGACCCCAACGCCGACGCCACGATCTCTGCTGCCAAGGCTCAGGTCGAGAAGCAGGGCTTCTAAGGGGGATATCTTTTATGAGTACATGATTGGATTATGATGTGGACGATAGTGTAAAACACTAGCGGCTTTCCACTGCCTAAAGAAATATCCTTTGAAGAAGTCGTCTTCCTTCACTGTGCGTAATAGAAATAAACATCTGCACATCACATGCAATAGCGTTATTCTAAAAATCAAACTCTAATAAAAAATTATGGCGCGCTCGGCCAAAGCTCCAGAAATGCCGTGCCGTGCAGTATATAACTACGCAGAAGGGTATAATGTGCAGTCTTTCTGGTAAATAGACAGTCTACTAATAATTGTCTAATTTGTGTCGCCCGAAAGACTTATCTTCCGAGAGAAGGTCTTCACGACGGTCTTTCACTCAACAATGCTAATTTCGGCAAGATCGAATCAACCAGAGGACTGTCATTTACTTAGAGACTGTCCTCAAGACCCTTTCTGACCTCTTTTTGAACTTGTTGGGTGACGTAACTCAGAAACTCAGACCGTCCTTCCGAGTAGGAAACGCAGAGAATGCTGTTTATGTTGTCCACCATGGTATAACTCCAACCAGACCTATCGGTGGGCCAACGTCCGTGTTGGCCACTTTCCACAGTCGTTCTGTGCTGCCAATAGTTCTTCGGTGACCTGTGCATGTGCCAGGACTCACCCCGTCTGATCTGTAACTTTTCCCTGGCCTTCTGATCCCTCTTTCTCGCAGATCCCACAACCTACATGCCGAGAACATAATTTCGTCTTTTCGAGGCATGCTCTCGAGCAGAACCACTCCTCGGAGTCCCCGTTCATGGCCACGATAACGCCAGTTGTAAAATACACAACGGGGCACAATCCCTGGCGTGATTCGTTCAGATACATTTGCTGGCCGCATGGCCTGCATACTCGCAGTTGCCGTCGGACCGTCATGAATTTAGTACTTTCCCCACTTCCAACCAGGCACTTGCTAAATTCCGACGCGAATCCTGGCAGTTCGTCCAGTAGTAACATGAATGAAGGATGGCCTCTGAGATAACAGGATATAGAAAGGGCAAGGATAAGCAGATATGATCGGGGTTCGCCTGTAGCCTTCTCGGTCTGCCATGCCGTTCGGATCCCAGTTTCCAAGTCGGGAAGAAAGGGTATGCGATTTGCCATGATGGCTACGTGACCAGACTCGTTGATATAGCGTCCAATACGCTGCCACATCTGCTGTTCCACTGTTTCTGTCAGGTTTTTGATTCCGTAGAAGTCCCCGAGATGCCACATTCGGACACAGGTGTCGAGAAAGGACAGAGAAGGATTTCCGAGGCGAGCAAAGTCAACGTCCGTTTCTGCCGGCGAACGATTAGTATGATGGAGGAAGTTACCTCGTGGGTAAGATACGTACTAGGATAATAAATGTGTCGCAACAGTATACCAATTTCGAAAGGCTGGAAGTTCGTTATGTTGATCTGATTCTTCTGTGCTTCCTTTACTATCACGTCAGCCGTTGATCCATCCATTACACAGTGTATCACTAAGGAGAATAGCAGATACCAGATACACTAAGGGAGAAAAAATACCGTGCAGTCGCCCATTATGGTTGTCTTGAAGTATTCGATACGGCACAGGATGGCCTTGTGCGTCTTCCAAGTGCGGTCACCACAAATGACAGAGAAGTCTGAGAACCACCCTGTCTCCAATAGGCTTGAGCAGAAGTTAGAAAATGTGGCCTCCACCTCGAGGGAATGGAGGTAAGTAGTCTTACTTGAGGTCTCGAGGACTCGCGTTCTTGAGTCCCTCATCTTCACGTATAGAAGCCATCGTCAACGGTTTACGCCGTTTGTCAGACAGATATCCAGCGAAAGCTTCCTGGCTGTAGTGCGGCAGCGTTGTATGGGCTGCTGAGTCTTGAAATTGCTCGTGTGTTCAAAGTTCCGGACTCGGTAAACACAGGGGCAGCAAGCGCTTGTATAGGAATCATGGATGGGTGAAGCCTGCTTCAGACAAATTAAAATTTCCTCACCAACACAAATCAGGAATGTATTATGCTATCAGTCTCAAAACCCACCTAGGTAGTCATGGGTTTGTTGAGTGATTTGTATGACCCAACGTCACCTAGCTGTTTAGCGTATAGGAACTGGCCCTAAACTCTCTATCTTTACTCTAGAACAGCGTTGCAACATGGACTGAATACCTAAATGATGGCGCAGTATGCCTTAAGTTATCAGACTTTAGCACTGTGGCAGTATGTCGCTCCGTCGTGGCGCTATCATGTTCGTGTGTTCCGTAGGCAACACACTAGACCGGTCTAGTGCAGACCTAATGAGATCGGCTTGATATCACAAATCCAAGGAATACAAGGAAATCTTGTATTGAGGAAGAACATCTTTCATGTAAATTGTCCAAGTGAACGTGCGGATAGTGTATCTCAGGATCATTCCGTCACTATCAGTGGTGTATTGAACCCGCCAACCATTTTGCCTACGCCGACGCAAGACGAATGTGCAGACGAGATGCGGTGGCATTGCCTCCAGACACGACAGCCTGCAGTGCCATCTCCAAACGACCAAGGATCTACCGGAGCACATTGAGACGAGACAGCTCCCAGGAATTCCAAAGACCCGAGTATGACCTGACCATGGCACTCTCCCCTGGGATGGCCTTCGCCCTTCCCATTCGATGATTTCCGCACTTCGAACAGGATTACCCCTGCCTTCATGTATGACAATGTCCGCCTGTCCTGCGGGATAGCCTCCGGTCCGACTTCTGCAGCGAGAACAACATGATAAGCTTCAATAAGCTCAATTCATGGCGACCTATCAGATGCCTCGCCGGACCCTGGAAACAGTTAGCATTCTGATGGAAATTCGAGCTGCGTTGATGCCTACTCTGGAAAGAAAGGCGGGCCATGGTTTTGCGAGATGTTACACGCCTTGCGGTGGCCGGCGATCTCGTACGCTCGAGAGCCCTGCTCGATTTCGGAGACACAGGGTACAATCCAACAACCGGGTAGAACCCAGATGAATCCAGTGCATGAAAATCCGTGCTAAACGGCGCAGGTGGCTCGACAACGCGAGTTGACTTTGGCAGTGAGAGGCTTGAGGTGATGGAGCCCAACGCCCGCTGCGAAAAGGTAACCGCGAACTGAGGGACCTCCTGCAACAGCGTGAAAAAGGACTGGTGGCGTCGTACGTAGGGGGCAAAGTCGATGCAAAGGCCGGTGAGGACTGCACGCAGGGGACCCGAAGCGAGGTCCTCGCGCCAAGCCTGACGGACGGCGGATTCGAGATCGACGATGAACGTTGTGCCGTGTATCGCCGTGTCCACTGTGCGAGAACACCGGCGCCAGCGAGAGCATCCGGCGTTCAGCTTGTCTTTGGCTAGCTCGGCCATACTGTCGACCTGGAAGTAGTCACCGAGCTGCCACAGCCGGACGCAGGTCTCGAGGTAGGACTTGCTGGCGGTGTCAAGCCGCGCGGATTCCGGATCGAAGTCTGTTTGAAAAGGCGCTGAGTGAGCTCTTGTCCTACTTTTTGGTTGACGGGGCTTCCATGCAGTGAAAGGACGGCCACCTAGATACAGGAGGAGATTGGGACGGTTGGTGTGCTTACAAGGGAAGTAGATGTACGACAGAAGCCACTGTATCTCGAATGGCTCGAAGAACTCTTCGATGGCGATCTTCTCTTGAACGGTCTCCTGTAATCGCTGCTGCGTTAGCCTTGAACACATCGGACCTCTTGGGGAGACTGCTAGGTTGCATGTGTACCTTGAAGCCACCTCCGACAGTGGCGTTGAAGTAAGGGACCTTGCTGAGAATGGCCTTGTGCACCTTCCATTCGCGGTCTCCACAGACGATGGTGAAGTCAGAGAACTCTCCGGTCTCAAGGAGCCTATGATGTTGTTAGAACGGGAGATGCACACCATGGGAGCTTACAACACATCGAAGTCGTCGGAGCGCACCTGATATCTGACTGGGACCGGCGAACGACGACGCTGGGATCGTCGTCGACGTAGCCATCGACATTAGCCGCGGTATTCTCTATGGGAGGCATCTTGGAGATGGATTGATTCGAAGAGAGTAGTGGAAGTATTGGGAGGTACTGCTGTTCGTGGAGGTTGCACAAGATGAAGGAGGGACAAGTCCCGACCGCTGCCTTCGATGGAAGGTCAGACGACGGAGCGCAGATGCCCCAGTGAATGCCTGCAGAGCTTGTCAGTGATGGGCAGAGCTTTCTAGCTGTAATGCAAACGATCTGAAGCTATCCTAGGGTGGGTCTCCTGCGGTCGACGAAAAGGTTGCGGTCGTCTCGCAGGCAGCTTCACTGCTTTCCCACAACAACCACCCACGCAGCCATCTCTGCAACCCACCTCCCTTCCATTCTCTCACCTCCCCTCAACTTTTGTCGCTTTCCCTTCTTTACTCTACCGTCGTGCGAGACCCTCTGCCCACCATGCCGAACCTTATGAGAGAGATCGATCCCGGGGAGTTGGGCGAGTATCCCGAGGGACACCCCAAACATGACCCCGGCTACGATTGCAAGAAGTTTCGCGTCATTACAGTCGAGATGCAGAAGGCAGAGTTGATCGCCGAGAAGAAGCTCTACAACGAGTTTGTGGAGGAGCCCGTCCAGGAACCCCAGAAACGTGTGTGGGCGTTGATTCCGAAGAACAACCTCTGCATTCCATTCAAGTGGTTTGACTACGAGAGCGATGCCGCGGTGTTCGTCCTCGCCGTCGCTAGGGTCAACAACATGGCGATTGGCTGCGCTGGCAAGTCAGCGACAGGCAGAGCTCTGTGCTCTTTCCTGGATTCCGTTTTGGAGCACTGTCATCTGCGGATGAAGAAAGAGGAGGACCCGCCGAACATGACCCTCCAGGAGCGCCGCATCCGTCATTGGAAGGCCGTCATTGGAAGGCCGTCATTGGAAGGCCGTCATTGCTGAGTCGTGTGTTGCCAGAGACTTCACCCTGCGTCTTGTTCGTCACGTCACCCTCATGCTCGTGGGCGCGAGCTCTGACTTCGCCGACAAAACGGACAACGGAACAGCAGCCGTGACTTGGGCGTCAAAATCGAGAAGCTGCGCGACTGGTTCGAGGAGAACGACCCAGCTGACTTGAGGGCATTCGAGCTTCTGCAGCCGAAGCGTCAGGCGCCGCACCCCCCAAAGGGAAATGGTATGTCTTGCGTGTTCTTCATAGTTCCGATGCCCGTGTGGTTGGTTAACAAGGCTGCTTCATTAGCTTGTCCCCGATCCAAAGGCAAAGAGATGCGCGAGGGTACCCGCAACAGCCGCAAGCGCAAAGCCGACCCATCTCTTCCTCATGAGAGCATCCGACCAAAGCGACACCGCCAGACGGGCCGGGCCCTTCCACCCCAGCGCCCGGATGACGAGATCAAGCCCCCGAGACGAATTGCCCAAGGAAAGCGAGGCAAGAGGGATTGGGCTAAGCTTGCCTAGGTCCTGAGGGTTTTCGAGAGAGAAAAACATACGGATATGAGGCATTCTGGTTGATTGTTGATGTACAGTCATCTGAAGAGGACCGTTAGACGCCTTCCGTGTACGGATATTCGCAGACGTACACCTAGACTGGAATTTCCTGTACGAATTACAGAGATTTCGTGGTCATTCAGAGAGGATGAGGAGAATCGAAGACACCTAAACATTCGTGGCGTTTGGGCTGAGTAGCAAGAGTACCATACCAGACTTGGGTTCTCATGTGCGAACGTACCAACCAACCATAAATAGATTCTGAGGTCGTCTAGGGATAGTCTACTTACTGAAATAAAACTTGTTCTTACTACACTACTGTAGCTGTTCACGATGCAAAAACGGGGGATACATCGGTACATCGCCACGCCACCCAACACCCACACCCAAACACCTAAACACCTACACACCCAAACACCAACACCCAACACCCACTCCCATACCCACACCTAACACCCATACACCTAATTTGCACATCTAATTCAACTTGGGTGTATGAGTGTTAGGTGAAGATGGGGGAATTAGGCCTGGGTGATATCCTCTGCTTCGTTACAGCCAGCTATGGCGTGAGTTGATGCACCGGTGTACCCTCTACATTTTGGCAGGTGCGAATTTGCGATTTAACAAAAATAAAAAGGCAAAGGGAAAAAAAAGAGGAGCAGAAGTGCCAAGTCCAGGAATTGAACAAGGCACCTTGAGATGTCATTGCAGTACTGTAGACCTAGCGATTAGCTTCCTAGGCGACCGCAGCCTGAAACAGTTGCGCCAGACACACTCGTGGCCATGCTCGGGAGGTGGAAGTCGGATGGCTTTGCCTACTTAAGGAGGGGACGAGTTGGTTTGGTGGGTGGGGTGGGGGGGGGGTCACCAGTGAATTCAGTCTGATTGTATGGAAGTACTTGCTACCCCTGCCCGCCTTCCAACCAGCAAGGCACATCACGCTACCAGGCCCAGGGATACCAGCTTCAACCCAAAGAATTACATTAAGAAAAGAAGGTATCGCACCCTCGTCTCTACTTGACCACCTTCCCCTTCCTCTCCCACTTCGTACGAACCAGCCTCAGCAGCAGATACGCAACGAGTCGATAAGCGACGATGATCCCCGCTAGCGCAGCAATGTTCACCACAACATCCACGTCCAGCCTGTACAGGTCCAGCACCTGCTCCCCCGTCCCAAGCACGCAGCTCCCATCAGGCAGCGTCTGGTCCGCGTCGCAGCTGAACCGCTGGCCCCGCAGGCTGACAGGCGCGAGGGCGCGCACCGCATACCGGCAGGGGCTGATGTAGTTGAAGGCGTCGAAGAGCGGCGGCATGTCGATGCTCATGATGCCCGCCATGATGTTGGCGACGGATAGCAGGATGCTGGTCAGCGTGACAGCGAAGCCGGTGTGGTCGGAGAAGAGGGTGTTAAACATGATCCCCAGGCTCTCACCGCAGCTGACGATGCCGAAGCACGCGAACACGCACACGAAGTACATCTCGGCCGTGCGCGGGAACCCGACGGCCAGGTCTGCTAGTACACCATAGAGGAGCGTCGAGACCACCTCGAAGGGGAGCTCGAGCGCCGTGTACGTCAGCAGGAAGGACTCGACCCCGTACGCGCCGTCGTCGTGCTCGCGGTAGAAGACGTCTCGCTCCGCTGGGTACACGGCCACGTTCTGCAGCATCCCCACGAAGTAGAAGGACCCGACTTGTTGTACGAAGCCGACACGGTTCTGAACCGACGTGTAATCCGACTTGAGTGGTGCAAAGAAGGCCGTCAGCACCACCGCCAGCCCGACCACCTGCATCAGCCGTGCCAGGATCAGTGGCGGCTGCCGCCTGAAGTTGATGGTTGCGCGGTGCAGGAGGAGCGGGAACGAGGTCAGGAACGAGGTTCGCTTGCGGACGAGCGCGCCCAGCTCGGCGGGCGTGGCGAGGTGGCTCTTGCCGTTGGACCGTCGTGGTTGGCCCTGCTGGGCGGTGGTGTTGTTGTCTCGGGATGGCCGTGGGGACCCGTTGGTCTTCTCTTCGGTGATGGGCTCCAGCCTCTCTTGGGTCGCGACCGTATGGATATCAGAGGTCTGGGGGTTGTTGAGGTTCTTCCCCCCACGCTTCGATCAGCACGTTGACTGATCTCCTTGTCTCCTCTTCCCGACCTTGTTGTTGCAGGTCAACTGTGATCAGATCCATAACGAAATCGGCGGGATTGATATTGCGAGGACATTCCTTGCCCACACCCGCGCGAAGTACCCCAACATATCACCAGCTGCTCCGCTATACACAGACTTGCCACCTCTGGCAAGCAGTAAGACGTTCCCAAAGTGGGAGAACAAGTCCGATCGGGCTTGGTGGATCGACAGGATCAGGGTTCTGCCTTCAGCGGCAAGACCACGCAGGACTTCCATGATCGAGTTGGCCGTGAACGCATCCAGCCCACTGGTGGGTTCGTCCAACAGCAAGATACGAGGATCCGTCAATATCTGAACAGCAATCGTCACGCGGCGCTTCTCACCACCGGAAATACCCTTAACCAGCTCGTTGCCGATGAGATTATCCGCACAGTCCTTCAGCCCCATCTTGAGCAGCACCTCCTCGGCGCGGCGGTTCTTCTCCGCCTTGCTCATGAAACTGGGCAGGCGGAGCCCAGCCGCAAAGCGCAATGTCTCGCGGACAGTGAGGGACGGGAGGAGAGCGTCGTCATCCTGGCAGACGTACGAGCACACCGAGCGAATGACCGAGTCGGAGGGCTCTGCGCCGTTGAACGTCAACTTGCCCGCCGGGCGGTACCTGGTGCCGAGCGAGCTATTGAGCCGCAGCGCCATGGCGTTCAGGAGAGACGTCTTGCCGCTGCCGCTGGGCCCCATGATCACGTTCAGCTTGCCCGCCTCGAAAGTCGACGTCACCGGGTGCAGAATTGTCTTCCTAGGCAGCTTCTTGCCCCACGGCGACCTCTTGTCCAGGTCGAGAGCGAACTTGTCTAGCCCGACGTCAATGGTGCGGATCGCCTCGATCGACCGCGCAGCCAGCTTTTCCTTGCCGGCGGAGAAGTCGTGCTCCGACACGCGGGCCCGCGCGATGGTCATCTCCTTCTTGACGAATGTGAGTCCGATCCAAGACAGGACGTAAAAGAAGATTACAAAAGCCAGCGCCACGACTATGGGTGCTTTCAGCCAGTCCTTTGGGAAGCCGAGGGATTTCATGATGTATGCGCCGGTGAACGGAGCACATGAGGGGTTGGACTCCCCGCCGGGATATGGGCAGTCGTAGAACGAGTCGTGGAACTCGTTCCCGCAGAGGGCGCTGAAGATGTAATACTGTTGCCATGTCAATGAAACGTCACCCAGCGGTCACAATACAGACAAGGGACTCACCGTATAAGTCAAGTACTTCAACCACCGCAGCCACACCGCGATGCTGTTGCTCTGTATAAAATACCCACACGCCATCGACTGCAGGGTATACGCCAAGTTGGCGATCAAGCTTGCGCCGGGGAAGTTCCTGCTGGCGGTGACGCAACACATCGCGCACGTTACAGCAATATAATGGTTGAGCAGCACGATCCCAAAGTACGTCAGGAACCGGGAAGGCTCCTGGTCCAGACCTGCCATCCAGTAGCTAATTACGGCGAAGATGAGCGGAACCGGCAAGTCCTCCGTGATGAACCTGGCCAGGCGGCGAGATGCGAGGAACGGCAGCGCCGTCGCGCACCCTTCGCTATGCTCACGGTCAAAGACGCCGATCTCCTGCGTCAGGCGGTACACCTCGAAGACGAGGAAGAGGTAGCCCTCTAGCGCGCTCGTCGTGTAGAGGAAGCCCTGCCGCGACCGGATGCCCGCCTGGTCCCGCCCAAGCTGGTAGAAGATGTACCCCGTGCACAGCCCCATGATGACGGCCTGCATTATGGCGGCCATCATTCCCATTGGGTCGCGGTACGTCGTCTTGAAGGTGCGCGAGGTCATGACGCGCATCTGGCGGGCGAAGGAGGTCGCGTTCGTGTGCCTCCTCAGCGTCATGCCGCGCTCTGCTGGTGCCTCCGTACTCTTCTCGGTCGGCGTGAAACGCCTCTCGTTCTCCTCTCCCCACGCGCCCTTGAGCTGCTCCACCCGCGCCAAGCTCTCGGCCTCTAGCTCAGGGGTTCGGTTGTCCACGGCCGCCAGGTCGACCAGGTGCTCAGCCGGGTTGACGAACGGTGGCATCCTGAAGCCGAGCCCATCAAACCAAGGAATACACTCGGCCACGGGGCCCGAGTAGACGGGCGAACCTCGCGACAGAAGGATCAGGTTGTCGAACAGGCCCCAGATCTCGGAGCGCGGCTGGTGGATGGTGACGATGACCGTCCTCCCCTTGGCGGCGAGGTTCTTGAGCGTGCGGACGAGCTGGAAGGCGCTGCTGGCGTCGAGGCCCGTGGTGGGCTCGTCGAGGAACAGAACGCTCGGGTTCGCAAGCATCTGCACGCCGATCGACACCCGCCGCTTCTCGCCGCCCGACAGGCCGCGGTGCGTGGTGCTCCCGACGCGCGTGTCGGCCGCCTCCTTGAGCCCCAGCTCCATGATGACCTCCTCCACGACGCGCCGCCGCTCGGCCGCCGTTGAGGGCGGCGGGAGGCGCAGGTCGGCCGAGTACTGCAGCGTCTCCCGCGCCGTCAGGGTGGGCAGCAGAATGTCGGTCTGGGTCACGTATGCGGAGCGGATGGCGTCGATGCTCGGCTGGGAGTTGAAGAGGATGCTCCCGGACTGGCTGAGGCGGGACGAGGATATGCGCGAGGATACCGTGTTCAGCAGGGTCGTCTTGCCCGAGCCGGAGCCCCCCAGGATCGCGGTCAGTGTGCCCGGGGCGAGGGACGCCGAGACGGATGACAAGAGGTCCTTGGTATACGATGATGGGTCTGGCCTGGCCTTGGAGCCGCCGAAGCGGTCCTTGAGCAGCGCCGGGTATGTCGCCGGCTCCAGGACGGAAGGGGAGGTATCCACGGTCACATCGAGGTTCCGAATCTGGACATCCACAGGCGCGACATCGTCGAGACTCAGGTGGTTGCCCACACCGAGAGACACATGGTATGCATTGGGCCCGCCGGCCGGGACGTCCATGCTCGTCGCGACGGAGCTGGCACGGTCGACTTTGTCTATCTTGTCCATGTCCAGGACGGCAGAGGTCGGGCGGTCATGCTGGGGCTGCGACGCGGTATCATCTGAGCCTCCCGGCTCACTGGCGAGGGTTGAGTCCATGATGACCAGCGCGTAAGGCTATCGGTCCGGACAATGTGCCACAGAGACCTTCGTCCTGGTGCAGATGGCACTCGAACTGACCTCGGCAACTGTCGAGTCAAGTCGCGCAGGCACTTGAGCCTGTGTGCATACCGGCAATTGGTGTCGCCTCTTGGGTCAGAACATTACGAGCGAGATTCCTGGTGGTCAATCCAACAAGGCACCAGTATTTCTACATCGTAAGCAGTCCGTGAACAAGAAGGAATCACATGGCCCCAGGAACGAAAACGAAAAGGAGCCGATGGGCCCATTAAAAAAACATAAGCGAGGAATGGCTTATGCCACCATACCGCTTTGGCACTTCTGGGCCTTGATGAGTGTAACGCTGCATAGTATAAAGCACGCTCGCATGTGGCATCCGCACTTGCGAACCGCAGGCCTGGACTTTTGCCGAGTTGGTGGATTTCTTGGCCCGGATCCTGGACCAAGGGTCTGGACACCACCGGCGTGCGACCTGAGCGAGCCACTGGGAGACGAGACTGGCAAATGAGAAGACGGAATTGATAGTATCGAGATGTTTGCAAACAGGCATTTGTGTTGTGCCGACATGGGATGTTTCCATCCCGAAGTTCGTCCCCGCATCTTGGACGAATAGCATCATACGGCCTTCTTTTCTTCCAGAACAAAACTCTATCTGCAGCGTCTACCTAGTTGTAGTAGGGCGGCTAAGATCTTTGGGGGCCTCGGGGTCGGGTCAGAAAGGAGCACTGCATGTGCATCTGCACTGCATGCGTCAAGGCCAGTGCCATGCGTCAGCCAGTGTTCAGGTGATGATGATGGCTGTTGACTGCGGCTCGCCCAAACTCAATCTGCAGATCTCGTGGACCGTGACACAGCAGGCGAACCATTGAGTTTTCGCTTGAACAGGAATGTCAAGGCACAGCATTCGTTTTCGGCTGGTGTTCCGAACACGACTTTAAGTAAGACCCTCGCTGATAAGATAAAGACATGGTGCTTGGGGTGAGACCAACCTGGCTGCTCTGGGCGGGGAGGTGGGGGTGGGGGATGGGGGAAACGAGGGGGGGGTTCACACCTACCAGCACGGAGTATTTGCCCCAGATTTCACAGGCACAGAGAAGCAATGAGTGCCCGCTGAGTGCCCCTCTATGGCCGGCCTATGAAGAGCCTACGGTTTACAATTACCCACCGCGGAAGCCAGCGCGGAAAGAGGAATGAGGGGACCTCCAAAAACCGACTCCAGCCAGCTCCTGGTCGGCCCTCTCTGTCGGCCCAGGTCATCGCATCTTGCACTTACTGCATTGGCCCGCGTCAACCGGAATCCCCGCGGCTAAGCATTCTCGCGAAAATATGGCAACATTGCCCGCGAGCGCGTAAGTGATTTACGCAGGTCTGCAGCTAGTCAGGTAAATTGTGCAGAGAAGGACTGCATCTGGAAATGTCCGGAGAATTGTTTTGTGCAGAGACAGCGGCGGTGGTCTGGTAGCCTGTCTGTTCTGAGCAGACCTCGAAACCTTGATGAGGGGTGTTTCTCGTGTGTCGCGAGTTGCGTGCATTCCTAATTGGTAAACCCCTCCGACGACAGACTCGGTCGGGCATATATGCAAACTCCGCGGTCCAGCCTTGAGTGATAATCACGCATCATGTTTCGGTCACATTTATTTTCATGAGGCCAGAGAGGTGCCGGCATCGAGATTGCGACGGCGGGTTCTCCGGACGGCTGTCTGTCTTTCGCCCCTCGAGGCCATCGCGGCGGGCCGGATCGAAGTTTACCCCCTCATGCCTTGGCCCCGGGTGAAATACCGAGCTCGTCTGCCACCGTGGACCCTTCGCTGCCGCCCACTCTGCCGCGTCATACGACCCCGGGCTTTCGATCTTCAGCAGTCGGAAGCGAGCCTAGTCTACCCTAGTCTACTTAATGCCATGGAAGCCCTCCTTCCCCCGTAGTAGTGACCATGAGACTAAATCCAAACCCCATCATCCTCCAGAGATCCCCCAAGCTCTTTGAACCTGCTCCTCCTCTGCGCCGTGTCTGCGCGACCCGTGTAATCACCAAGACTTTGAAGCCTCACTCCCACCTGCTGCACACCCATCACCCACGATCTGTACGACCCAATATTCCCCGCGGAACCCCGCCATCTGTAGCACATACTACCGCCACCATGGCTTCCAGCGCCACCAATGGCACCAACGGCCACAGCGCCACCAATGGCAACAACAGCAAATTCGACCCAAACTTCACACAACATGTCATCGACCTGATGAGCCCAGAGACACAGCCCAGGCACAGGGAGATCCTGTCGTCGCTGATCCGGCATCTGCACGACTTCTGCAGGGACGTTGAGCTGAAGCAGGACGAGTGGATCATCGGAGTCAATTACGTAAACGCCATCGGCCAGGCCTACAAGAAGAACCGCAACGAGGCATGGCGCGTGTGCGACATCCTCGGCGTTGAATCGTGAGTCGCCCTAGCTGTTTTGGACGAGGAGTCTACCCCTCCATTCGACTTCCGTACCTAAACAAGAACCATGTGTCCAGACTCGTCGACGAGATCAACCACAAGATCTCGGCCGCCAATGGCGCCGAGCCCACATCATCCACCATCCTCGGGCCCTTCTGGTCGCCCGAGACGCCCTTCCGGGAGAACGGCGCCAGCGTAGTCCAGAACATGCCCCCGGATGGGCAGCTCACCTTCTTCCACGGCGTCATCAAGGACGCCGAGACGGGCAAGGGCATCCCCAACGCCGTCTTCGACATGTGGCAGGCCAGCACGAACGGCAAATACGACGTCTTTGACCCTGAGAACCGTACGTTGCCTGCCTCGCAGCATCAGACGCACCCACTGACCTTGTTTTGTCTTCAGAAACCCGACACAACCTCCGCGGCAAGTTCCGCACCGACGCAGACGGCAAGTTCTGGTTCTACTGCCTCAAGCCGACCGAGTACGCCATCGACACGTCGGGCCCCTCGGCCGAGCTCCTCCGCATCATGGGCCGCCACCCCTACCGGCCCGCGCACATCCACATGATGGTCACGCACGACGACTACGTCGGCGTCACCGCCCAGCTGTACCCCAGCGACGACCAGTACCTCGAGACCGACACCGCCTGCGCCGTCAAGCCCGACCTGCTGCTCTACTTCAACCCCGTCAAGGACGAGAAGAACGGCGCCGTGCTGGACGTCGAGTACGACGTGCGCCTGGTGTCCAAGAAGTACAAGCCGGATAACACCATGTTGATGCAGAATGCGAACCAGAACAAGTTCTAAGAATTAAAAAAGGAATTTGGTCTTGTGTTTTTGGCAGGGAAATTTTGTACACGGATTGGAAGTCCGGATCTGTAGGAAAAACCTCAATGAAATACCCGTACATCCATATTGCTGCCAATTTGTGCTTGACCCTAAATTCTGGAAACTGAAGATAGGAACTGAATCTGTCGTGAGCATGTGTTGCTTGCAGGAGTTTTCCTTGCGATCTCGTCATCCAGCGGCTACCACTGGACTGACTGGTTAACATGAAATTTATGCCTGAATGAGAGCGGACGGTCACGCAGTATTAAACCTGCCTTATATATTCTGGACAGCGAAAGGGAACGTGTAAATTTTCAAAGGACAAGCCGCCGGGTAGAGCGTCGAGGCGCATCCGATCCTTGTTTCTATTACGCTCTTGTAAGACACTCGACTGCATGTCACGGGGGGGAGGAACGCGAGGGGTCGGGCTTGGAGCAGCCGCACGTACTGCACATCAATGAGGAGGCGCAACTCTGACTGCACGTCACATCACGCAATTTCTTCTCTCAACCTCATTCAGAAAGCGACAAGTCAAATTCAAGAAATGCATTCTGGACTTATGATATATATATACGTGCACTCATTCCCCAAACACCTGACCCCCCATCCCCAGGACTTCCAGACGCAATGCAATCAACCGCCAAAAGCAACGCCTTATGAGAGATGCCCGAGACCCAGCCATGCCCTACTTATAAAATGAAACCTCCATGCAAATGCACACGTGCTACATCCTAGACCGTCCTCTTCTCGACGATAGCCTTCCCGACGGGACCGCCGCTGACGAACCCGCTGTTGGCGCCGCCGAGCTCATACACCTTCCGCCCGCGCAGCCACGTCTCCCTCACGCGCCCCGTGAACCTCTTGCCTTCCCACGGCGAGCAGCGGTTCTTCCAGTGCATGCCGCGGCACCCGAGCACCCACTCCTCGGCGTCGTCGAAGACGCACACGTCCGCGTCCAGCCCGACCTTGAGCCCGCCCTTGCGGTGCGAGAGCCCCACCTGCGCCGCCGTCGCCTGCGAGCACAGCCGCACGATGTCAACGATATCAAGCGGCCTGTTACCCGCCTTGGCCGTCGTGTGAAGGATCGGCAGCCCCAGCCCCACGGACGAGATGCCGCCCCACGCGGCGAAGAAGTCGCCGGCGCCCGTGTCGGCCTTGGCCTCCTCCTCGCCCGGCATGGTGACGTCGACGCCCGAGTCCGAGTGCATCAGCGTTCCCTGGATGGTGTCGACGGCACCGGCGTGCTGCTGCTGCTGAAGGTGGCCCGGCAGGAGCTTCAGCTCCGGCGTGCAGGGACTGTGGTCCGAGACGATGGTCCTGATCACGCTGTCGCTGGGATCCGCGCACAGCTCCTCCCACAGGCCGGCCTGGTTGATGCGTGACCGGATGGGCGGGCAGCACTTGTGACGAGTGTCACCGTCCTCGACGTCCTCGGAGGCGAGACCCAGGTAGTGGAAGCACGTCTCTGCTGTGATGTTGACCCCGTTCTTCCTCGCCTGCTTCAGGATGGGGATGCACTCTGTCGCCGACAGGTGCACAATGTGCAGGTGCAGCTGTGGCGCCAGATGGGCTAGCGACAGGATCTCCTCTACCGCGCACGTCTCGAAAACAGGCGGCCGCGAGTCGAGGAAGGTGTCGTAGGACGTTAGCTGGCCTGTGGGGGCGAGTGGTGGTTCTGATGCCTGGACGGCGTCTCCCACGCTATCGCTGATGGGAGGAATCATCTCGGCGTGGAACATGAGGGTCGTGGGACGCCCGGCGAGGGCGAGCATGGCCTGCTCGATATCGGTGGAGGAGATGCAAGGGAACTCGTCAACCTGAAGACCGTCTTATCAGTAAAAAGACACCACTTGTCTCGCATCCCACACAACCGTATCCCACCTGGAAGCACTTACACCACTCTCGATCAGGAAGCCCTTGAACCCTCGCACACCCATCTCCACCAGCGGGACCAACTGATCTGCGTTGCCAGGAATCACACCACCATAGAAACCGACATCGACCCAGCACTGCCCCTGGCTGGCGGCCAACTTCTCCTCGAAGCCCCGAACCGTCGTGGTTGGCGGGATCGCATTTAAGGGCATGTCAATCACAGTCGTCACGCCCCCAGACGCCGCAGCGCGTGTTCCGGTAGCGAAACCCTCCCATTCTGTCCGTCCAGGCTCGTTCAAGTGAACGTGGGCGTCCACCAGGCCCGGTAGGAGGACCTTCGAGCCATGGTCCACGTATGTGGTTGAAGATGGGAAGGAGGAGGGCGGGAGTACTTCTGGGACTATGGAGACGATCTTGCCCGTGGAAGGGGAGGCTGATATGGTTGCTGGTGACAAGATAAGGCCATCACCAGGCAAGGTGAGCACCGCGCGAGTTGACACCAACACAGTCAAGGGCTCAGAGGAAGATGAGGTGGTAGAAACGGTCATCTTGACGGTTGTTCAGGCTAACAGGACGGACAGGACCAGTTTCGGAAAGAAGGATAGTCTGAAGTTTAGGAATGAACGGTGAGATCAAGGACGGAGGAAAGCAACCCAGTCTGCCAGAGTCAGGTCCTTATCAGGAGGGACAAGACTGGGATGTGTGAGGTGGGATGGGTGTGTGCTCGGGGCAGACGGCTTATCTTGCAGTAGATAAGGCACAAAGGGGACCACAAGACGACGACAATGCTTGGGATGGGCAAGAGACAGCGAGCATGTGAGAGGTTGACCGTGGACCTAACTTGTCGGAAGAGAGAGCGAGGAAAAGAGAGGTCTGAGTTGGCCGTTGCAAGCATGGCTCACTCTCTCTCTCCTGGGACCACCGAATGCTCCCCACATGGCAGCACATGCTGTTGTCCAGACCGTCGTCGCGAGTTCTCTCGTCAGCGCCCATACCGCCAGTCTCTCTGTCTGGGCCATCGACCTAGTAGGTGCATAGGTTAGATTCGGCCGTGTCCGGCCTTCTAGGCCGGCCATTCTCGTGTTTCCGCGGGCACCAAAAAAGGCGTCGGGACGGCTGGACGGCTACCGTTCGTTATCAGGGGCAAGGAGCGCCCGACAAAGACCGTGTAGCCAGGAGGCCCCTGCTTGCTTATCAGCGCAGCACCATTGGGCCACGCCCGTCCCAATGGGCCCGCTAACCTCTGCGTCGGGTTAATCAGGACCGGCTCACTCAACGTCTTGAGGCTTACTCAGTACCGGCGGCAGGGGCCCACGGTTGTCTGTCCTTCCGCTTTCGGAACAGCCTCGGCCTGGCGATAGCCTCACCAGTTTTGATCGAGTAACTATCGAGTAAAGATCGAATAAAAATGGCGTAATGCGCTCACTGCTTGTTCATGCGGCTTCTGAAATAACCTTTCGGCGACTGCCACCCTCGACGCCGGCCCTGCATCGCCCAGCGTGCCGGGCCTCTGGCTGCAACCTGAGTCGAACTGCTGCTCATCGACTTTTTGGTCTTACGTACACGATAGACCACACGGCAACATTGCTGCCTCAGCACTTGTGCCTCTGTCCCTCGCCTGGCTGCCACTTGATTCCATCGTCAGCTGGCACAGTCACACCTGTTCTTCACAGAGCCCTTCTTCATCTGCCGAAGTGCACTATTGATTCTCGCACGCAACCATCGTCCCCCCCCCTCCCCCGCCCTCCTCCTGCAACCCACGTCTGTCCTGCCGCTGGCATGCTACTGATGCAGGCCTCCAGCACCGCGATGCAGCTCAGTCCCTTTGCCAGCCCCCTCGCACGGCGCGTCGCCAGTTCACTCCCTCAGCCGGTCGTCGACGATGGAGGAACTGGGTTTCGGGCTCTTGGCAATGAGCTGCAAGATGCTAAGCTAGGGAAGAAGAGCAGAAGCTGGACATGACCAAGTCACACAGGTTGTCCTTCGCCGCCATACACTCTTCCCTGTCCTGAGCGGTGCAAAGGGCTGTGGTCGAGGTCCGGTGAGCAGCTTGCGATGACCAAGGGAGCATGATGGTACCGCTCACGATGATCTTTCCAGCGGAGGGGCAGGCGTGCTTTTTACGCAATCGCGCCCTTTCTGCATGTGGTAGTCTATCTGCCGCTGGGCAGGGACACCTCTCAATACTTTTTGTATCCCAGGTCTCAGAGCAGCGCGGATGAGTTCCGCGCACGGGTCGATGTCTCGCCTTCAACCCTGGCTCGCTCCAGCTCTCGCGCTCGATGCGCGCGGCGGTTCTATTCTGCGCAGCGGATGAAATGAGACGTGAGGCCAATCGGAGCCAGGATTCAGTGTCTTGTGTGCGCGGGCCGGCTCGAAATCGAGAGCACGACCAGGCGTCGGGAGCTGGTGCTGGGCTCGTTTCCTCACTGCAGCTGTTCTGCAGTCGCGCGCCTTGTTCTCTAGAGTTTCGTTTGCTTTTGCAGACGGGATCTCGTGACAACCTGTCAATTTGAGCTGTCACACCTGGGTGGTTAGCTTTCCACATCGGGTCGTATGCAGGGCTTCGTCCCCTGCATGAAATCAACCTCGGCGCGTGCATGGGATGACAGCAAGACGGCCCGACGCCACACGATCATATCACGGTGCAAAAGGGCACGCAGAGTGCCTCGGGAACGTGATCTGTTCCACGCCTGCCACATTGAGAGTCAAGTAGACCTCTGATGATCGTTCACCCCTGGTTGCCTACCTCTTACGCTCTGCGGGCGTTTGGACGCGTCGAGTCACTCAGGAACGCGTGAGATCCACCAAGATCGAAGTGGCCGGATATATGCAGGTGATGCCGAGATTATTCGTTTGCTCTGCAGCTCGTCAAGGCACGGCTGTCGACATCTACTCCTTGGCCCGCAGGGTCTTTTGTCCACACTCGTTTCGTTGTTGCTTTTTCTGGGAGGAAACCCTCCGCGTACTTCCGCTCCCCAGCAATACCCCCAGAACCAACACCCGCACGATGCACCAACTCAATGGCGGTGAAAACGATGGTCCTGAGAGAGAGTTTCTTTTCTGTGTGCCCTCCCCTAAATGAGGCTGGGCTTCATGTCCTTGTGGGGGGATGAGACCACACAGTACAACGGCCGGAGGTTCCCAAGGATAAGCGAGAGCCTAAATTCTCAACACTTTCGAGTGAAAGTAGTAACACGGCTTTATTCCTTGCCACCCCTGACCAGTGTACCCCCTCCGAAACCATGTGCGTTCCCTTCTCCCCCAGAACGATTGGTGAGCTTGTCGGTCTCCAACTTTACGCGTCGGTTCCCTGGCTGTGCGCAAGGGTTACGCGGGAACGCGACGTGTTCGTCTGCGGTGTTGAAAGATCTGCTCCCTGTCGGCCGTCAAACAAGACTTTATTCTTTGGACATCCTCCTCAACTCCGGTCAGTTCCATACGCTCACCACCGCAATACCCAAGATCAACATGGGGCGGCTCAAAGACCTGAAGCTTGCACGGCGTCCTCCACGTCTAGACACTTTCACAGACATCCAAGCTCCAAGTGTCAAGAGAGAGCGAGTCAATGGCAAGGACAAGTACAGCTTGACTCCAGCAAAGGCCGGCATCATCACTATTTTCTCCGATGACGAGAATGAGAAAGACCGTACCTCTAGATCACGAGACATCAAACAAGAACGCTCTCAAGTCCCACCTCGTGCGGTTGGACATGGCCATCAGTGCAGCCAACCTCGCATCAAACAGGAGCCGCCACCAGACAGACATAGGCGACAGCAAAGCCATGTACAAATTTCACCGGTTGATGTTGCCTCCGGTACAAGACAACCTCAGGCCCATGAGCCATTGCGTCGGCATGGAGCTCACCGCACATCGAATCCTCCGAACGACTCGTCTTCATCCTCAGACTCTTCTGAATCTGATAGCTCCGACTCTTCGGAATCTGAAGACGAGCCTGGCTCCTCGTCAGACTCAAGTTCAAGCGATGGATCGTCGTCTGGAGATGAAGCAAGCGCCAGTGTGTATCGACCATCTACTCCTGCCTCCAGTATCGAGTCAAGCTCGCCTCGGACACGGCGACACGGAGAAGCTGGCGGCCGAGCGGCTTCTGCCAACCCGGGGACTGCCTCTCCGTCGCGACGGCCGGTGCAGAATAAGACACGGATTGGCTCTGGGCACGCACCACTAGATTTCTTCATCGACCTTCCTGCGCGTCCCTTGCCGAGTCGGCCAGAGCAGGCTGGCCGGTCGAGATCACAGACCTCGTCAACAGTAGTGCCAACGGGAGCTCAGGTAAGCTCAAACCACCGCGATCAGTTCATGGAGATCAATTAACTGACCCGGGGGTCAGGCCGAATGGACCGCTCGGTCCAGTCAACACCGCCCTACAAACAGCTCCCCTGTCGTCCTGGGGTTCATGCCCACCAATCGTGGGTCACCACCGCCAAGGAACGCTCCAACAGAACCGCGCGCAATGCGGAATGGTGCTGCTCAACCCACAGGCACGCCTGCTCGCGCCCCTCAAAGGCAAAGTATCACCCCTAGTGAATTAATTCCGGGACCCTCGTCGCTCCCTTTCCGAGGTCTTCCATCTGCCAAGGACAACTCCCAGCAGAAGGACCAACAAAGACGTGGCCCGGCGCGACAAGGTCGCATCATGCAGACCGTTGAGAAGCCGCCTGAGGAGTTCCTCAACGCCAGGAATCAACCCCGGAATGGCCCCTCTTCCAGTCACTTGAGGCCGGCCACTCCCGGCCCGTCCTCCCGTCGAACTGCGCCCCCACAGCCCTCCCCTGGAATTTCCGCGACCCCACGGGCTGTGTCCGTAATGCCATGCCCTGTCCCTGGAAGCCAAGATTCTCCAAAGAGCGTGTCGCGGTCACGAGGGAAGAGGACCTTCCATGAGATGGAGGACACAGACTCGAGCTCAAAGGCAGAGGAATGGGAGAGGATGCTGGAGAGATTCAAGAGTCATGAGAAGGAGATGGAGCAGCAAAGAGCCCAGCTGGAGGACACGAAGCGGCTGCTTGCCGAGCAGAAGACTCGGATCGATGATCTTGAGCAGCGGCGACGGGCTGAGGAGCTCCTACGAAACCCTGATATGGGCACGCGGACTGAAGAGCGAGATGTCGCTCCTCCCCACGAGGCTGTCCCTCGGGACCTTGATCCTCCCCCTGTGACTGTTGCTCGAGATGGTGCTACTCCCGCAGTGGCTGTCCCTCGAGACGTTGCTCCTCCTCCGCTAATGCCCAAGCTGTTGCTCCCCGTCGTGTTTCTAGTCGCCAAGCTCAAAGAAGGGAGGAACGAAGACGACGCAATGCCTCCCAGATAACCTCTCGAGGAGCTCGAACCCGCCAGAAGAAACGGGAGAGACAGCGAATGGAGCAGGAGAGGCAGGAAGGCCTTGAGATGAAGAGGCAGCGACTGGAACAGGAGAGGCAGGAAGACCTCGAGCTGGAGCAGCAGCTGGAGCAGGAGCAGCGCCGTGAGGCCGAGAGACAGGAGCGAAGGCTCCAGCGCGTGATGAGGAGACCGCAGAACGGGGCCCAAGGGGATCCAGCCCAAACAGAAGCCCAGATGGAGGCCGATGCTCAAACGCGGATTCAGCATGAGATCTTCACCCGCCCCCTGTCAGGCCACAACCCGAGGATCATCTTCGACGACGACGACCGTCCGCACATCAGCGAGGCGACGGCGTTCCTGATGCGGCTGCCACAGGCGTTCGTGATGGCTAAGCTGCGCAAGCTGGTCGAGGGCAAGTCATTCTTCGACGTTGCGCACCCGGGTAGCGTGCACATGGGGTGTTGGGTAGTGTCATCGAAGCGGGCGTCGTGCGACATGCGCATGAAGCTGACCGACTCGGGCGAGAAGCACGGCTTCTCGTTTCCTCGCCTGGCCGTGCGCATGTGGCACGACGAGCAGTCCATCTACAGCCTGGTCCAGCACCACAAGCACCGCCAGAAGGCCGTCCACACCTGCCACATCGAGACGTGCATGCGCCCTGACCACATCGTCGTCGAGCCCAGCAGCGCAGCGGCGGAGCGCCGCAGGTGCAAGCGCGAGGGATGGTGCCCCGGCCACGAATTTGTCCACAAGGACGGAACCAGGCAGGCCAGGAAGCCGTGTATTTTCCCTCCGCAAAACGCAAATCTGAGGCGGTGAGCTGGGCCCCGGGGCTGATTGCGGCGAATTGGACTCGAGGCTCGCTGAGTTCGCCCTCGGCTGCTCCTCGACCATCTTACAGGGGATGAATGGATTCAATGTCGAAGCCCCTACACCGGTGCACTTCGATTTCTCCTTATGCACTTTTTCATGCCGTCAAACGACCTGGAGGACAAGCTACCTGGCCTGAATTGCTCTTTTCTGCGAGGACGCTGTGGATACTCCTATCTTCCCGCTCTTGATGTTGTCCCAGCATCTGCATCTTTTGTTTTGTACTGCCATGTAAGGATTTTCTGCTGTCAGCTTTGCTTTGAAATTGTCATCGATCCGGTCACGTTCTTTCATTGGCTCAATTTTGTCACTCAAAAAGCCCTCCTACCAGCGAAGCAGCGGACTTGTACATTTGGCTCCTGGGAACAAAACAAAAGCATGCTCTGTATTGCATTTACCCCGTCGATTAGATAGGAATCTATGATGTTGGTATTTATGCCTGAGTGCCGGTGGTAGTACCGCATGTACCACGCAGCACCTCGAAAGCCCAGGTGCCCGGTTCCAATTCCGGCACAAATCGTCCAAGAGGCAATGAGAAAAGCTTAGTTTGGAAAACTCGGCATCAAACTCGCTAATCATTAACCTGAGGATGATATTTGCCTCATCACCAGCTATAGGTCAGCAATAGCGCAAGCTAAATCTCGAGACTCTCAAGTGATCCGAACCTGACATCAAAGCTCTACAGGCCTACATCGAAGAGAATATTATCAATGGATGTATTGGCCCTAGAGTTGCAGCTGAATATCTAGCCTTAGGTCTCACACGTCTCAGCTTTTGTCTGCTAGTGCTGACCTCATCCCTGAATTAGCACAATTGTTGTTGCATGGCAGAATTGGGGGCGAATAGAGGCATCTCAAACAGGCTTTAAAGGATGAAATGACGTCTCGTAAAACAACTCGAAGGGGGCTATGAGAGGTTGAGCCACACTGCCTGCATATAACGCAGCACATTCACGGTATCTCTGCTCGCAGGAGCCAGCTCCAAGCAGTTTCATTCTTGGAAGCCTATATTTTATCCTGATATGACCTTTCCGGATCTGTCAACTCACTATTGACAGTGACGCCCAACGGACCCTGACACTGCGCAATAATCACCAAATGGAGCCTTTCTTGTCAAGTGCTTTAGACTCGTCAGAGAATGTCGAGGATATCCATGATAACCGCAACGACGGCCTTCTTCCTGCCTTCGCCATAACCTCTTCTCTAAGAAACGAAATACCCGAAAGCCTGCTTCAAGATGATGCCTCTACTCCGAGTCCATCTGAAAACGAGCAAAACGCATTGACAAGGCAAAACTCACTGCAAGAAAGCGCGTATTCGTACCAAGAAGAGCCGACCCTTCAGCAAGATCCTTCCCGGCAAGAACAAGTCACTTTTTCGAGGCAGCAAGAGACACGAGACCGGGCAGAGAATGTGTCGGAATCCTCTACCGCGTTCTTCCAAGGATGGAGTAATGTTGAGGCACGTCAAGACGTACGAAAGCCTTTGTGCAAGCCTTACTCATGGAAAGAAAAGCTTGGTACATTTGCAATGGTCGGTCTAATCGCTGGTTCTGCCCTCTTGTTCGCAGCGATTGGGACACTCGCGTTCAGGTGGTTTGGTAGTTCGGCCATACCAGCGTGGAAGGATATCACAGCCAGAAACTGGCTGTCCAAGGCTATTTCCATATGCATTGGAGTCATTCAACAAGTCACGACAAACGGCTCCATTGCCTTCGCTCTCCAAACCATGATCACACTGCCAAGTAGCATGGCGTACTACGATCAGATGGGCCAGTTTGACAAGGGGACACAAGCTGAGGTGGCCTTTTTTAATACCGCTCAAGTTCCTGTTGGTTATGTTGGATTTGCAGTTGTGACGATCACAGCCATAGCGCATTGCATTCTGGTGGCTTACGGCGTGTCACTCTTCCTCCGGGAGACAACTCTGTCGAGACTCGGTGCAAGCTGGAGTGCTGTGGCTCAGGTCGCGACAGGTGATGTTATGGAGTATCTGGAACATGCGACGCAGGCTAGCGATAATGATGTTCAGGCCAGATTGAAAGCAGATGGGAAAGAGTCATCAAAGGAGTGGTGGGTGGGGTTTAGGCAGCGCAGCTGTGTTGTCTTAGCCGCAGTCCCATGCATAAAGGGGAATCAACACACGTGTTAAAATCAAAACATAGTCTTCTCGCCAATTATTCCCAAAACTGACCAACAGAGACAACCTTGTTCCCTCTTACAACATCAAACCTCGTATAACCACATCATGTCCAATAGTGAACCTGCCGATAAGAAGCACACCTCAAGCAGCTTCGACTGGACCATCGGAGCCAGGATCAGAGATGGACGATACGGCCCAGTCTTCTTAGGCCTGAGGACAGACACAGCGGAATTGATCTCAGCCGAGGAATTCACACCTCAGGACGAGCCGGGCACCGCATCCGCACTGGAAAGCGTGGTCGCATTCCTAGGATCGAGGCTGGCGAGACCAAGCCAGCCAAACATCATTTCGTGTCTAGGTTACGAGCTCAAGGAAGGACGCATCTTCATTCTCACCGAGTACCTGCCAGGTGGAACGGTGCGAGACCTCACCCGGAGCTATGGCGCCATCCCGCAGCCCCTCGCGCGCACGATCCTCCGCCAGGTCGTACTTGGGCTCGAGCAGCTGCAGAACCAAGACATCTCGCCTGTCTTCTTGGATCTGGGGATCGTGATGGTGGACAACGTGTGCGCCGTCAAGATCGAGGCGCCGCTGCTCGACGTGACCGCCAAGACAGGCAACGCCCTGCCTTCTACTGTCCTGGCATCACCTCCCCGAGATCCTGCTGGGCCAGCAAGACTTGTCCAAGGCTGACGTGTGGCTGCTCGGAGTCCTGGCGGCCCAGCTGCTCACGGGGGACTGCAGCCTCGCGGAGGCCGGCGCGGCCGGCTCGGTCGCTGAACGGATCAAAGAGTCCCAAGCATCAGCACTGGAGCTTTTGATTCCTGGCGACGTGGCCAGCAAGCTCGATCGGCAGGCATCGGATCTCATCCGCCAGTGCCTTAGCATGTGAGTGTTTGTGCCACCAATCTGTGCCTAACCCTGAGTGCTGATACGTGCTTGCAGAGACACCAACCACCGGCCGAGCGTCTCTGACCTACTTGAGCATCCCTTCCTGAGTGGTGTGGCCTGATCAAGAAACATGTTGCTTCTATTATAAGCAGAGCATCATACCGTGCTCGATTTCCTAGTCGGACAATCCAGTGGTTTCCATGCAGGTCGTCAGTCGCTGATCCATCCAAGGGGTCTGATGGCTCTGCTGTTGAGGGAGTAAAGTCAGACATGTTGTTTTCTTCTCTACAGAATCATTTGCTCCTGTAGCTGCCGTATCACAAAAGTAGGCATGTTAGCCGATTAGTTGATTGGTAGTGTTGCGATGACCACTAGACATAAATATGCGGTGAAAATACAGATTGAAAACGGTTACAAATGGCTGAGGTCAGGCTGATGATGTTGAGAAAGGCATAGAAGAATCATTTGAAATACAGCTGTCTACAGGGCACATTGAGACGAGAGAAACAAGACACAAAACCACCAGGCTGGAATAGACCGACACGATTCACCAGATCGGGCATGCGGTAAAAAGTCAAATTTATTCATCAAAGACCATGTGTGTATTTCAGTCCAATCTTCTCGCTAAGCCAGCATGTGATATCTCGTGCCTTCCCGAAAGACTCCAAAGTTCGCCTCGTACGCCGTTTGAGAGAAAAGCACACGTAAAGTAAAGCCTCCGGCTTCAGGGTTGACGTAAAAGAAGGGCAACTTGCAGACCGTACCGCAGGATACGGTGTTGTCAAGGTAGAAGGGGCAAGGGGACGCCTAGCCATCATCGTACAGTAAAAACTGCTCTCGTGCAGTATATTTCGAGTGGCGCGCATCCTTGCGCCAGACTGGCTGCTGGAGCGACACCAAATGAGGCACAACAAGTGCTTTCAAGGGCAAGCCGGGATAGACAGAAAACATTGGCCGCGCCCATGCGCCAATCACTTCTGATCCTCAAACGTCAGTCTCTTCCCGGGACTGCTGGCGGCGGAGCTTCCGCCTCGCTGGCTGGGGTCCAGCCCACGCTCGCGCATCGCCCTCTCGGCAGCCTCGCGGGCCGTGGGAGCCTGCTGATGGTTCAGGTGATGCCGTGTGTGCGCGCCGTGTTGGGTCTCACGTAAAGAGCTAGTATAACCTGGACCAGAAACGGGGACGGGGCCACTATTGGTCGTGTCCACGAAGGAGTCGTCATCCGCCGCGCCGCCCGGGGTGGCTTCTGACGCCACGCCGTCGATGAAGCGAGCATCCCTCCTCTCGGACGCCGCGGTTGCATCCTCGCGATCCAGCCTCTCTCGCCGGGCCGCCAGCACCGCGCCCTCGCTCAGGCCGGAGCTGCTCCTCTGCAGACCCTCCATCCCGGGCAGGGGTCGTCGCACGTAGATGGGCCCGGAGATGGTGCTGTTTGCGCCCTCGCCGAAGCCGACCAGGCTGGCGGAGCCGTCGTCGCTCATGTTGTCGTCCTGCTCGAACTGGCCTACGCTACGGCTCGTCAAATCCTCGTCGACGTCCATGTCCGCCTGTTCGTTGTGACCCGTTCCCACGTAGCCGCTAGCCGAGTCGACCTCCGTGTCACGCGCGAAGTTGGTATCTGTGCTCATCATGTCGATGTCCTGTTGAGCCACGCTGTCAGCAATAAGTCATCAACCGCTAAGCATCAGTAGGCCGACCCCTTGACCAGGTGTACTTGCACTCTCAGTCGCGGACGCAGTGCCGGAGGTGGACATCTTGGTCACAGCGACTGGCTGTCCATTCGAGTCGAAATACGCCGGGGCGCCCTGGATCAGGGGCGCGATGGGGCGGTGGGCGGTATGTGGGAAGACGGCAGATGTAGGCGTCGTCTGGGGGCTGTTGCTGTTGCGGGCCGGGGCCGCAGAGCCAGCGCTGGGGGGAGATCGCAGCTGGTTGACATTGGAGAGGCCGGCAAGGCGCGAGATCCTGTCGGCGCGCTCGGCTTCGAGGCTGCCCTGGGAGGCATGCTGCTGGTGGCCGGGGTGATGCGTTGTCGCAGTGGCGTGACCGCGGTGACCGTCCTTGATAGCGGTAGTGGAGAGAGCAGAGAGGGAGGTCGTTGTTGAGGTGGGAGTGCCGCTGGGGGGAAATCACATCAGTATTGATCATCTCAGAAAAGCATTGGACCTGGCAAAGCAGCCGGGACCTCGGCTCCAGTGTCTGGGGATCTGGAAGTAGCTCACGGCATCTCTGATGGAGTGTCCGGGTTGGAGGGAGGTTGGGGGATGTTGATGAGGGTGGGATGTGGTTGCGCCATGGCGACGGGAGGTTGCGAGTGTTGATGAACGATGGTTCGTATGGGCTCGTCTAGGCCTGTTTGCCGTGATGAGACGGAGTAAATGCGCAACGAGGTCGTCGCCAGTATTGCAGTGCGTGCGAGTGCGACAAAGGCGACGGGTGGTTACAAGCTTCCAGGACGGTGATGTCGCGCAGTCAGGCTCCGAGATGGAAAGTTGGGTGATGGATGGATCGGTGCAGCCAGTCTTTGTCCAGAAGGGCGAAGGACCGAAGTCAGCCTGGGCGGCCTGGCTTGGGTCTGGTTGGCTTGCATGGATGATTCGAGGCGGGAGGTTGTTGTCGGTCCCCTGGACATCCCAGTTCAGGTCGGTCCAGCACAGTAGCCGCGATCGCAGGCCTCTCGGAGCAGCTGAATGCAGCTCAGCTCCAAGCTCGCCTGGGAAACAATCGACGGGGCCGATACTGCCTTGGGCCAGTGGGCGCTGGGTCCCGCATCAAGCGCATCAAGCGTGTGACGTAAAGCCTGGGACCCCTGTCGCCCGTTCGGGGCAAGTGGCAGCCCGTTAGCAACGCCGTGCCCCACCATGCAACTCTAATAACAGGGCAGCCTGAACGAGGTACCCAAGTACCCAGTCTGCTTGGCTCTCTCTGCATGAGGAATCTCTGAAGCGCTTTCGCAACATTACCAACATTACCAACAACTGCCTACTGGGCCACTGCACATGGCCATCATTCATCACACAAAAGGCACTCAAAAAGTAATCAGCACCGCCTCGGCATCACCAACCAACACGCTCTCCCCCGGCGCCCATGTCTCAGTGACCTCGTCCCCCACGACGAGCCCCTCCTTGCTCACGCTCCGTCCCGCAAATGTAACATCCGTCTGCGCAAAGTCCTTGACGTCGCTCCCGGACGCCGTGAGCCGTCGCACAATTCCCGGCGTCTGGATCCTCTCGGGCAGCGTGACGTTGACGTACGGCCGCGTGTAGTTGGCCGTCGAGTTGTACGGCTCTAGGTTCAGGATGACCACCGAGTCGATGGCGTGCGACGGCGCTGTCCTGTACAGCGCGTACGCCGTGAGCGTCTCCTCCGCGATCAGTGGGTGCACTACCTTCTCGGGCGCCCCGTCGCCCGAGTAGTACGGCGAGTAGGCCCCAGGCGTAGGCGTCGTCAGGTCCTGGGCTGAGGTCTCGTTGTGCCCTGACGCCACCTCCCCGTTCCCGATGGCCGTGGCCAGCACCCACGCGCCGTAGTATGACGGCCGCACCAAGGCGCTGTGGTTGGTCGCGCCCTCATACGGCGCCCACAGGCTGTAGCGGTAGGGCGTGCCCATGTGAAAATACATGCCGCCTACTGCCGAGATGTTGGACGCGATGAAGAGGGTGTAGTCCAGGTACCACAGCGCGGTGCCGAAGACGTTGGAGACGCCGTCGCGGCCTTGGCAGGAGATCGAGTTGGTCTCGCCGATGACGTACGTGATGCCGTGCGTCTCGTCAACGTGCGGGGCCATTTGCTGGTGAGGAAAGGCGCGGTTGGCCATGTTGGTGTGGTTGAGGAGGTTCTGCCGAAGGGTGGAAATCTCCTTGGTCGACGCACAGTTGGAGCCATGGTACTGAGAAAGTGCCGTTTCAGTCAACATCTTTCAGAGTAAGGGCATCCAAGGGTGTTCAGAAACACAAGTTGGAGAAGCCAGGGGAATCATGGCGACTTACATCGTGCTGTGAAGTACTTCTGATCTGCTGCTTCTTGTTGATCCCCAAATCCAACACCACCTCCGAGTTCCAGGGCGTATTGATGGTCTTGTTGCCGCTCCCCATGAACGTGCCCATCTGGAAGATCGGCTGGGATTGCGACCCATCCTCACTCCCGCCCCAGATGGCCTCTTCGATCAGATCAGTGTACATGAGGAACTCCTCCGTGTACAGCTCTGGCCCCCACTCGTCGGTCCGGTACCTGCCTCCCCACCGTTCCATCTCGTTGCTGATCTCAAAAGCATACAACAGGTCCGGCCCGAGCGTGTCCCACACGCGCTTCGCCACGTCGACCGTAGACGCGACGCCGGCGGAGCTGTTGTCGCGGTAGTTGAGGTCGTAGATGAACCGCGTGCCCTCGGGGGATGTCAGGAACGCCTCGAACCAGGCCGGCCCGATGTTGGTCAGGCTGGGCTGGTCGGTGCGGGAGCCCTCGAGGCCCGTGTTGGTGGACCCATTCCAGTGGTTCTCAACGGCGAGCTCCTGGCTGGCGTTGAAGACTGCCACATTTGCGGTGGAGCCCCCGGCGCGGATGATGATTGGGGACCCGGACAAGCTCTGCAGGTTGTCCAAAAGATTATATGAGAGCTGGTTCGGTGTCCTACATGTCGGTATGTCAGCTTGCACGTTCCTCTGCGGGCCAGGGGGGAGTCAATTGGGGTCTCAAGTACGTCAGATTCCCAAAATAGTCCGCCATGTAGGAGAACTCGATGGAGAGAGACTGCCATGACCCATCGATGGGCCTCTTGACCGAGTACAGCCGCGGTGGGACATTCAGCGGCAGGTCACGACGAACGTCGGAAGAGTTGCCACTGTACTGACTCCTGCGCTCTGTTTGCAGGGCGGCAGTCAGGGGAAGCAGAGCGAAGACTGTGGGGAGTACCAGGGAAGGTAACATTTTGGTTCCTGATCGTCAACTTGCCCGCTACTTCATAAGACATAACTCGGTACCGCCATCGAGTGGTTCAAGGAGTGCATATCGGGAGTCTTAATTATAAGTGATGCTAGCAGCTGCGCAGCACGCCCAGCAGCCCTTTCGTCCGTCATGCCGGTGAGATATTCCAGCGACAGGCCCGAAGGGAGCTATTTCGAATAGAGACAGGGTCTGGGGTAGTATGGGGTTGCCTTGAGTCCCAGTCCTTGGTCTAGCGGGGAAGCATGCTCGTAAGCCGTCATGTCTCGTTGTGAAATGAAGCGAGTGAGAGTGACAACGTCGGCCGAGAGGGGTAGGAGGATGGCGATCCGGAATGCCAAGATGTCAATATAACCGCCTCAGTCCAGGGAGTCCGCGTTGAAATCCTACTGATCAAGTACGGGAACAAGGAAGTGGCATGCCAGATAACCCGAGGTGCCAGCCTAGGTGAGCGTAAGATAATGCGCGAAGTAGTAGAATAAGTTGAAGTTTGCAAGTAATTGTGACCGACATCGATATGTCTGAAATAGATGTCCATGATGACTGTCGAATCCATGCAATTAAGTAAGCCTTGAGTTCTGAGGTTCCTCCATAACTCCCGATGCCTTCCGTATTTGACAGATGGAAGCTTTAAGACTGGAAAGGGTGCACATGTAAGGTTACACGAACATATGTCCCCCGTCCGGCTTTGATGTCGCCCGTCATGGTGGTCTCGCAGCAAAGCGAGAGTTCGGCCAGGATATCACACGCCCAAGACCAGTAAATGCGTTTTTTTTTTTTTTTCTCCATTTCAGATCAATGATGAGGAAGACAGACTTTTTGCAGACTCAACATATGCATAACGAGGGTCTTCTCATGACATCCCCTAGCAGACGAAGCCCGGTGAGCAAAGCCTTTCAGTCTCCCAATCTCAGCACAAAGCTCTTCCAAGCAAGATGCGGTTGGATTCCCGTCTCAACCGCGGACTCGTGGACGAGCTATTAGAAGACTCCAGGAGTGAAGTCGACCACCTGCCCCTTCGCAACTATACCATCAAGGCTCTTGACGAATGCCAGGTGGGCCGGGTCTTCATTCAGGTAATACTCCCGATCCTTCTCATTCTCAAACTCGCTGATGAATATGTGCGAGATTCCATTCTAGAGTCATATTGGTAAGTCCAACTGGTGTGGCCCATGTCTCCGCGCATCCACCGTGCTGCCGACGGGAGGTAACCTACCTGTTTCCCCTCGGGACTGTTGTCCTTTCCTCCCTTCCCAGTCTTTATGTACGGCTGCTTGGTCTCTGGGTGGATGCAGTTGTCCTTGAGAGCCAGCATTGCATCGCAGACCTCTCAACCTGATCAGCAAGCGTCGATGTGGCGGGCGTGATGACACGGCTCGGCAGGGTCACATGCAGCCACTCACCTTCTGGACCTCATCGGGAGGAGCCAGAGGCTCGAACGCGAACATCACAATGTGAACGATCCCCATATTTGACGGTTTGTTGTTTCAGTTGTTTGAATCAGGATGTTGTCTCGTGATATGAGTTTGATCATGGACTTGCAAATGGAAGATGCAGCAGCGATGCTGATCCAAGTCTAGGTCCATTTGGGAGGGGGTTGGGCGACCATATGTCATCATCCCCGCAGCGCACTCCCGATGGAGGTATCACAGCCAACGGTCCAGGTGGACTATCCCTAGACTGCACGAAAACAGCACGGTCGCACTTCACCATCTGCCTGATGCACTGTAACTCGTTCTTGCAAACCCTCAATTTTTTGTGAGAGGAATTTGTTACAGCTGCTAACATTAGTCAGTGAAACACTAATTCCGAGGCTTGCAGGACCGAGATTTGATACGGGATTACAATTCCGACATAGTACAAGCTAGAGAATAGATACCCGGCTCAAGAAATAAATCAGCGCCTAGCTTAACGCGGCTGTTCGACCTCCCTCACCTCGTCGCCAGAATACACGACGGCACACAGGATACCCAGCATAGTCGCACTGAACATCAACGGCACAGTGGCGTCCTGCAGGTCTCCATCATGGCCCCATCCAAACAACCACTGAAACATGAACCACAGTGAAGGCCCAAGCCCGAGGAGCATGTATACAGCTACTCTCAGCGCTGACCTCTGCTCCCGCGCAACAAGGCCCCAGAAGACCTCGACGTCCTGGTCCTCGCCAAACTCGGCCTGCTCGTCCACCAGCCGGTCCCTCTTGGGCATCCCATCGAGCAGCTTGCCTGGGATGCCCCTGATGATGCAGGACGGCGCGATGAAAGCAAAGTGGAGCCTGCGGGCTAGACCCGCGTCGCTGTAGCAGGCGTTGAATAGGTGGTTAAACATGTGCCTCGAGACGGGCGCGTGGGGCATCGGCCGGGGGTAATACCCGTACTCTTTGTCGTGGGGCGACTCATCGTGTGGAGGGAACGAGAACCTGACTCCGGGATCAAAGCTTTGTGGAGCGTATCGCTTGATCTGCGTAGGCGTTGTCAGTACTTCTAGGTGTTCGCCTGAGAGTCTTCACCTCCCGTTGTGACTGACCTTGACGAAGTCACAGTGGCTGTAGACGTATATCGACAGCAGCCGCCGCCACCCGCGTTTCACGTTGTAGTTCTCGACAATGGCTTGGAAGAAGTCGCGGGCCTTCTTCTCCGTGACATCTATGGGCGCGAGGATGTACCTGGACGCTTTCACAACCAAGAATACAAAGGCTTTGGGTGGGGTGCCAAAGGAGATGACAGATGAGCTCGGCGACGTCGCGGCGGTGCTACTACGCAGGCTTGAGCTGCCAGCAGCAGAGGAAGAACCAGAAGATGTGGATTGCGACTCGGAGCCACTTGTGGCTTTCGTAGCCTGAGAGCTGTCGCTGCTCAAGGAGCTCGGTGGCCGCTCCGGGGGTTCGTTGCTGAGGGGGAACTGAGAAGCCAGATGGCTTAATTTCGAGGCATACACGAACGGCACTATCTCCTCTCTTTCGGTACCGCAATTCTGAAGGACTGTAAGCTTAGATATTGGGGTCGTATGGGGCCGCAGTGAGCATGGTAGCAGTGTTGCGAAAAGACTTACACATTTCCAAGATATCCGGCAGTCCGTGTGCCTTGCCTTTCCCCTCGAGTTCGGTGGTTGCAGAGGCCACCACTGCCATGTCGATTGTGAGCTTCCTTCGACGGCAAGCTTGACAAGATTCGAGACGCGGAAGCTTTTCAGACTGGGTTCTGAGGTGGATATGTGCAGGGTGGGAGCCACCCCTGTTTGCATAAAACACCACTGGAGCTCCGCCAGGGCGCGTAGCAAGTTGATTTTCCCGGCTTCCGCGTCTGGGTCTTCATCACCCACAAGGCCCTCGGCAATGAGTCTTTTTGCTTGTGGAAAGAAGGTCGGGATTGCAACGTCTCGGACACGGTCGACGTATTCTTTGAAGATTTTGCTGGAAGCGACGAAGGGCCAATGGCTATCGATGTCGGCATCGCAAAGATTTGGGAGGTTATCGTCTATGATGGTCTCCAAGACTTCTTCAGACGTCGATGAGAGGCATTTCCTGTACGGCTTCCAGATGTGACAGTGAAACTTCTGTTCCAAGTCATCCCCATCCCCGATACTCCATGTGTGTGTGAAGTACCGCAAGCCCTCAGTGCCTGTTTCCCGACGTTCTTCAGATGCTGTGCTGCAACACCATAACAATGTTGCGGTCATGGTGTTCAAATCTTCCTCGAAAAGATATACAAGCATGAATATCGCTATTAAACGTGCAACTGAGAAAACCTTTGTCAGAAACTGTCCAGAATATGGTCACATGGCGCGTTCAAGGTGGTGGAGTGCTCTGCCGTGTAGCCTCAACGAGGAGGTCTGCAGGACACACAAGTGACATTCAGACTCGTGGATCCAGATTGGAATAATGCACTACACAGACTCACTTACTAGGGTGTTGGTCGAGCTGGTCCGCCAAGTCTCCTATTACCTTGCCAAATGTGCATAAAAGTAGCATGTTGAAAAGTATAAGTCTCAATGTACCAGAGGCACCACGTCTGACCCGAGAGATTGCTCTTCGAAGCTTTGAAGTTCGACTTGTCGTTCGGTGTTAATCGGCAGTTGTGATTGGGACTTGTTATCTTCTATGATGATTTTGTATCCGTTATGAGTGTTGAACTTTGGACATTGGCCTACCTGTCAGTAGTTACTTCAAACAAACCCTATTGGGTGACGGGGGACCAAACACGACCCAGAATGCATGCACTGACCTGTGATCCTTGAAGGATGGCCTCCATATCCATGCCCTCCATCTTTTGTGCGGCCCTTGTGCCAATATAGCCGGCGTAGGTTTCTATGAACTCCGCCACACGCAAATGATCTGGTGAATTGGCCTCGGTCCTCAACCTGGAACCAAAATACCCAAATTTCTGTTTCCGGGTCGAATTGGTCACCTCTGACAGGCACCAAGGGATCACTCAAAGCCTTGAACAGTAGGAACCGCAGGTAATCGTCACCGATTATTAGGTCCATTATGCGCTCGGTTGATGCTTTCACACGGCTCAGTAGTGTTCTAGGAATGACAAGATTTCTCAGGTTCCTTTTCATGCGTTGAAACGGTGCTCCTTCTCGGAAGTATTGTCCCAATTCACTGATCACGAAGGTGTGAACAGACTCGTTTGCGGGAGACTCTTCACCAGAGGAGGTTTCGTCTCCACCGAGAATCTCAGCATTCCCACCCTCAGTCCTACCAGGGTGGAATGGACTTCGGGGTGCTTTTTCCATATATCTCGATGCAATAATGCTAGCCGTCTTCATCGTGATGGATCTGCGGGAGATGAACGCCAGCCCCTGGGTACGCAATGGCATTTTTGGCTCGTTCCACATCGACAGTTGCCGCTTGAGGTCTCTCGCGTAGCTCTGCAGGATCCTGCTGTAGTTCCGTCTGAACCGCTCGGGGCCAAGCACTGTCGGCAACATGGACCTCGTGAACAGCTTCTCGAGTCCTGGGTCGCGAACCAGGAAGCCCACATATTCCCCGACCAGCGCTTGCGTGTCACTATAAACAGACGACGAGGAGCTCCCGACCGAGCCGGCATCAAATACTGAATCGGCGTAGGACTGTACGGATATTGTCTCATCGGCACAAGACTCGCGGTCGCTCCGAGTGTCTTCATCGTCGTCGGCGATTGTTGCGTTCTCGCCGGACTTTTGAGGAATCTCTAGCTCCAGTCCGAAGATAGAGCTGGTAGGGAAGCTATCTTTCTCATCGGAAGCACTTTCGTTGCCCCCGGCGCCCTGAAGAGAGCTTGGAGCAACGTGTGAAACATCTAGGGTTGATGTCCCTGGCGAGTCCACCTCCATGGCAGTGAAGGCGTAAAACGGTAGAGCTTTGCCCAGCATCTCCGTGTCCTCCAGCTCCTCGGGGGGCTCGTCCATCTTATCAGGCCTTAACGTTGGATCCTGGAACATGAGGTTCTGTCTAATCCCGATCCTCCTACTTAGTCGGCGTGCACTTGAACCTGCTTGATCAGGATGTAGCTTATGTTGGAAACTTCCGCTGTCGCTGTCACTCCTCTCGCTCATTGTGCGCTTGCCTAGGCTTGCTATAATTCTTCTTTTTCGTTGCTTAACAGCCCGTAGGCGTTGGATAACCTCCTGATACTCATCGTCGCTTGAGTTAGAGCTATTTGTCATAGAATCTGGGTCCGGGCTGCGAAAGTTTAGGTCACGGAGGTCGTTTATGATATGACCCTCAATATGTGATTCGCTCTGGTCCGATTCGGCATACTCGATGACGTGAGGGGCAAGAACATCATCCCGACCGTCCATGTCGTTTTCTTCAAAGTCGCTGAGCTCTTCGATGCTGAGTTCATCAAGCTCCATTGCGGGCTCTCCGAAAAATAATACCCGGCCTTTGCTCTTCGGTTGCCTGGTCGTGACGGGCCCATCTTCGCCGGTGTCGTTACCTTTGCCCTTGCGCGGGAGTTGCCTCCCACTGGGCTCTGAAGATGGCAAAACAGGTGAGTCTGGCGGTGATGCAGGCATCGAAGCCTGGATTGCGTTTTCCGATGTGCCTTCCATGCCGAAAGAAGATGGTTGAAGATGCGTGTTTCTGTTGGTTGGTCGTTCTCAGACCGGCATTGGTGCTGAGAACTTGACGTGAAGAGTAAGCCCCGGAGACCGCCGTCGAGTAAGCCTTGAAGGTTGCCTCACGGCGGGCCGCATCTGCTCAGGCTGACATGCAGCAGGCAGCGGAGGATTTGTGGCGCATAATATGCAGGAAGTTACCGCGACCTGATTAGTCGGCCACCGGCCACCAAGCAGCCACGAAGGGACATCCAGGCGAGCCAATTGCTGTGCATTTGGAGGGTTTCAGACAATGTAGGTGGCTGATCGCGACGGTATCATGAGACGACCGGCTTAAATATTCTCTCAGAACATGACTTGTAGATGGTATCACATATTCATCTGTCGAGAAATAAATACCGGTACCTGCACATGTGGGGAGGGAACGACTCTGCCATGCGTTGGTATCTTAATGCGAGTCAGCATACGCCCACCCAGCTTCTACAATACGCCCACCCAGCTTTTAGCGTTGGCCCACTTAATATAAGGAAATTAGCTGCATATATTAATAAAATATAAATATACCTTAAAAGCTAGCTTTTTAAAATTACAGCTATCCCGCTGCTTTATTATATTTATTTTGCTATTCTTTATATAATATATTTAGTTTGCATTTATTATATTAATATAAGGTATGAAAAAAAAATTTTATAATTTTAAGTTAGCTTACTTACTTTATTATTATTTATTTTATATAATATTTAATTTATTTTATAACTTTATTATAAAATTACTTTTTGCTTATTTATTTATATATTTAATTAACTTATTTATAAAATAGCGCTTATTTCTTTTTATCTTTTTAAATTAATTATTTTATAGTTTTTATTTTTAAATATTATTTTATTATTAATACTTTTAAACTTAATTTTAGCATAATTATAAATAATTAAGATAATAACTTAAAAATAATAATTTAAATATTTAAAATATTTATAATATATTATCTTTATTTTTTAAGGTAATTATAAATATCTTTTAAATATAATTTATAAAATTATACTTAAATTTAAGTAACTTTGCTATTTATTTATTAAAATGTAATTTAATAATTATAATTCTTATATTAATATTTATAAGGTAAAGTATAAGTTTTATCTTTAAAATGCATTTAATATTTAAATTAAGCTATATAAATATATAGTTATAATTATATAAATTAAAAAATATTTACTTTGCTATTAAATTATTATTAAATATATATTTAATAGCAAAGTAAAGTATTGCAATAAAAAAGTAAATAAGATTATAAATAAGTTTATTAATAACTTTAAATAGCAAGTTAAAAAAGTAATAGTAATTAAGTAAAAAAAGTTAAAAAAGCTATTAATTTTATATAAAATAAATTGCTTATTTAGCTTTATAATTAAGGAAGATATAAGTATTTTAGGTAAATACTTACTTAATATATTTTTATATATATATTTTAAAATATATAGGTTTTTTTTATATTATAAAAACCTTTTTCTTATATAATTATTTAATATTTAAAACCCTTAAAAAACATTCCTTTATTAAAATTACCCTTTTACCTTATTATTAGGAATAATATAATATTTAGTTATAATAATATTTATTAAATGCCTTTATTATTTACTTTCTTTATATAATTTTATATAAATAAATAACTTTTAAGAATATTAATAATTAATATAAATTACTTAATAATTAAGATATTAAGAGCTAGTTATTAATTAAATGCCTTATTAATAATTTAATTAAAAATAGCTATTTAATTAACTTATTAATTAATATAAAATATTAAGTTAAGCATATTATATTTTATTTTATAAAGATAATATAATTTAAAAGCCTTAATAACCCTTTCTTTTTTATTATAAATGCTATTTATAATATTAATTAATATAAACTACTACTTATTTATATAATTAAGATAATACCTTAGCAATGCTTATATATTTACTTATTAGCCTTAATAAGTAGCTAAATAACTAAGGATTTTATTTAGGTACTTAAGATATTAAAAAGTTATAAGATTAATTATAACCTTTAAATAGTAAATGCTAAGATTATTAAAAGCAATGCTATTTAAGTAATATTTCCATAAGTATAAATCATTATATATTAATAGTACCTTTTTTAAATATTTAAATATAATATTTATATTGCTTAATATATTTTAAATAATATAATATTTAAGAAAATAAAAATAAAGTTTTTTGCTATAATTAATACTATTTATATTAATAACTTTAAGAAACTTTAAAGCTTATTTTAATAAAAATAAGTAAAGATTAATAAAGGCATAAAAGCTATTTATTATATTAATAAAACTTAGCTTAATTATCATTAATAAAGCATTTATTAAGCATACTTTCTATATATAATGCACTTTAATATCCTTTTTATATTTATTATAAAAAGTTTGCATTACTACCTAAAGATATGGCTTAGCTGCTAAAAGCATATATATATAATTATAATAAATGCCTTTTTTTATTTAATAATAGCTTTATTTTAAAAGTTTTAGGATATTTTAGTTAAGGAGTTGAAAATAGCATTAAGCATATTACTTTATTTCCTTATATCCTTAGCTAATTTATTATTTATAATATTTTAAATTATAAATAACCTTTTTATTAATTATTATAATAAGTTAAAGAGTTTAAATTAACTTAATATATTATATATAAAATTATTTTAATATATTATAAAATGCTTATATGCTTATAAAGTTAACATTATAATATAAAAAGATAGGGCGTTTTACTTAATTAATTTTTATTTATATTAATATTAATTAAAACCCTTTATATAATAATTAATATAAGAATTTACTTATTAGCTATAATATTATATTATAAAGCTATTATTATATTTTTAAGGGCTTTTGCTATTAAAGAATAATTTAATATTATAAGTTAATGCTAAAAACCTTAATAAGCCTATTAATTTTAAGCTTAAGCTTATATAAGAATTATACTTTATCTTTTCTTTATTAAGTAATTTATTATAAGATATAAGTATTTTTAATTATTTCCTTATTAATAATGTTACTTTTAGAATTAAGCTAAATAATTTATCTTTAATCTCATTCTTAATCCTATTTAACCCTATTAATGCTATATATATTTCCTTAAATAAAGCTAAGCTTAATGCCTTTAAGCTTAATTTTAATTAACATGCTTATATAAACATGGAAATAAATGCTAAGCCTTTTAATAAAATAAGGCCCTTTTTATTATTAAAGAAAAGAAAGATTAAGTAGGTTAAGAATAGTTTTAAAAGGGTAAAGGCAAATTATTATACTTATAAATTAAATGCATTAATTACCTTAATTAAGTAGCTATTAAGCTAAAATAAGGTAATAAAGAAAAAAAGGGTAGCCTTTAAAAAGAAATATAAGTAATGCTATTAGCTTAAGTATAAATGCATAAATTTTATTTATTTAGGCATGCTATTAATTAAAGTGGCATAGGTATTATTAAATTTTATGCTTAATCTTAATAAATAAGATTTAAAGCATAGCTTTATATTAAAGCTTACTTAAGATATTAGCTTTTTAAAAGAAATGGTATAAGGTGCATTAAATATAATGGGAATAGGCAATTTATTAAGATGCATATCTTTATATTGCTTAATGATATTATTATTGCATTTAAGCAATATATTAAAGCCTATTTATTAATTCCGTTTATTATTTCCTTTAAGCATTTTAAAGTACCCTTTACTACCTATCCTTAATTTCTTAATATTCCAGCTTTAAATTCCGCTTTCTAACCTTGTAATATTAAGTAATTATTTAGCTTAGGCCTTCTTAAATTAAGCAATGTATAAGAAGCGCATTAAAGTAATTATTATTAATTATAAACTAAATTAAGCTTAATAATATGCTAAATAAGGCATATTTAAAAGACTTAATAATGCATAATATAAAAAAAAGCATAAGCTTTATTACTAGCCTATGATTTGCATTAATATAATTTACGCTAGCTAGCCTATAATAAATCAAGCCTTATTAAATAATTTGCTAATATGCAAGAAAAGCCTAATTATAAGAAATATTATAAATTACGAGCTAATTAGCTAAACTAATAGTAAGAAATATATATAGCTAAATTATATAAAGAATAATAATAATGTAAATAATAATAGGTATTATAAGGGCTTAAAAAAGTTTAGCTTTATACCTTTAATTAATAAGATTATAGCTAAAAAGCAAAGATAAGGCAGGTTTATTATTAATAATAATATGCTATTTTATATAGTTTAGGCATAAAAAATACATAATTATACTTTATTTATTATAAACCTTAATAATTAAATCTTTAAAAAGATTTAAGAAAAGTTTAAGGTAAAAAGGGATTAACTATTTCATAAAACTTTTTATTTTAATTAAGATTAATAAAGATATTATATTAAAAAGGGTATATTTCTTAATATATTAAAAGAGTTAGATAAGGAATTTATATAAAACTATATTATTATTAAGAGTAATTCTTAAGCAAGGAATATAGCATTATAACGTTTAATTAAATATATAATATATATATATAATAATTCTTAAATAAATTTACTTAATATTAATATCTTAAATTATACTATATTTATTTTAAATTTATTTAATATCTTTAAGCATATTATTATTAAGGCTTTTAAGCTTATTGCTTATAATATAATTTATTATCTTTTATTAAGAGATTTATACTTCTTAAGTTCCTTATCTTATTACTTTTTAATTATATATCTTGCTAAAATTTTAATTAATATCCCTTTTATATTACCTAATAAATTAACTAAGTATATTATATTTAAGGGTATAAAAATTATTATTAAGTACTTTTCCTCCTTAAAATAAGTAGTAAGGGCAGGGTTTAATTTTTCTTTTTCTTTATAATTATAAGATAAGCCTTAGCATTTAATACTTAATTAAATATATTATAATATATAAATATTAAAAGGCATAACTTACTTATTTAAATATCCTTAAATTC